GTTAAAATAGCTCGCAATATCTGACTCATTTTTGTTCCAGTTCGGCAACTTGCTAATTAGCTGTTTAAATTGAGAGAGAAAGAAATAAACAAGTGTTCAGAACTTTTTAGAGGAAAATGACTGATTTTAGTAGTAGATCCTCTTTCAATTTTCCTGAAGAAATCTCTATAATTTATCTTGTTATAGAGTTTACCTTTGATTATATTTTGTGAGTGTTTCGCCCACAAAATATAGTCAATCCACTTTACACTACATACTGTGAAGCACTTTGGGACATTTCAAAGATATAAGGCGCTATATCAAATGCAAGAATTATTATTATATTTCTAACTGCTTTTGTTGCTTTCCAACCTCCCCTATACCCCATGATCCACATTGAAACCATGTGTTTCTCATTTTGTTGACCTATTTCATTGTCACCTGCTGCCCTGGGTCTGAATCCTACTGGAAGAAAACAGTTGACACTCCAGTACACTTTAAATGAAAATCAGGTATGAATGAAAACAACTACTTGCATTTATACAGCACACTTTCACACAGGGTAGTGTCTTTTAGCATGTCACAAGCTGTCCTGTAAAGGTCCTTCCACCACGCTGAAGGCCCACCAGATAGCTGATGAGAAAACTCTGAGGCTTGGGGTTACAGCTGCTGGAAGGCAATACCTGGAGTCCCAGTTTGTACGTCCAGGGCCTGGAATCCACTTTGATTGGCTTGAGGAGGGACAAGCAGTCGCTGCTTAACTCTGCACCTCCAACTGGTGGAACCATTGCTCAGTGGGAAGGGACTTGTGCCCGAGCTGCGGACAGGAAGACAGTGGCAATGCTCTCACGCATTTTATGCTGAGCTATGTTGCCCATCAGGAAGTTCCTTGTACCTACCATCCACCTAGTGAGAGATCAAACCCGCGCTTGTCGATTTTCGGAGGGGGTTGGTCTTAAACGAGCCAGTACAGATAAGATGGATTGAATAGCCTTCTTCTGTGCTGTAAGTTTCTGTAGTTTTATGATTCTATCTGTGACTTTTTGTCTCTGTGGCCCCAGTGAAGCATGGTTGCTGGTAACTGCACAAGATAAGTGAGGGAAGCTCCATTCTAGAGTTCTGAAATTGTTGGTCTCAGATTAAACAATCAATGCAATTTCAAATCCTAATCCTAAACTTTATCCTCAACATAATTTTAAACGGGTGCCGAATTTCCCATTTGTCTGTGTTGAGTCTGGGTATAAGTGCAGATTTGAAGCGATCACCTCGGGTGAACGTGCTCTTTGTCTGAAAGATGTGTAGTTTGTTGCATTCCAACAAGGCAGTTATCAAGTGGCCCTCCTGATCAGGAGGGCAGCACCGATAGTTCTGAAATAATGCCTTTTCAACAAGTAGTTTAGGGTAAGAGAGAGCATTAGGGCAGTGAAACCGTTCTTCAACCTATTCTCCACAAAATGTTTTAAGTATCATTGTTTTTTAGCAGCGTAATAATTGGTAACTGTTGACACAAGTGCTTGTTGTTGAGTGTTTTTAAGAGCTTCAGAAATAAATGTGAAAAGCTTTTCGCTCATGCCCAACTTTTATTTTCTAACAGTTATCTACCCTCTTCCCTTGTTTCTTATTTGATTCTTACTAGTGCGCACTCTAATGAGCATTCTCCAGTTACTCATTCAAGTGACCATTATTCATGGGAAAGACTTTATATTACACTGTGTGTCGGCAAGCTATTTGGCAATGTGAGTGGTATCAAAAAATGGGTATCAAAGCGTTAAGCAAAACATCTCGAGTGTGATTCACCTGATTTATTAACAAGACCTCCTCATTTTGTAACTCGGCGATTTTTGTTTTGACTTGTTCTCTCTTCTGGCTGTATTCATTTCCCGGTTTAAGATGTACATAGAATTACTGTTCAGCAACGAAGCAGACTATTCAGCCAAACTAGTGCCTGCAAGTGTTTTATTCCACCTGAGCCACTACCGCTCTATTTCCGGTAGATTGCCTCATCTGACGCATTGGCATTTTTCAACAATTTGGCTGTGTCCTTAGTTTTTCAGAGAATGTATGGGGCAAGGGTTGTCTTTCATAATTAGCCAGGACACTGGACTCATTTAAAAAGCAGCTTGATGCTGCGATGGTGGAGGGACTATAGAATCAGTGTTCCACAGGGAGGTGATCGGATGGGCCGAAGTGCCTTCCTCATCCAAACCGATCTTGTGAAACCATTCCTATTATTACCACTTCTTGTCTTAATGAACACAAGATAAGTTTGATTTATTTTCTCTTCCCTCCTCCTCCAAAAAAAAATGCATCACAGAATAGAAAATACTGTTCCAGAATCAAAATAATATTGAAAACAAAAATTCTAAACTATGATGTTTATATTCTTATATAGGAAATGCAAAGATTATTATTATTTCCCCATAACTCCTCTGCCTCTCTTGAAGGAGATTTGACCCATAAGATCATGTTTCTTCACAAGGGAATTGTTGTCAAGTATAGTGATTATCTATCTGTAAGCAGATACAACAGTGAATTTGTGTACAGCCATGTCCCACAAACAGCCATGAAGTGAATAATAATCCTTGCATTTGATATAGCGCTTTATCACATCTTCTAGGCGTCTCAAAGCGCTTCACAGAATATACTGTAAAGTAAAGTGACTGTATATTTTGTGGGCGAAACATGGCAGCTAATTGCACACAGCAGTGGATTTACACAGCATAACAGAGTGACTAATTATCTGGAGAAGTGTTGGTCAGGACACTGGAAACAACTTTTTTTTCTTTTCAGATCACTCTGATCTTTAATATCCATCAGAACTGACAGCCAGACAATTTTACTTTATGATATTGAAGCCAATTTATGAAGCACCTTCAAGACAATAATTCAGATATAAATGAGTTTGGGAGGAACCACTTTACACAGGGACTGTTGAGAATGTGGAATTCATTACTGGGATTAAAACTGACAGGAAACTCGACGAGTACAAGAGGGAGAAGGAAATAGAGCGGTAGTGGCTCAGGTGGAATAAAACACTTGCAGGCACTAGTTTGGCTGAATAGTCTGCTTCGTTGCTGAACAGTAATTCTATGTACATCTTAAACCGGGAAATGAATACAGCCAGAAGAGAGAACTTATAGATATTTCAGGAACTTCCTTACAATGTAACATAGCTACTTCATGCATCAAATTTTGGATTACAATTCTGTTGAACATTGAACCGTGTAAATTTACAGCACAGAAGAAGGCTATTTGGCCCATTGTGTCAGTTCTGGCTCTTTAAAAGCAATCTCCTCTCAGTCCCATTTACCTGACTTTCCCTCCATAGTTTTATTCTTTTTTAGGTATTGATATAGTTTCCTTTTGAAAGCTAATATGGATTCTGCCTTCACCACCGCTCCTAGCTAGGCATTCCATATCCTCACAAAAATCTCCTAACTTCCCCATTTACTGTTTGCTAACTATCTTAATTTGATGCCCTCTAGTCAAGGCTCATTGACCATTGAAAATAATTTCTCGCTGTTGACTCAATTAAAGCCTCTCATGATTTTAAAGACCTCGATCGGTTCACCCCTCAAACCTTCTCGGAAGTGCTTTTTACTTGCAAGCTCTAGTCCAGTGACGTAATGGTTGGTCCCTGGTTTCCAGGAACAGGATGTCAATCGCATCACTTGAGATCTTGCAAAGCCTCCACCTTGAGACTTTATGATGATGCGACCATGCTGGCAACTTCACTGCAATTTAGGAAACTAATACAATTTAATTGAAAATCAGCACTATAAAGTAAAGAGGAGCTGATCAGTAACTCCTCAAAGAATATTGGGAAGCTCTCCCTCCACCCAAAAAAATCAAAGCCAGCGGGGAATAGAAGAAATGAACCAGGAAAATATAGTATTTCTGTATATAGTCAATCTGAAATCATACAGTCCGCTTCTTTACCTGGCTACTAATTATCGGTGCATGCTATTTATGCACTGTTCCTGTGAAACAAAACACATACACATCCTTACATTTTATTTTAAGGAGCAAGAAAGGAGAGAATTCTCCAGGCAGGCATTTCCAGCAACCTACTGAATTCAATTTAAGTTGATAATTGATAATTATAATATCATAATCTTAAAATAAATTAGGGTAAATGATAATTTACAGCAACTTAATGCTACTTTGAAATAATATAAAAACAATTTGTTCACGTATATGGGGAGGGATTGAAGGAAGAAGATAAATAAAACCTGTATTTGTATAGCGCTCTTCATGTGGGGTAGGGTCTTGGAGTACTTAACAGTGGCGGAGTTTGACGCTGAGCCGGAGGAAGTGACGGTAGGCCCGATCAAAGAGGAGGGTCTTCAGGTATGATATATAGACTGACGTGGGGTGGGGGGGGGGGCAGAATGATTGAGGTGGAAAGTTCCAGAGTCTCAGCTTTAGTGGCTGAAAGCACAGCACAGGTGGTGGAGTGGAGGTACTAGGGACATGCTGGAGCCAGCTGAGTGAAGGCGGTGGGTAAATAATTAGGGTGTAAGCAGGTTGGAGAGGTAGGGAGGTGCCAGGGCATGAAATAATTTGTATATGAGTTTAAGGATCTTGAAATCGATCTGTTCTGTAATAGAGAGCCAGTGGAGCCTGGCAAGGATTGGGATAATGGGGTTTGGAGTTTGGTGCGGTTGAGGATATGGGTGGCGGAGATCTGAATGAATTGGATTTTATGAATGGTGGAGCTCAGGAGACTGTCGAGGAGGGTATTGAGTGAGAGTGGGAGGTTGGGTGGGCAATGTGCCAGCGGTGGAGGAGAGCAGTCCTGGTCAGGGACTGGATGTGTGGTAGGAAGGGCAGCTGTGTATCAAACCTGACGCCTAAATTATCTGTCACGACTGGAAAGTGGGGTGTGGGGAGAGGGATCACAATACATTGCATAAAGAAGGGGAAATAAACTAGGTCGATGAACTACATCACTCTTGAATATCAGCAAGCCACAAAATTTTAGAAGCATGACCACTGATTCATTCTTCCACCAGCTTCCTGCCCCTCTTTCCGCTTTTGCTTGATGATCCACGTTGGCCCTGTACAGCTTTGGTATGTTATTGTGCACAAATGGTGCTAGGTAAGTGCGGTACACTAAACAGTTTCAGCTTCTGTAAATAATCATAACTTTGATTATTAGCTTTTCTTAGAAAAGCTGACACACAGACAGCATTAGACATTTTTTCCCCCCTGAGGGGGATCAGATTCTGAAATGTCTTGTACCTAAAGATGCTTTCATAACTAATGAGTCATGCTGTATAACAGTTATCAGACTAGGATGTTTCACTTCCTGAGCCACATTACTGTGCCATGATCATCCTCAAACATCTCTAATCAACTGCAAGTTGCTGGTGAGTTTCTGAGATGTTTGCAAATCCAGCCACAGTGTTATTTGGGACGTTTGTACAGTACTTACCATTATGTTTTCAATCTGATTGTCTTCAATGTCACAGAAAATGAACTCCCACTCCAAAGTCTCATAATCCATGTTTGCCAGATGGCATAGTTCTTTGTGCCGTAAGGTAATTATGTAGAGCGGGAGGGGAGAAGACGTCTTTGTACTTAAACTAAGTCAGAGTGCCCAGGGAAAGAAGTCTTATTGTCTCAGAGGACAAGCTGTTTGAAATGAACCCCACACAAAAACAAAAGTGTAATGAACAAAGTTATTTTAATAAGGTTGTGATGCAGTACTTCACTGTGATACATCATCCTAATGCAGCATTGCTACTGTGGCATAGATTGCTGACAGGAAAAATACAGTAATGGATATGAATTTGTAACTAATGGATGACTTTTTTAAAAAAAAGCATTGTGGACTTGCGTGTCTTTAGTTCTAATTAGATTGGATGGCTGTAAGTAATGTACATATGACACAGTGCATTATTATTATCTTGTGACTGTTGTGTTATGGGCCTGTCCCTGCTACAAACTAGATTGTAAATGGTAAATGTGTTTTGAGTGGGATCCATAAAGTTGTTAAGAGTGAGGATATGTTAAACCCTGGACATAAATGGAGTTAGAGGGAATGGCTTGAAGTGGACCAGAGGTGAAAGGATAATGTGTTATTTGACTTTACTACTCAATACTCAAAAGGGACACATCTGACAGAGTGCATTTGTTTTTGAATGAACAATTGACTTAATGAACATTATGCTTGGATATCATTTTTCTTTACTTATGAGAAAAGAGTGAGGTAAAAAATCTGATCATTCTCTCAGCTGTACTGTAGTAGAATTTAATGCCCTTACATTAGCCACCCTTTGTGGTAAGCCAGCTGTTGATTATACTCTGTAAAGGGATGCCTCCTGATGCTTGCCTTAAATGTGCATTCATAACCCTTTACTACGGGTCCCATTCTTTGTCAACAACAAATGTGGGTTAATACTGTATTAAAGGCTAGCAGTCTGAGTGTAGTTTTGAAAGAGCATGTAGGAGATTTTTAATGTAAGATTGTATTTAATAAAAATATTCAATGCTATGATTGGTAAGGAATGATTAGTAACACGGTTGTGCCAAAATATGGATTTACATTTAGGAGAACATTTCAACAACAACAACAAGATTCCATTTATAGAGCGCCTTTCACGTCGGGAGGACGTCCCAAGGTATTTTGTTCCCTGTTGTAAATACCTTTAAAACCGCATAAACCTGTAATTTGCATATTAATATACCTCAGTGCCCAGTGAGTTACACAAGGAATTTACTTGCCATTACACTAATATGCATTCTGCACACATTTCTTTTATAACCTAGATTTAAACACTGAATTAGTGTTATTATTAGTGGGTATGCTAAAAAAACAGGTGTTAAGTTGTTTAGCAGTTCAGGTTTCTTGTAAAAGGCTGCGAGAGAACATTAAAGTGTCTGGCACATTGCAAGCTGTCCTGTAAAGGTTCTCCTACCACGCTGAAGGCAGATGTTGGTGAGATAGCTGACGAGGGAACTCTGATACCTGGGGGAAGGGGGGGACAGCTGCTGAAAAGTGGGGTCTCCTTAAAGCTGAACAGGCTCCAAGGTCACATGTTTGGCAGTGTCATGTCAGAATTGAGCCAACCCTCCGTGGTGGTCTTGGTAGTCCAGTTCCATGATAAGGCGCTATGTCAAATGCAAGGATTATTATTATATGACAGCACAGCCAGCCTGGCTCATCGGTCTGACTTGGAAGGGCAGACCAGTCACTTGGGCAGGGGACTCTTCCCACTCAGCTCCCGTTAACCCTTCAAGCCAAAGCCGTATTGTCAAGCTATATGGTTTTAGCTGCTTGGACTCCAGCAGTTACCCCAATGTACACTCAGGGTCCCCAAGCCTTGGCTCTTGCCAACGTGTGCCTAATACTTTCCGGAATTAGGTAAACAGGATGCGTCTCTCCAGAGAGAGAGCGCGCATTCCAAGGGTCATTTGTTGCATTTGACGAAAAACTCCAGGAAACTGGTAAATTGTCACTGGAATTTCAGTAAAATGCATTTGTGAGTGTAAAATGTATGTACTTCATCCAGAAAAACACCCCACCATACAACTATTGAATGTGGTCTTCCAGTTTAACCTGGAGAGAGCTGTAGAGTCTTGGGGAAAAGTCCTGGTTATTGTAGTGGGCACATAATTTTTATGTAAGAAATGTATTGCGCAGAAAGTGTACTTCTACAATATTAAAACATAGAGGTTTAAGTACAACTCTTTTTGTCTCTTTAGTTCATATTCCCACTATTTTTAAGTACACTTGCTGATACACTTGAGATAGATAGATTTCTTATTGCAAAAGGGATTAAGGGATATGGGGATAAGGCAGGGTCAGGTTATTAGCTGGAGTTAGATTAGAAGATTAGCCATGATTGAATGGCGGGGCAGGCTCGAAGGGCCGAATGGCCTACTCTTGCTCCTACATGTTATGTTATATCACTGGTTCATTAGCACTATTCATAAGACCATAAGACGTAGGAGCAGGAGTAGGCCATTCGGCCCCTCGAGCCTGCCCTGCCATTTAATAAGATCATGGCTGATCTTCTAACCTAATTCCATTTACCCGCCCTATCCCCATATCCCTTAATCCCTCTCATTTAGAAATCTATCAGCCTCAGTCTTGAATTTGTTCAAGGACTGAGCATCCACAGCCTTCTGGGATAGAGAATTCCACAAATTCACTACCCTCTGAGTGAATTCCCCACGTTATACTCCATGAGCCCCAGACGCAGATTTAGTAGTTGATCAGCAGTGTGTGCTGAAGAGTCTGATGAAGGCATTATATTTTACGGTGGCTAAGAGGTTTAAGTTTGATTTATGGTTTTAAAACTCTTATCTGAAAGGTCCTTCCATATTAATTTAACAGTAAAGTTTTTAAAATTGGTCTGAATATCTAGTGAGTATGCAAGCAATCGTAGGTCAATATAATAATAATAATAATCCTTGCATATGATATAGTGCCTTATCACTTCTTCAAGACATCTCAAAGCGCTTCACACAATATGCTGTAAAGTGAATTGACTATATTTGGTGGGCGAAACGTGGCAGCCAATTGAGCTCAGCAGTGTCCCACAAGCAGTTGTAGATTGAGCGATCAATTTTATATTATTTATTTTGGAAGGTATTATTACCCCCAGAAAAGCAATCCGCCAATAGATTAACAACTGGGTTTTTTTTATTTGTGTACTTATTGCTAGGTAAACAGAGGCACGTGGAGTAAGGAAACCTGCCCAAAGTTTTGCCCTGCCGGGAATTGAACCCAGGTCTCTCGCTTACGCGGCGTGCTCTAACCACTGAGCTACAGGACTCCACTGTAGGTTGAACTGACATAACAGTTTACACTGTACACCAATTTGGAACTGTCTAGTTTGCAAAGCATAAAACAAGCAGTTAAATAATGGTTATTAATGGTTGTAACTCAGTGGTTAGAGTACTCACCTCACAAGAGAGAGACCTGGGTTTGATGTCCGGGTGGGGTGGGGGGTGAAATGTGGGCAAGTTTCCTTACTCCGCACGCCTCTGTTTGCCTAGCAATAAGTAGGAACCCGGTTGTTAGTCGATTGGCGGATTGCTTTTCCGGGTGTAATAAATCTTTCAAAAAAGTAATATTAATAATAAATTGGTCACTCAATCCCCGACTGTTTGTGGGACACTGTTGTGCGCAATTGACTGCCGTGCTTCGCCCACAGAATATACTGCAAAGTGAATTGTCAATTCACTTTACAGTATATTCTGTGAAGTGCTTTGAGACGTCTTGAAGACGTGATAAGGCTGTATTTCAAATGCAAGGATTAAAGAAATTGTATGTTTTATTCTTGTCTGTTAATCCAAATTGTTTTTGTGTTTCCTATTTGAAGGTATACAAATCTGTTTCGTTCGTTTCAGGTAAAGATCTTTGATGACTTTGGAGTTGGACCTTGCCTGCATGTTTAAGGAGGATGAATGCGGAGGAATTGGAGTTATTGAGCGACTCCAAGTACAGAAACTATGTAGCAGCGGTGGATAAAGCCCTGAAAAATTTTGAGTATTCCAGTGAATGGGCAGATCTGATATCAGCGCTGGGTAAACTCAACAAGGTAATGACAATAGGAAAATACAAATGTGTTAATCTTTATGAGCTGATTTGTGCTGTAATAGTGTGCGCCTATTACGCAGTAAACTGTTTAATAATTTTTTTACCTTAAAGTATTGTACAGTAGACTGCTATAATTTGCATATGAGAAAGAGCTCTTTGTGTTTAATTGATGTGTTTTAAACAAATTCGGCAAGGAAGTCACTTTTTGAATCTTTATATTTTGAATCTTTATATTCATGACTATTCACTATCAATTCGAAGTGTTTGCATGTAGACCTAACGGATACACAGGCCTTTAAATGTGGGAGTGCAAGTAGACAAAACTACATAAAAACAAATTGGATCTAGGTTTTATACAAAAGTGACATTGAATATGAACAAAGAGTTGATGTTTTATTTGTAAGATCACAATTTGAGTATTCTGGCCTGTTTTGGGCACCTCGTTATAGAAATGCCATCACAGACATAGACTGACCAGGTTCAGTGGAAACTCATTACGGTCAAGAATGGAACAGTTATTTGGAGATATTTGAAGCGCTAGAATTGTTGTTATTATCACAGACAAGATTAAGCTGGGATTTAGAAGGTTTCCAAAACCTATGAACTTAGTGTGCGATAGGGGCCTCCTGATTTGTTGGTGCTTGGTTTTGACAGGTAAAATTTCTCCCCAGTACATTATTTCTACTGATTTAAGAGTCATAAATATAGAGGGTGTACAACAACAACAACATCAAGATTCCATTTATTGAGCGCCTTTCACGTCGGGAGGACGTCCCAAGGCGCTGTACAGTTGGGTCAGGACCCGAGCATCAGGGGGAAATGGTCAGGGTGAGGGGAGGGAAGGGAGGGAGCGAAGAAGGGGTAGAGAGTCGAGAGGGGAGCTGAAGGCACGGTCAAAGAGAAAGGTCTTGAGACCGGCCTTGAAGGAGGAAAGGGAGGAGGCGGCGAAGGCACTGGGGGATGGAGTTCCAGAGCCTCGGGGCTGAGAGGCTGAAGGCCCGACCACCAATGGTAGGGCGGTTGGGGCGGGGGATGTGGAGCAGACCGGAGCCAGAGGAACGGAGGGTATGGGCAGGTAGGTAGGGGGATAGTAGGTCGGAGAGGTAGGAGGGAGCGAGGCCGTGAATGGCCTTGTAGGTGAGGATGAGGATCTTGAATTCGATCCTCTGGGGGATGGGGAGCCAGTGGAGGCGAGCGAGGGTGGGAGTGATGTGGTCCCGAAGCCTGGTGCGGGACAGTACACGAGCTGCAGAGTTCTGAATGACCTGCAGCTTGTGGAGGGAGGTGGCGGGAAGGCCGGCGAGGAGAGAGTTCCCATAGTCCAGCCTTGAGGTGATAAAGGCGTGGACCAGAGTTTCAGCAGCGTGAGGGGTGAGGTAGTGCCGTAGTCTGGCGATGTTCCGGAGGTGATGGAAGGCGGTGCCAGTTGTGGTGCGGATATGAGGGAGAAAGGACAGCTCAGGGTCGAACAGAACCCCGAGGTTCCTGACTGGCTTTGAGAGGTGGAGAGTGCAGCCTTGGATGCTGATGCTGTCAGCGCCTGAGGTGCGGAGGCGCTGACGTGAGCCAATCAGGAGGGCCTCAGTTTTGCGCACGTTGAGCTGAAGAAAGTTGTCTCTCGTCCAGGACTCGATGTCGGACAGGCAGGCTGTCAGGACATCGGTGGTCGTGGAGTTGAGGGTAGAGGAGGAAAGGTAGAGTTGGGTGTCATCCGCATACATGTGGAAGTTAACCCCATGTCTGCGGATGATGTCACCGAGGGGGAGCATGTAGAGGGTGAAGAGGAGGGGACCGAGGACAGAGCCTTGAGGGACACCGCACGAGACAGTGCGGGGGATGGAGGAACAGCCGTTCGTGGAAACAAAGTGAAGACGGTGGGAGAGGTACGACCTAAACCACTCAAGGACAGGGCCTTGAAGGTTGAGGTGGGAGGACAAGCGGTGGAGGAGGATAGCGTGGTCGACCGTATCGAATGCTGCCGATAGGTCGAGGAGGCAGAGGGAGCCCTGGTCACAGATGGTCAGGATGTCATTGGTGACCTTGACCAGGGCAACTTCTGTGCTATGGGCAGCACGGAAACCTGACTGAAGGGGTTCGAGTAATGAATGGTTGGAGAGGAAAGAGCGCAGCTGGGAGGCGACAACTCTTTCAAGGACCTTGGACAGGAAGGGGAGGTTGGAGATGGGCCGGTAGCTTGATAGCTGCGACGCATCAAGGGAGGGTTTTTTCAAGGTGGGAGTGATGGTGGCAGTTTTTAAGGGAATGGGAACAGAGCCACAGGAGAGGGACAGGTTGACGATGTGTAATTTGAGTATCATCACTTAACAAAAAAACACAAAAGACTAAAAGGAATCTTTTACACCGGGTAATTATGGAGTGTTTTACCATAAATGGACATTGAAACTGAGTCCTTCACAGCATTTAAAAGGGAATTGGATAAATCCATGACAGAAAAATATTACAAGCTTCAGGAATACGCAGGGATCAAAGTGATAGCTCCAGAGTGAAAGCTAGCTAGTGTGGTGTAATCCCTTGGATAAAATAATCATAATCCTCCATTTTATATAGCAACTTATCACATCAAAATGTCTGGAAGCAGTGAATGAAATGCATTGTTAGAGTAATTTGAGCAGCAGCCCGCATTCAACAATGAAGGCTTGAATTCTGAGTGCAGATTATTTGATCTACGTGCCTGCAGGGGTTACGTATTGCACATTTACTTGAAATTGCTGACTAAGTTCCACTGAAAGCTCTTGAGTGTTGTGGTTTGTTCAACTCGTCTGATGTAGTTCTCTTTGTAAAACCTTCTTCATCCAGCATTTCGTCCACAAAATACATAGTCGATTCACTTTACAGTATATTCTGCAAAGTGCTTTGAGACGTCTCAAAGATGTGATAAGGCACTATTATTATTATCCTAGAAAATCCTGACTTTAGCAGTTGCTTTTACCAAGGTTAAAGATATGCTTGTGCTCTGTTAACAGGTTTTGCAAAACAATGCAAAGTACCATGTGGTCCCAAAGAAGCTGACGGTTGGCAAGCGCTTGGCCCAGTGTCTTCACCCAGCATTGCCCAGTGGTGTTCACCGGAAAGCGCTAGAAACGTACGAGATAATTTTTAAAATGATTGGCCCCAAGCGGCTGGCAAAAGATCTCTTCTTATACAGGTGTGCTATTCATTAATTCCTCCTTTATTAAAAACAATCATGTTAAGACATTGCATATTTAGTGAATCAATGTGTTTGAACAGTTACAGAGTGTTGAGACATTTATTATGTAAAGTAATGAACATGCAATCTGACTGAACTCTCTATGGGGCATTGCAGTTCTTAAGATACGGATTTGGTTGTTAAACAATGAATATTTAGGATTGCCCAGTTTTTGATCTAGAATACATATTTTATTACTTTGCAACTCAGAATATAGATTATTACTTTGTAATTCAATATTTTATTCTGTACTATTTTTAAAAATATATCTTGCGTGGACATGCTCTTCTGTATGTGTTTTGTCTGCTGTTGCTCAGGAAGCCCTGGAATCTGAATTCTATTTTTTCCAGCAGATCTCTGGTTAGTTTTATGAACTATTTAATCCGAACTAGTTGTGTTTTGTGAAATATTGTATTTGGAACTAATTTGAGAATGATTCTCTCTTCAGTTCTGGCCTCTTTCCTCTTCTCGCCAATGCGGCCATGTCTGTCAAGCCGGCACTTTTAAGCTTGTACGAAGTTTACTACTTGCCACTGGGTAAGACTCTGAAGCCAGGTCTGCAAGGCCTTTTGACGGGAGTGTTGCCAGGCTTGGAAGAAGGCTCTGAGTATTATGACAGGTAAGAGGATGCATTGTTTGTTGCATGAATATCTGTATGTGTTTCAAGGGAACACGTGGGTGCTTTCTTTTGTAAGGTTAAAATATTTTTCACAAATTTGTTCTGTATTTCAACCTGCAAATGATGTGTATTTATTTGTTGGGCTAAAACGAGCTTTTCAGTCAAATATTAAGGGTGCCTGAAACATTATACACGATGACATGTAGCAGAGCTCAGAAGTCCTTGTAGTGATCTGTGCTCTGAACTTTAGCATCAAGCTTATTTCAATCCTTTGATCTACCACCTGGTATTCTCACAAAAGATCCAACCAATTAGAACTTCTTATCCTTGTCCTTCCAGGTCAAAGATAGAGAGGGAGTAGACTGAGCAAATATTTTAATCAATTTGCAGGAGGAAGTATCATCATCCACCACAGTGTCACTAAAGGTCTTTTAGAATGCCATCTAATCCAAGCTTGTCCTGGAAATCTGTGCATAATAATCCTTGCATTTGATATATATCGCGCCTTATCATGTTGTTGAGACATCTCAAAGCGCTTCACAGAATATACTGTAGAGTGGATTGACTTTATTTTGTGGGCGAATCGTGGCAGCCAATTGCACACAACAGAGTCCCACGATAGTCGTGAATTGAGTGACCTGAAATGGCTAAAAATAAGCACCTTAACTACCAGGAAGGATTTGGTTTGTTCATTGCAAATGATTTATTTTCAACATGGTGCAGATAGCATGAGCATTCAATGTACACAACTGATGGAAACCTGAGTTGAGAAGAGCAGCACTCAATGTATTTATTGCGGAGTTTACAAAATGTAAAGAATTTATTTCTAGGCACACAAACCAATGCCTCCAAATGGCAGCTGTTGATGTGGTTGGCGCATTATAGCCAAAAGAGCTAACATTACCTGGGTGACTTGAGATTAAAACAAATGCATTACTCAAGACTGATATTGCCAAGGACACAACTAAAAATGGAACAAGGAATGGAAACAATTGATTCTGGTAAGATTTCCATGTATGGAACCACCTCCATTACTTCAAATATTGCAGTTTAATATACATTGGATAATATGTATTGCAGCAATATATAATTCAAATGTTTTATTAAATATTCTTGTGACAATTCTTTAATTACTTCAAAAAGTAAAAAACTATTTTACAATGTTTTATTGTCATGTTGTGTATGTTTAGTAATCAAGATTTTATCTTTATAACTCCAGATGATTCCTCCACATCTTCATCCTTGGAGTAGAAGCAACAACTGCTGTCATGATCTTGTAGGATGATAATGAAGGTTCTGCCCAGAAAAGGAACCTGATATGCTTGATGGAGAAATATAAACCACGGACTTTAACACCACCTGTAGGACGCATCCTTCAGTGTACAATTGGGGAATTGGGGGACATTGTATGGAGGTTTTCTGCTTGGGTCCAACACAGGTTGGAAACACATCAGCCAAAGTATAAACTACCGTGGAGCCCTGTAGCTCAGTGGTTAGAGCATGTGCCTTGCAAGAGAGAGACCTGGGTTTGATTCCTGGCAGAGCAAAACTTTGGGCAAGTTTCCTTACTCCATACGCTTCTGTTTACCTACCAGTAAGTAGGAACCCGGTTGTTAGTCGATTGGCAGATAGGTTTTCCGGGGGTAATAATTCCTTAAAAAAATTTGTCACTCAATCCACAACTGTTGGTGTGCGCAATTAGCTGCCATGTTTCGCCCACAAAATATACAGTCAAATATATACAAAATATACACTTTACAGTATATTCTGTGAAGCATTTTGAGACGTCTCGAAGACGTGATAAGGTGCTATATCAAATGCAAAGATTATTATTGTTATTTGTGCCTTCAACTCTTCCACTACACTGGAGCACCTATGGAGTCTCTAGGTCAAAGTTTAAATAATTTGTGAACATTGCATTGTAGATCCAGACATGTGCGTTTCATTGCAATGGGTTTGCAGTGTTATGTTGTCACAAAATGTGGGTCTGATTGATATATTGGAATGATTACGACTTCACTGGTCCTCATCTCTCTTGTGCTTGGATTACAACATACAGACAATCATCAAATCAACTGAAGGCAACTTGGGGAGTCCTGTGTTGCACTGTAACTGATGTGTCACTCCAACCTGAGGGTGACTTTGTGAGAATATCATCATTGATGATTCCTCATAACTAGTGAAGACAATAAATAAGGCTGCAAATGTGCATATTGTTGAAATGTGACTTTCACAGGATTATTTACTTATGTTGTACAGCAACATTTAAAGTCTCATGATGTTAAAAATAATAACTACCATTGCATTTGATATAATACCTTTCATATCAGATGGGGTGGGGAAACATCTCAAAGCTCTTCACGGGATCTATTGTAAACTGTAGTGACTGTCTATTGATGTGGGCAGCTAATTTACATATTGCAAATGTTCCACAAGCAGCCAGGAGAAACTCCCTTCTCTTCCAAAAGTGCTACCGGATCTTTAACGTCCACCTAAACAGGCAGGTGAGACCTTGGTTTAACATATTATCTGAAAGACAACACCTCCAACAATGCAGTGCTCCCCAGTATTTGCACGTCAGCCTAGAATAGTTCAGTGTCTTGACATGGGGCTTGAACCCAAAACCTTCTGCCTCGGAAGTGAGTGCTACCAAATGAGCCAGGTTGACACCTACATATTGCAGTTTTTTACACATGTTTATTAATATTACTGCATTTATTTTTGGCAATTTACATGTACTTTACGATTAGCACTTATTGAGGGAATATGATGAGAGTTAACTTTGCAGAGCAAACATATTTTTATTTACTGTAAACGTTTCTCTATTGAAATAAAAATATATAACTGTATTGATCACTTATTTGTCATGGTTTTTTTTGTGATGATACTTGTGATGATACTCTTCTTTCTAAGTACCTTGATAGATTGCTGAACTCTGACTCCTAAAGGACTCAAATTACTTCCCCTGAAACCCGCTTTTCTCCTGTGGGCCCCTTCATTAACACATTAAAGCAGCATGTGCTATATGTTGTACCATTGTACCATCAACACAGAAACACAGCTGTGTTGAAACCCTAGATTTTTATGAGTACATTTTGCAAAGAAACCCTTTCGCATAATTCAGCAGTACAGTAGAACTTCCGACACTAGTTGAATTAATTAATCCATGATGGTAGTAAGCAATCCAAGGAAGCAATCAGCTTCAGAATAGATTGTAGACAGTTTCAAAATGTGCCTCTGCCTCCTTTCCTGCAGTTGTAATATGACATTTCCATTTTCCACACCAGCCATCACTGTGATCTTCTCAGATTGACAATTAGGGGAGATTTTGTGCTGTTTGCTTAAATCCATGAAGAACTGAGTTGAGAGTGCCCAAACTCATTTCGCATTAGATATTTAGAACCAGTCACATCTGTCTGCTCAGCATTTGTGCCCACTCCCAGAGATCAAAGGACATTGCTATAATAGGATCTAGTAGAAACCATATTTCACATTTTTATTATGTGGAACATGGTCATTTCCATGTTTAGCAATCGTACTGGAGATGATTAGCAAATCATGATTTGCTGGTTCTGAATTGTTAAAGCTCCAGTACCATAAACCAAAGGTCATCATGTTAAAAACTTTATTTTAAGAAAAATTGCCATACTGAAATGATTTGTACTAAGTGAAAGTAATACTGTATTTAGGAATGTAGTTCTGCTAAGTTATTGGTTCTGTAATTGGTCATGTTTGAAATGCTATTCTAGCTATCACAAAACCTGACTTTACATCCGTTGTGTGTTATTCCAGAGCTCCATTGTCTGATTAATCCGTGTTTTACAGTTGTGTTTTAATCCACTATTTTGTTTAATTCCCCATTATTTTAATGTTTTACACACAGAACAAATACCTTGCTGGAAAAGGTTGCAGCTGCGGTGGAACAGTCTGCTTTTTACAGTGCCCTTTGGGGCAGTATCCTGACCAGCCCTGCTGTCCGCTTGCCAGGAATCACCTTTGTGCTCTTGCATCTCAACCGCAAGCTCTCGATGGAGGACCAGCTATATGTCATCGGCAGTGACATTGAGCTGATGGTACTCACATTTTCATACATTTCATTATTTTTGATTCATTTTCATGTAAAGTCACCGAGTTGTAATTTATTCAATTTCAAAGCTGGATAGAGATTACCTTTTAGTTTCGTTGAGTATCATACTGTTAGGAATCCCCTTAATTTGTACTGCCAAACAAATATGTCTTCAGTATGATCCCCCTGTGTAGTGAAGAGCCTGTCAACACTCATTCGAGGCTCACACACAAATAAATGTGGTTCCAGTGGAACTGCACCTAGTGGAAGAGAAGGTAACACCTACCTGAACACAGAACAGTTACCCTAAAAAAGGTAAAACCTAGAATTGCAATGAATGCGTAGATGACTAAAGAAATGGAAGTTAGGAAGAACACAACACTCATGAATGACAGTTATATGTGAGTTATAAACATCTATTGCATATGTTTTACCTAATAAATTATTAGCATTTTTTCTTTATTAAATCAACAGATTTTAGCCATAATTTTAAAGCTCATCATCACATATATATACCACAAAATATACAGTCAATTCACTTTACAATATATTAAACGATAATAAATTGGTCACTTCAATCCACGACTGTTTGTGGGACACTGCTGTGTGCAATTTGGCTGCCACATTTCACCCACAAATATGCAGTCAATTCACTTTACAGTATATTCTGTGAAGAGCTTTGAGACGTCTAGCAGACGTGAAAAGCGCTATATCAAATGCAAGGATTATATTATATCAAATGCAAGAATTATTATCTATACAAATAGTGAAGACTCAATTGAATTGAGGTAATGAGATAACTGATGTGTTCTCAATATCATCACACACTTGTTTTTTATGCTATTGGAATAGTGGAATGAATATCTGGGAGGAAGACACAGAATTGTAGGGAAAAAATCTGTAACTGACAAACAAAGGTACATATGTTTACAGGGATAAAGTTTGAGAAAGTGTAAATTAGCCAAGCAAAAATGTTTGTTTCCTAAATGGTGCTTTTTGTAACTATGTCTAATTCTCTTCACTAAAGATATGCACGTAATGGGAATGAGTCGATGCTTTTATACAAAAAAAAGGTTGCCAGACTGTCAAAGCACGGTTCTGAGAATTGAGTTCAGCACACCTATCATAACATACTAATTCTGTGTGAGATTTTACTACAGTACTGTATTTATCCTGAGCAGAATTTAATTCTCTCCCTGTGGGATGCACCTGGATTCTGGATCCTACCATTCCATATCATAGCACTTTGAGGCAACAGCACCATGCTGATTACTCTTGTTTGAACAACTAGTCCCATTAGTTACCTAATATGGACGAATGATGAGCCCAGAAGCACAAGATACTGAATTCAAATTCATAGGTGGTCACTTTCCTCATTTACTTTAGCTGTATTAAAGGCCTGGTATTACTGCCCAGGCTGTTTGTAGCTCTCTCTTGTCACTAATACTCACTTTGCATCCAATCTTGTAGGTTGAAGCAGTGAGCGTTTCAGTCCAGGACTCCAGTGTACTTGTGCAAAGAAGCACCTTGGACCTCATTCTGTTCTGCTTCCCATTTCATCTGAGTCAGGTATAGAATGTTTATAATGAATATATGAGAAGCACTGACTCAATTAGTTTGATTTACAATGTATCTAATGTATAGATGTAGATTGTTTGGATTTTAGTAGGCGGCTAGTTGATGAACAGGAAGCTTTGATATCAATACTATGTGTCAGAATTGTTTATTAGCAAACAGAATATGAGGTCGACAATGTGCGTTATTAGCGTTTTTTCATGAATAGAAATTATCTATTTGTATGTAAAAAACATTCGTTGTAAATGATGCATTTATGTATGGCTTGACTCATTTTATTGAATATAATGTTACTTTGAATGTGGCACATGCTAGAAATCATTAATGCAATGGTCAATCCAGTGAATCATCACTTAGTAGACAGTGTAAGTAACAGATCATATTTTTGTTAGTTTACTGCATAATCCCAAAGGTTTGTCAGACAAAAAAGGGAAAAATGTATATGGTTCATGTTTCACTGCTTGGTGTGGTTATTATTGTGAGCTTTAAAGGTCCCTTGGCACTGTTTAGAAAAACTGGTGTCTTAGCCAATGTCCCTCTCTCACCTAAAATCCACAAAAAGCGGATTAATTGTTTGTGGGATTTTGCTCGCCCAGATAAATTGCCCATTTGTCTACATAACAGCAGTTTTACATTTATATAGTCCCTTTAACGTCGGGTCATCTCCCAAAGTGCTTCACAAAGTCAACTATGTACCCGAGCGGGGATGGGGGAGCTAAGGAGTGTTGGAGCTAGGGAAAGGTGATCAAAACCACAGTCAAAAAAGAAAGGTCTTAAGATGGGTTTTAAAGGTGGGAAAGAATGGGGCAAGCAAGGCAGAGGGATGGAGTTCCAAAGAGTGGGACCAGAATGACTGAAAGCTCTTCCACTGATGGTGGGGCAGGTGAGGTGGGGAACATGAAGCAGGCCGGTGATGGCTGAAGGGAGGGAATGATAAATTTGCTGGAGATTGCAGAGGTAGGGTGGAGGGGGCCGTGGAGGATTTGAATGTGAGATTGAGGAACTTGAATTTGATCTGCTGGGAATGGAGTGCCGGGGAGCTGAGCAAGGATGGGGGTGATAGACTCTTGGAGCCCAGTGCAGGAGAGCACACGGGCTGCAGATTTTTGGATGGTCTGCAGCTTGTGTTAGGGAAAGCTGGGGGAGTCTGCCGAGCAGGGCGTTGGAATCGTCGAGCAGTAGTTGTGAAAATTGTCCCTTTTAGATCACAATCTCGCTGTCTGTGCGCACTTTGTATCTTATGACATGTTGACAGCGTTTCAATAATTTCCACCAGTTTCTTTTTCAGTGCCAACTCACTCTTCCAGCTTCTGTTTGGAATATTTTAAAATTTGTGTTTTGTTTTGTCACTTTCATCAGGCCACTCGCCCAGACATGATACAGATCCTGTCTGCAGCTTTGCATGTAGTACTTCGCAGAGATATGTCCCTCAACCGTAGGCTCTATGCATGGCTTCTTGGTAAGTTGCACGTTCTGAGTTGCACATGTTAAAACGATTGAAGACTGTCAGCCAATGTACCATCTTAGATGTCTTGCAAGCAGCCCACCGGAATATAGTCTATACCAGATAAAAGTTGATAATCCAGTCACATTAGGCACTGTGTTGATAATTCAACTGTATCAGGTACTGTATGAACTGTACATTATTTCCAGTGGACTGGTTAATGTGTAGGCCAATCATGCACAGGATTTGATGGCCTGTGAATGAGGCAAGCTCAACAAGTAATGCAAGCTCAGTGATGATGGGGAACCTTTGTTTGCTTTAGATGCATTTGTGTTACAGTCTGACCCGGTTAGAACATGGCTCTGGTGTAGCACAGATCCATTTATAATCTGGATGTACTGTGGACCTGCTCCATACTGAAAGTGCAGTACACTTTTGGCTTCTGTTGCTGACTGTTCACTTCCTGCCTACTGTGACAGCTGCATACCCACGCATTCGTCACATCAAGGCTCGATTACGGAAACTCCCTCCTCATCGGCCTTCCCAACTCGTCCCTTCACAAGCTACAGATCATCCAAAACTCTGCAGCTCGTGTACTGTCCCGCATCAGGCTCCGCGACCCCATCACTCCCACCCTCGTCCGACTCCACTGGCTCCCCATCCCCCAGAGGATCGAATTCAAGATCCGCGTCCTCACCTTTAAGGCCATCCATGGCCTTGCCCCCTCCTACCTCTCTGACCTGCTGACTCCCTACCAATCTGCCCGCTCCTCCGTTCAGCGGGCTCTGGCCTGCTCCATGTCTCCCACCTGACCCGCCCTACCATCGGTGGCCAGGCTTTAAGCCTCTCTGCCCCCACACTCTGGAACTCCATCCTACGGTCCCTTCACCTCACTTCCTCCCTTGCCTCCTTCAAGTCCGGTCTCAAGACCCTTCTCTTCGACCGTGCCTTTGGTCTCCCTCCCACCTCTCTTGCCTTCCCTCACCCCTACCCCACCACTCCCCCATGCTCGGGCCCCGACACCTGATTGTTCAGCGCTTTGGGACAGCGGTGGCACTGACCAACAGTGCCACTTGCTTACAGTGCACATGTGCTGCATGCAGGAAGTGATATCAGCGACCATTTTATATCCCAGGTCTTTGTAACCATGGTCTGGTTTTTCGGTCCCAAGTCACAGACTGAATGTAGTATTGCAAGCGGTGCTGTCCATCTATGTAATTCTATGCAGTTTAGTCAGTCTGCTTGCAAATCATTGACTAAAACTGTCTATGTTTTTTTTTGTTACTTTCTTTTAATGGACTGCCATTTGGTAAGTAAATTAAAGAATCATTATTGATTACACTTATCTTACACTTGTCATCCTCATGTTCGTTGCTGTTGGAGTTTTAAATGTTTGTTTTTGCTCCTGATTTGTTTAGGATTTGATAACAACGGTGTCGCTGTAGGCCCCAGGAGCACCAGACACAGCAACCATGAGGAACACTCCATTTACTATTTTAATACCTTCTCCAAGGATCTCCTGGTTCAGGTACAATACAAAATACAATACAAAATTACATTTATGTAGAGTCTTTCACATCGGGAGGATGTTCCAAGGCGCTGGACAGTCGGGGATTTGGACCCGAGTTGGGAAGGTGAAGGGTAGGAGGATGGCCAAGGAAGGAACATCAGTAGTTATAACCTGCATGAATCCTGGTTGCTCTTCATACACCATGTAATGATGGGTCCCAAGAGCAGTTTGTTAAGCATCAGATGCTTTGTATTTCAATTCAAAGCTGTGCCAGAAAGATTTGCTCTCTTCAGTGTTTCTCTTTACAGTCTGTGAAATCATTGTCAATATAAATGCTCTGTTTCATGGCTCTTAATGGTTTAGAGTGAGCTAAATATTATATGAGGCAAAAAATTTGCTCCAAAGTTAACTTCAAATGGATCCTATTTCTGTGCATATCAAAATTTTCAATAATTTATTTTAACAAAATATGCAAATGAGAATGTGGATAAGCGTTTCCCCATTTATGGGAGCCCAAGTCCCATTGCAACAACAACAATAAATTTAATTTTAATATTTTCAAATTGAGGAATTTCTAATTTATAGTCATTTGCTTGATACTGTTCTAGCAGTGAGTATCTAGCTTTTTATGGTAAACACTTTGCTATTTGGCCATTGAATAATTATTTTCTTTCCCCTCTTCTAGGCTATGGTGGGAATCTTGCAAGGAAAAGGACCCAGGGAGGAAGAAAGTACACCATCACATGACCTCAAACCTTTTCGCATTCTCATTAGTCTGCTGGACAAACCAGAGCTAGGTACTACACACGGTGGACAGGAATACTGTTCATTCCTCTGTTGTCTTGAGACCAGAGGGAGTAAGTTGCAACAAATCTCAATATAAGCCCTCTCCAGGATAAACATTTGTTCTACAACCATTGGCCTTACCTGTCTGCAACACAAAGAGCATGAATATACTGTAGTAAAGATCCACTGGATTTCAAGTTTAAATTGAACAGCCTCAGATGTCTCTGTAGCCTTTACATGAGGGAGATATTATTTTACAAATAAATTCCTCACTGTTGTGATCTGATGATCTGAAATGAGCAGACGAAAACACAGTCAACAGCCTTTGGCTTTCTGTGCCTAAGCACATTCTACAGAATAGTGGAGAGATTAGGATCATGCTTGCAATCCCCCCCAATACAGTGATGTGCGATGAGCCATCAAAGTCACTAAGCCCAAAACACGATACGTTACTAAAGAATGTGCTGTGTGACAGGGTGGATGTATCAAGGTTACTTCCACCACCAACATACCTTGACCAGGGTTCTGTCCATCTGCGACCAGGTATCCCTCTGCCTCCTCGTCCTCCTTGACCTCTCTGCTGCTTTCGTCACCGTCGACCACTCTATCATCATCCACCACTTCTCCTCTCACCTCAACCTTCACGGTTCTGTCCTTGACTGGTTCAGATCGTACCTCTCACACCCCCTGTATCTCATCTCCTCAAACGGCTTCTCCTCTAGCCCCCGGACCGTCTTGTGCGGCGTTCCTCGGGGCTCTGTCCTTGGTCCCCTCCTCTTCAACATCCACATGCTCCCCCTTGGTGACATCATCCGCAGACATGGGGTCAACTTCCACATGGACGCGGATGTCTGTCAGACATCAAGTCCTGGATGAGAGCTAACTTCCTTCAGTTGAACGTCAACAAGATCGAGGCCCTCCTGTTGTTGTTGATGCTGTCCCTACTTGTATTTTTATTTCCCTTTTTATGCTTCTCTCCCTCCCTCCCTGTTTTTAATATTTTAAACATGTCTTCCTTGTTGCTCCTCACATCTTGAATTGTTGATTGGCAAACAGTTGAATAAGTAACTTAATGTCAGCCTGTACTATCACCACTTGGTAACTAGTCATTTACAGATGTGCAAGAGTGGCCTTAGGTGTGTGTTATTCTATAATCGGTTTTGTTTCCCTCCCTTTCTTTGGGAATGTATCTTGCTTTGGGCTTGGTGATTCCTCTGATGGAACTGTAGAAATTGGGAACTCACTGTATGTTGGGGGAGGGATTGCAAACATAATCTCGCCACCCTCTGTTGTGCAGTGTGTAGGCACAGAAAGCCACAGGGAGCTGGCTGTGTTTTCACCTGTTAATTTCACATCATCATTTTACATCTGAATGGAGAAGATGGAATGAGCTAATTTGCTTTAACTTGTTGACTTCTGTTCAGCTGTGAACTGGTTTTAATAAATGGCAAAGAAAACATGGAATGTATCCTGTTATTTTCTAGGGCCAGCAATCCTGGAAGATGTGCTTATAGAGGTTTTTAAAACACTGTATACACAATGCAAAGCAGAACTGAATCTTAAGGCTCCATCTCCTTACAACAAGGACCACACTCAGTTAAGCAGGTATTTTGATGTTTACCTAAGTATATAACCACAGCAGTATGATCATATATTGTCCATGTAAAATGTACGTTGTAACACAATTGGCTATAAAATTTTGGGTCTTCAGAAAAAAATGGGTTTACTACTTCCACTCAAAAGAGATTAGAAAATAACAGTTTTATTCACTTAAGCAGTCTGTACACATGTGGACCCAGCCGTAACCACAAGTTCATTTTTGCCAATTATCATTTTCTTTCAGTAAAATGAGAGAGAATAAGAAGACTTCAGAGCTGATTAAAACTGCAAATCTTCTATTTAATTCCTTTGAACCATATTACATGTGGGACTACATAGCTCGTTGGTTTGAAGAATGTTGTCGGTAAGTCCTCACAGATGCAAAGTTGTAAGTTCGCCGAGACACTATCCCACTTGAAGGGCACTATATAAATGCAAGTGGTCTCGTCTTGTAGTAAACACAAAAGGTTGTATTTCTCTCAGGTTTTCATAACTGAATTGATTTGAAAAATTCAGGGAAGTGAATGCTATGGATTGCATTGAATTGTTTAGTCAACATCTTCATATTTCCCAGCTCGATGTGCACCACTATATCTGTAAAAAGTTCCTTGAGGCATTCTTTTACATGAAGTTTATGTTGATTAATATAAGTTATTAATATAAGTTGATGTTGTTGAAGTATTGGTTTGCCACAGGTTGTATAGTATTAATATGGACCATATATAAAAATATAACAGAATTACCTCTCACATTTTCCAGTCTGAACTTGGTTTAACTTTTTTAAAAAAAACGTCTATTTGGGCAGTATATATTGATGTCCAGCATTCAAATGTAAATGTCAGTCCTATTCAAGGGTTTCTATATCCTGCAGCTCTGAATGTTCTGATTAGAACTTGTTAGAGTTGTGTTTTCAGTTTTGTGTGGAAGGTAAAATGATAAGCTGAGAAAGAAATCTTAAGACGTTTGCTTTGAACTAAAAATAAAAAAGTTACTCAGCTGGCCTTGTATTTTATTGATGGACATAGTGATACAGTAGTTTGAAACTAATCAAACCTGCCTTTCTGTAGAGATAGATAATACTTGCCTTCCCTTTGCTTGCTAGGAGAACACTGAGTGCAAGAATGCAGGCATCATCTGGTGGCAAGGAGATGTCAGAGTACACTCTGGCTGAATTCTGTCTCTTGGTTGACTTTCTATTGGACATCGTTTCACTGGTAAGGATTTGACTCCTGCACTAGCTGGTATTGATAGCTGGGCTGTATTTGTTTGGGAGCATTGTTGTAAATTATTAAATGTTATGTTCCGAAATACTATAGTTCTCTGCAGTCTTACTCCTCCCCCCCCCCCCCCCCCAGCTCAGAGTCAGGCACGGCCACTGTTAAAGCGCTCTGAGAAGCTAGGCTGTGTGGCAGGCGCTATATAAGTGCGAGTTGTTGTTGTAGTATTGTACCTGTGAAAAGTACTCTTTACGTAAATTATAACTTCAAAAGTAGAGATTGATTTTTAATTGTCATGTTGAGGTTATTCTCTGGACCAGGATCTCTATTTTGTGAGGCTGTATGAGACTCAGATTTGTCTGCTTTTAGAGCCTAGCTTCAAAAAAGTGGTTAAAGTGACATCGTGATAGATGTGTTTAAATATTAAACTATTTCTCCAATGGCCAAGTGAGTAAAGGCAGTGTGACCTGAAAGTTGCAGGTTTCTGTTCAGAGTTAATTGATCACAGCTAGAGAAGCTATAGCCCTGCTATAATTGATCTCAGCATCCCAAGTATTACTGCCAGAAAATGAATGAGAAGATGAAAAGCATTGCTGATTCCTTTTTGTTATAGGATTGAATAGGAGGAACAGTATGTATTTGGTGTTTATGTTAATAGACTGCAAAATACTTAACTTCTTAACTACTTTACTTTTCAATCAGATAAAAAATGTAGTTCCTGTTCAAACCAACAATCTCTGTGTCCCATTTCCTGCCATATTCTTCTACACAATTAGAGCAAAACAAAATAATGAGATGACAGTAATGCCTGAGTGGCACAAAATGTCATGATTGTGTCTTTTGTAGAAAGCACTAACACAGACCATAGTTACAACCCTGAGACCTTTGATAGATTTTTATGACTTAAACTGAAACATGTATTTATGGTAATCTTCATAACATCAACGTCTGTTTATTGCAGCCATAAACCATCAGATCTGGGAAGTCAAGCGGAACTTGACTTTATATATTAAACCAACTTAATCCAGTCGATCTGAATTACAAAATGATAGAATTGTTTGTGCCATTTGGTTGTTGAATATTCATATCACACACAGTATTTGTTTGAAGTTGTGTTGGCTGTTGCATTCCAAAATGTGATACTATTATTTAATAATAAGAATTCTTGCATTTGATGAGGTGTCATATATGTTGCCATGACATCTCAAAAGAGATTCACAGGATTTTTGTTAACTGTAAAGTGGAGTGACTATGTATTTGTAGGTGGACATGACAGCCAATTTACACACAGCAATTTCCACAAACAACCATGAAGTGAATGACCACTTTTATTTGGGGATTGGTGGGTAGGACACTGGGAGAGACTCCCTTTTCTTTTTGAATAGTGCCATGGGATCTTTACCGGACACCTGGACCAGCAGATCGGTTTAACGTCTCAGCCTAGACTCTTGAGTCTGGATGTAGGGTTTGGACCCACACCTTTCTAACTCAGGGGTGAGAGTGCTACAAACTGAGCCGGCCTGGAGGTATCTGTTGAGCGCTACTGGGGGTTGGAATTGAGCATCAATAACAATGAGAAGAGCTTTAGGTTCCTGTCATTTTCAAACAAATTCCTTGAAGCATTCTCTGAATCGAGTATAGAAAAATAATCATTTGTTTTAAAAGACGAAACATAGCTATTTTGAGCATAGTAATTTGGTCCGATTATTTAGTCATGTGGAAAGCTGATGAACAGAGACTGTTTTTGAGTCAATTTAAAAGATGGTGTTATGGTAAGTTCCAATGACATGTTATGTCTTTATTCTAAGCTGTCGTGCCTTCATGATAGAACACTGAACTTTTAAGAAGTAGCTTGGAGCTATACTGGGAAGATTATAGGGTGGAATTTCTAGAAGGATGAGATGAGATGGGCCAAAGTGTGTTCTTTATCTAAACCTCTCAAGTGAGTTGTTTTGAAAAAATAACCATTTGATGGAAGTCGGATTTTTTAAAGATTTTTTTAAAAGATATGCTTTTGTCTGTATTCACTTTTTTCCCCACCCAGCACTAGTCGCCTACTATTGAGCTCCCACTTTTCAGCCAAAGATTATTCTCCCTCACTCCGGTTCTTCTCCGTAAGCAGTTTTCCAGCCTTAGGTGGTATCACTCTTGACTCTGAGTGAAAAGGTTGTCAGTTCAAGCCCCACGTTGAGACTTTGAACTCGTATATTATAGGATGATGGCCTTTGAATAAGACATTAAACCAATGTCCCGCCTGCCTGTTCAGGGGGATGTTGAAGATCCCATGCACCATTTGAAAAGAGAAGGGAGTTCCTCCTGGTGTTCTGGCCAACAATCTCCCATATAAAGTTGGTCATTAATTTCCTGTCTGTGGGATATTCCTGTGTGCAAATTGGCTGCTTCATTTGCCACGATATTAACAGTAATATCTTGTGTAAGGGTTTGAGATTTCTTCCCAACATGAAGGTGCTATATCAATTGTAAGGATTATTATTATTTTATTGTGTCTGTTTGATGACTCCCACTACAACATAGCTACTTCAGGATTTCCACAGACCAATCAAATTTGTACCCTGGCACACTGCACTCACTCACTGAGGAATTTGGTGCTTTAATGCAGATTTTCAAACAGCTCCTTGTCTTAAAATTGTCCCTAATTTCCTAATGAGTTTTTAAATTTCCTGTGAGCACGTGACCATAAATAAAACTTGTTGTCTGCAGCTAAGCACGATCTGGCCCAAGCAAAATTGCTGGATTAAGAACATCTGAAGAGGAAGACTTTAAATGGGTGCAAGTATAGAACAGGAAATTGGGTTAGAGTAGTGGATGGCTGCAGTGGATGACTTAATAATAGACCCAATAGGCAAAATGGCCTCTTTCTATGGTGTAATTTCAATAATTCAATGAAACGTATGATGCCAAGTAGTTCATCCTAATCAGGATTTTTTCTTTTGTTGAGGTTCCAGGTCAACTTATGTAACATGTGCTTTATGGGGCATTGGTGTCCGTGATTCCAAAACGTTTCAGACATTTGTACACACTTCCATTACATGTACTTCTATTGAGCTACAGTTTTAATGTTGGTGTTGTACCTATTTTTTCATTTACGTGCCACCAAAAATGCAGATTAGTTCTTGAACCAACTGTTCACTATATACTATTAACTAAGACGACCTCCAAGTGATTTTGTAACACTGAAGCTTTTTTCACTTGTGCAGCCAGCACTTCAGAACTATTTGTATCTATATATCCACAGAAATAGGAAGAAACTTCCCTTTTTCCTGAACCCATAGCCATATTAACCTAACATGGGGATTTGAATGCACTGATCAGTAATTTTGTAAGGGCTCTGTGAACATGTGGAGCTGTGAAAAAAAATCATAGTGCACTGGCGGTATTCAATGGTTTTATAATAGCTGACACATGTTTTGAAACTTAAATAGTTTTTGAAAAAAATAACCCGGGGAATTAACAACAACACGATTACATCTGTAAAGCGCCTTTCACTTCGGGAGGAGGTCCCATTAAGAAAAGCAGCTAGATTTCTCAATGTTCTCTGCCTAAATAATAGCATTTTGCCTTGTCTGAAATAAATCTAATCCGACTTTCCTCGAGACTTTGAAGCTTTGGATGGTGATGTGTACATACATCTCACTGATTTAGTTTAACTGAAAGCTTTCAAATTTTAATTTGTTTAGATTTCTTGAGCATCTCAACCTCTGCTCCTTTCCTTCTTTCAATAGCTGTTCAAGCTACTGTTCTTGACCTGAACATTCAATGGGGTTAGGAAAGACCAATTTGACTGCAATGGGGTGGCAAGTATTTAGAATAGCAGTGTTTGAGCAGTCATTCTCTTGACCTATTCATTTGTACGAGGAAGTTGAACCACAGTGAAAAATGGAGTTGATTGGACTGCACATAGAGATCTACCTTATGTGGCTAAATCCATGTAAACTATACTAGTGTATCTTCTTTGCGTTATTAAATATATGTTTTGTGTATGGTTAATGGCTGCTAATTCCCAGTTCAAAACCAGACAAGAAGGAAGTGTGCCTTTGTTACAGTTTATAGGATCCCGGGGCTTAAATGCAGTCAATTGGGCATTGGGTGGAGAGAAGAAAAAATACTAATTTCTGGAAACTGTTCAAATCAAATGCTTGAATAATTTCTTCTCTTGTCTTCTTAAATGTGACATCTATGCTTGTTTATAAACCTCTTACTTTCTTATTTTCAAGCCTGCGCGAAGTATGAGAGTGCTCTGTCAGGTATGGGACTCTATCCTCACTCGCTTCATCTAATCTCTCCATTTTCCTCAATAAAATGTTTGTATCACTGCATGTAATTCTGAACTTGGTTTAGAAACCCAGTGGGTATAATATGTGGCCTTTTTGACATTGCAATTTGAAATTTTGTTGCATTGATTACATTCTTTTTCTGGCTTTCTGCTATTCACTTATTTTCTATTGAAATGGTAAATGTGATGGAGCTGTATTCCTCAGTTGCCATGGATTTCTGAATGAGAAATCAGCCTGCCTGGGAAAAAATAGTCTGCCGTTTCAGGGCAGCCTGCGGGCATCTGCCAAGGTCAGTTCTTGTTTTCAAATTAGATTTTGAAGTTGCTAAATCAGTAGTACTTAGAATGTGGCTTGGAAGGGAGGGGGGTTCCTGTAGCCTACTGGACAGCAAATTGGGATTTAAGTAAACTTCCTGCTCTGGGTAACTGAGCCTCTGCTTGTGTTCTTTCGACTGTGAGCTGACAACAGAGCTGGAATTCATAGCCTTTCCCTCACTGCCTTTTACCTCTGCCAGAGCTGGCAGCAGAATGCAACAAGGAGTCAGTCATGCTGGTATCCATTGTTTTGATGAAAACTTTGGTCCTGTAGCATTTTTTTCCTTTCTTCTTTCTGGGAGTGATTGGTAAGCTGCCACTTCAGTCAGCTTTCAAATCAGGAATTGAATGCTAAACCTGGATCTCCTCATTCCTTGTTGCAATGTGACCTGGAGGGTCATGTTACTTTGAAATGGTGAGCCGTAACAGAACGTTAGTGAGTAGCACTGAGCCAAGTTATCATCCTGAGAGATCCAGTTTGGATTATCAAATATGGTATTTAAAGGCTACGTAAACCTGCTATCAATTTTATAAGATTATTTTTGTAGCGTTTCCACAAACCATGATTTCCATTTAACAGCTTGTAGAATGAAGGTTGAACATTTGAAACTGCACCAAATATCCCTATTTTCAAAATGCAAGTAGACTCGTATCTCTACACGCTCTATAAAAGCATAGAAACAGGAATACACCATTCAGCCCCTCGAGCCTATTCCACCATTCTATAAGATCATGGATGATCTGTACCTCAAGTACAATTACCCGCCCTTGCCGTGTATCCCTTAATATCCTGACCTCACACGTATCCATCCATCTCAGTCTATACCTTTGATGCTACTGAGCGTAGTATTATTCAACTGTTTATCAGTTGAAGACTCTTCTAAGCAGTTATTAGATTTAATAACTTTCCGTTGTGGTTGCTAAGCAGCATAATAACATAATTAGCAAGGTATTCCTGATATTTATAAGGTTTCAGATATTGAATGTATTATCAAGATCGAGTTCAATATTGTATTAATAGATATTGACTGAAGACCCCACCTATGCTCATACATTTAGCTATTCATAGAACCATAGAAACGTATAATACGGTAGAAGGCCATTTGGCCTATTATTTTATGGTGTTTGCTCCTTGAAGAAACCATCTTTCTTGCAATGGAGATGTGGAGCCTTATCCTTGTAATAGAAAGGAGTCAAAAACTCTTAGTACAGGTTGGGTAAGATGGGTAGAAGAAAATTGTGTGTGTGGTGAGGGGGAATAAAATGTCTTTGGTAATGTTCATGGTTGAGAGTTGACTTCCATAGTAGTCGAGAGGTATATTTATTTCTGATCCAGACCACTTGGTTTGTATTAACCACTTCCCTTGGAAAATATATATTCCCTGATCCCACTATAAACTCTATTTAGCTAATCGCAGATCATTAACTCTTAACTCTTAATGACCTCTTTGGTTTTTTCTTGATTGAATATATTTTAAATTATTGCATAAATTTATGCTATTTTGTTATGTCTATGTTTATTTGGTTGGCCAACCAAAAAGGTTGATATACCCCAATGACACTAGCCCCTACACAAATTTGACAGGACTATTGGTGATTTTAATGGAAATACAGATTTTTATGGAGTAAAGGATCAGCCATTTATTTCCACTGCTGTCAAAACTCAAGGATCTAGTTGTGTCTATAGCTGCCTCTAGATCGAGCTACAGAAACTTTTTTTTATAGTAACACGGGGCCAGGAGTGGTCCATTCAACTCATTTTTCCATATCCTTTATTTGGTCAATTCAGTGTCTGATTCTGACATATAAAGAAAACCATCACCTTGCTGGAGGATCTAAACCATATTCGAGTTCCACATATGCATTTCCCTTTGTCTGTAATGGTGTCCCCAGACAAACACATCCTATTCACCTAATCCTGGAGAGTGTTAAGCGCAGGTTGGCAAGAACCATGACTTGGGTTGCCAGAGTGTGTTGTATATCCAGCTAATACCTCACAACTTGCTATTGGGATGCTGTCTGACAAAGCTTCCCTCTGCTTGTCCAGTTAGGACCACTCTACCTGTTAAAGCTTTCGCTTGCAGAATTAATAGAAGCCACATGTGAATAATCACTACCCAGTGACGGTCGTGATCCTCCAAATCCTGCCAATAAGCCAGGCTGGTTCAGTCTGTCTTCAATAGTGCCATGGAGTACTGCGGATCTGCCTGGCTCAGAAATTAGATTACATAGACCGCTAGAAAGGTTTGACTTGATTCCAACATTTTATTGCCTGGAACATCACCTTAGAGCCAGCTCAGAACGTTTGCTAAAACTCCTTTCTAATGCTTTATCTCGTCTTTATCTGAAAATTTGTAAAGTTGCATAGACGTGGATCAAGCATTGGGCTTCACCAGAGCTACACTGTCTCTAGCATTTTTAAACTGGGGATAGGAGGCAACTCAGATCTCCTTTCTACTGTATAAAATGAATCTCATCAAGACAACAAGGTTTAGATTCAGGATTGACAGTCTGATGGAGCCCGATCAATGTACAGTAAACTGATAACTTGAACCTGGCTTAACTAACACTTAAGTCACCATGCTGTCAACATCCCGACCGCTCTCCATGCAAAATGTTAATGAGACTCTGCTTTACTTGTCACTCCATTTAACACATAACTGGAAATTTTTAAAAGTACTTACAATGCAAACACAGATCGGATAACTTGTCTATAAGATGGCGTCTTGCATTGCGAAGATCCTCCTGCCCTATCCTGTGACTGGTGGGGACTCAGCAGATGGTGGGTGCACATGCTCAGATGCATCGCAGAAGCTCTGGCCTATTGGAGGGCCGAGCCATGGCCTCCCGTGCTATCCAGTGACATGACACGGTGTAAGGCCATGGCGTGGCCCTCTAATAGACCAGAGGCCTCTGTGATGCTTCTGAGCATGTGCGCCCAACATCTGCCGAACACCCACACCAGTCACAGCGCCCCATTGTGGCCCTGGAGGACCTATGCCTAACTTGTCTCCCTGGATACAATACAAAATTGTCTGGAGGATAATAATAATAATCCTTGCATTTGATATAGCGCTTTTCACGTCGGGAGGACGTCCCAAAGCTCTTCACAGAACACACTGTAAAGTGAATTGACTGTATAATTGTGGGCGAACGCGGCAGCCAATTGCGCACAGCAATGTCCCACAAACAGTCGTAGATTGAAAATGACCAATTTATTATTGTTTTTTGTTTTGGAGGGATTATTATTAGGCGTGTGGAGTAAGGAAACTTGCCCAAGGTTTCGCCCTCTGCCTGGAATTGAACTCAGGTCTCTCGCTTGCAAAGCGAGTGCTCTAACCACTGAGCTACAGGATGTCTCGTTGTTGTTGCTGAGCTCCTTTTCCTTGGAGTGACAAGTTATCCGCTTTACTGTATTCATAATGCTGTTAGGCCAGCATTTTAGGCAGAAACTTCAATATTTCTCTTTTAAACTAAATAGAAGTCCTCAAATGTATTTGCTTACTAATACTATTTGAAAGTCACACACGATATCCTCTGTATCTGTGACCAGGGCTCCCTCTGCCTCCTCGTTCTCCTGGACCTGTCCACCGCATTCAACACAGTCGATCACCCATGCTCCTCCACCACCTTTCCTCCATCATCCTCCAGTGGGATCGCACTCGCTTGGTTCGAGCCCTACCTTACAAACTGCCAGCACTACATTTCTGCAATTGGCTTTTCTTCTCGCCACCACCCGGTCACCTGCCGGGCACCGCAAGGATCTATCTTTGGCCCCCTCCTCTTCCTTATCTATATGCTCCTTCTTGGTGATATCATCTGCAGACACGGGGTTAACTTCCACATGTATGCGGATGACACGCAACTCTACTTTTCCACCTCCGGCTGTGACCCCCAGTCCCTTGATGTTCTGTCAGCTTGTCTGTTGGATGAGCACAAATTTTCTGCAGTTAAATGTCAATAAGACGAAGCCATACACTTTGACTCCCGTCCATGTCTTCTGACCCACCGCTGCCTGCATTCTCACCCGCACCAAACTTTGTACCCCGATTACTCCAGTCCTTGTCAAACTCCACTGGCTCCCTGTCACAGAACGGATCGACTTCAAGATCCTCACTCTAGTGTTTAAATCCCTCCATTCCTTGGCACCCCCCCTATCTCTCTAACCTCCTCTCTCCCCACAGCATTACTCGCTGCCTTCGCTCTACTGGGTCCAGCCTCCTCAGTGTCCCCTGAATCTTCCGCTCCACCATCGGCGGCCGTGCCTTATAATAATGATAATAATCCTTGCATTTTGATATAGCGCTTTTCACGTCTTCTAGATGTCCCAAAGCGCTTCACAGAATATACTGTAAAGTGAATTGACTGTATATTTGTGGGCGAACTCGGCAGCCAATTGCGTACAACAATGTCCCACAAACAGTCATGGATTGAAAATGACCAATTTATTATTGTTTTGTTTTTTTGGAGGGATTATTATTAGGGCTCTGTGTGGAGTAAGGAAACTTGCCCAAGGTTTCACCCTCTGCCTGGAATTGAACTCAGGTCTCTCACTTGCAAAGCGAATGCTCTAACCACTGAGCTACAGGACTCCACCCCAAAACTTAGGAATTCCCTCCCTCAACCCCTTCGCCTCGCCCCCTTCTTCCCCATCTTCAGGTCGCGCCTGAAGACCTTCCTCTTCGCTCCTATGGTCATCTTCCCCCTGGTTCGGCCTCAGGATCCGGCATTGTTAAGCGCTCTGAGACGCTGCCCGGTGTGGAGGGCGCTATATAAATGCAAGTTGTTGTTGTAATTTTGCGGATAGTGTTTGATGGCTCATGCTTCACCTGCTTCTGTTTTCTTTCTGTCAATTAGGAGACTTACATTGAGATTCAAACCGAGCATTTGCCCCAGTTGCTGTTGCGGATGGTATCTGGTCTGACAAGCCACTTACGGGCTTTATGTCTGCCTGAACTCACTGACTGCCTAAGACTTTGTTCAAAGATACTCAGTAAAGTGCAGCCACCCTTACTGTCAGCAGGGGCTGAAGTCAGGCTGCATTTTCCAGCAGGACACAACAACTTTATCAAGGAGAACGAAGAGAGAAAGGTACTGTTTTCTGTTCATTAACGTCTATCAGTGAAAATGAAAACTGTATTCATGAATTATTATTCTTTTCTGGGTTTGTGGGGGTTGGTCGGGGGGGTTGTGGTAAGACAAAAGAAAAGTGGAGCACTCACTGTTTTTGGTATTCAGTGTCAGCAGTCCCATTTCAGGTAACACTTGACACAATAAAAGTTTTCTATATGGTCTCAACAATGTCTCTTAACCCAACCTTGGAAGAATGTACCTGATGGTGTGATGGGTTATGGTAGCACTAATCCTTACAGAACATACCAAGCTTATTTCAGCCTGGACAGCCAATAAGGAGTGAAAATTGGTCTCAGTGCTCCCGGATTCGGGAGGAGAAACATCAGCTAGGGTTCCTGTTTCTGTTGTTGGACCAGGATTGGGGATGACAATGATGTCTCCTCACTCAAATTCTACTTAGTGGACTCACATGGGAAGATTCACCAATGGGCAGCCTGTCATTCATGGATTGCTACACGAGGCTGAACCTTCAGGAAGGCAAGGCAGGGAAAGAAAGAGCACCACAGCCACCTCAGTGAATTTCCCATCCCAGCCATGAGTATGATTACTGCCTTTTTATGAACCATATGTTCCATGAGCTTGTGCCCACTTGTTGTTAAGTTGAAGATGCTTCAGTTCTTTTCATCTGGAACAGTTGCCCTTGGCAGAGAGGAAATACCCCATCAGTTTGCTCTGGTTTTGCATCTAGGCTCAGCTTGAAAGTGCAGGCTGACCCAATTTACCACTTAGCCTAAAAAAGCATGAAATTCAACACTGCCTGCATTTATCTGTCTGCATGTTGTGTTTTTATTGGCAGTAGTTATTGTCTATAAAAGCTTCCAGAGTACCTGCCTCTTGAAGGTGTCTATAATTCTCATTACACTATAGTAATAACTAACACCTACACTGATAAACACATATCAGATAATACTGTATCACACAGGGAACTAATATCAGGCTATAGAGGCATTGATGCCAAAGGGTCTTATTGTCAATAATACTAAACATGTACACAGTTATACAAGTACAGTAGAACCCTGTTGTAAGGTGGTACTTGAGTCCATAAAATTCCAACCAGCCTTATAAGAGAGAGCAATTGCCGGTCAGTGCTTTTGCATTGTGACACCACTGATCTTGTTATAAGTAGGGCTTCTGATTTTCGGTTTAACCAAACCCCTCCCCAGATTAAAAAAAAATGAAATTGATGTTTATCCAATAAACACTGCAAAACCCTGTAAAAGGTTGCTTGCCCTGATGCCATCTGTGCACATTTTACTTTCTTTCTCTGCCTCTCCCTTTCCCCTCCATGTGCACAGGTGCATCTGGTAACGTGTTTGTGAGAGGACAAAGGCACTGTGTATGCATGAGGCATCTCCGCATTGCTCCCTCCCTGGCCTCCTTCAAGGCACAACTCAAGACCTTCTTTTCGACCGTGTCTTCACCTGCCCTCCTACCCTCTGCCCCCCCTCATCCCAACCCTGCCCCCTCCCCACCCCACACTTGGGTCCTGATCCCCGACTGTTCAGCGCCTTGGGACTTACTCTCGATGTGAAAGGTGCTTTACAATATAATTTTGGCGTTGTTTCTCCGCTCCCTGTGCACCAGTCACAACTGGGCACACGAAGGGAAGAGAGTTGCCCTCATACACAAGCAGGGCTTCCCTCCACTCACAAACGTCTCACCTGCGCATACGTATGTGACAGGAAGGATGCACTGCACATGCGTGAAGGAGTCTCTCTCCCCCTCTGTATTCCCACGCATGTCTGAATCTTCTCATATCAAGTAAGTGAAAGTCCCGAAACCCCCCGATTTTTTTAGAACTACAAAATTAAACCCCAAAAAATTAATTTTTGAAACCCAGATAAACAGAAGCCCTAGTTGTAAGCAAATCCATGTTATAATAGGGTCCTGTTGTTACGTGTAATCATAGATGGTCCCAAGCACTTATTTTCAAATAAGGTTTGTATATAATTTGCACGCCTCCTCCTTGCTCATCTTTCATTGATGTACTAAACAAAATCAAATATTCTGAACTGGATACTTTGAAATAGCTTCTTTGTTATTGAAAGAGGTGTAAAGAATGACTGTTTTTATTGCATTGTTATTTCAGTGAGGAGTTTACTGCTGTGTGTGAGAGAGGTTGTGACTTTTGGGGCAGTGGTGTTTGATGTTTTTTGAATAACTGAATGTCTCATCAACGTATCTTGCCCTCATCCTGTGAAATTAGAGCTGTCAGAACTACAGCAGTCTCCAGTGCCTCCTCGAAGTGGAGTTTCTAACAATGAAAATGGTTGACTTGGAAACCGTTGCTTGGAGCTACAATGACGTACGGCTCTTGCAGCCTGATACTGAATTCTGCACCAGTTGTTTTCAGAAATAGCTTTGAACAATGGCCATAGTCTCTATCTGTCTCTATACCCAGTTCCACACCAATACATTCATTCTATTAGTGTAGGACTCAGGACATGCTTCAGTATTTACTCATGTGTATTAGGATAGGATTTTATGTTGACGTTCTCCACTCTGAAGGTGTTCAATATTGTTGTGTATGTTTTTATATTTCATTAATAATTTCCATGAGGCTGAATTTATACTCTTTTATTTTCTTTTTTGTGTTTGTTAGTAAAACGTGTATTACATTCCTGTGTGAGTTAAACTTATGAAAGTTTGTTTCAAAAAAAATTTGTCTGAAACTTTTTTAGGCTCCTTACTAATTTTTCTCCTCTTCTGAAGTCGTGCCCTTTGCCTTTACTTCCATCTTCCACTGAGATAAAGTTCAAAGCTTTTACCACCCAGCAGTAACTCTTCTAAGTGTGAAGATCATTTGTGAGCTTACAGTGCAGTTTTGACTATGGAGCATCACAGCAGCCTGACCTGCTGTTCCATCATCCACACTCACTGAACTCCAGAAGGGGCCACTGGATAGCGCTCAGGAACATGAATCTTGCCCTCCATACTTTATTGCTAAGATTTGAACAGTGGGATCAGAGGAAATCTATGATTGTTCTCATAGAAATAATAGGACAATAATAAAAATGTTCTGAAAGTTTATCATTTGAGTTTAATTGGGTAATAAAAATCCCTACAATGTTTTGACTTCACAGCACAATTGCCTCTTTCATGTAGTCACAATCAAAATGAGCGCTATTGTTAGGAGCCGCATCTGCACTCAGCACTGAGAACTAACTCACTGCCACTCACACAGTGTTCATTGAAAGCTTGTGGCCCAGTAGAACCCACCTACATCATAGACATGCATTGCAGATGAGATGAATAAAAGACCCTTTGCAAATTCCCTTAGTCTTCTTGTGATAACAATACAAGCCCGCATTGTTATTGCGGTTCTTTGGGTCCAATTCTCGGGACACTCATTAAAACAAAGTGAGAAAAAAATGTCCAACTTCTGGGCCATCAGGTTGCTGTTGACATCATGTCCTGTGCATCACACGTATGTCTTGTGTGCAAGGGAGGGGACGAGGCGGAGCTTTAAAAGTGAGGACGAGGATCTTGAACTCGATCTTCTATGGGATGGTGAAGCCGGGCGAGGTTGGGGATGATAGGGTCATGGAGCTAAGTGTGGGAGAGGACACGAGCTGCAGAGTTCCAAATAATCTGCAGATTGTGGAGGAAAGAGTTGGGAAGTCCTGAGAGCATAGTTAAGTCTGGACGGAATGTAAGCATAGATGATGGCCTCAGCAGCCTGAGGGGAGAATAGTGGCAGAGACAGGCAATGTTGCGGAGGTAGGGTAAGGCAGAACTGCTCATGACACAGGTGTGGTGCATTTTGTAGTGTGCTGGAAGCCAACTACTAAGCATAAGAAGCAGCATTGAGATGTTGATTTATTATTATATTATTCATAAATAACTAACACATGGTTATTCTAACACTGGCTAACCTAGGTGTTCAATTCGTGTTATTCACTTACACTTGATTTGTTTTGACCGTATTGGGGCTTTTAAGAATTCTTTTATTCTCACTTTCTTTTGATCAGGTCTCCGAAATCAGCACTGGAGCTTCTGGAGATGTGTTTGAAGATGGTGAAAATCCGCCAAGCAGCCAGTCATCGGAAAGTGGTTTCACAGAGTTTGTGCAGTATCAGGCAGACAAGACTGATGACATTGACCGAGTGTTGAGCGACGGTCAAGACACAGGATTGGTGCCACAAGACAGCACTTCTTCAGAAACTGAAACAGCTTCTACTGTTGGGTCTGAGGATACAATAGTACCATCTTCATCTTCACAGGAGCCTGTTGGGACAACTACACAAAAGACTACAATGCAGTACTGCCTGGAGTACTTTCAGCAATTTTTGACCCAGCTTATTACTCTCTATATTATTCCCACTGAAATGGTTTCCAAGGCGTTTACAACAGCATTTTCTGTGGATCTGTGCAGAGACAGAAGCCAGGCTGATGATACTAACCTTATTGGCAAAGGAGATGGACAATTTCATGCAGCCACGGAACAACCAGGCTCAAATGAGTACCATCCTGCCCTCGCTGCTGCTTGCCAGCTGTTTTTTGAGTGCTCCAGCTTTCCTGTTTACATTGCTGAGGGAAATCTGGCATCCCCACCTCAGAGCACTAAGTCAGAGACTGGTAAGAATCCTCACAGTATACAATAATAAGCAAATACTTTGGTTGTGATGCTAACTGTGAGAACATTTTGTAAAGTTTTTCAGGAACTATTCTTTGACATAGTTCACATAGCAGACTCCCCACGTCTCTTGTGAAGTTGAACTACATTCATTTTTGGATAAAAACTTCTCGGTATATTGATGCCTTTAGCAGGATGTAACAGTCCTGTCCTTGGTATTTAATATATTCCTACATAGTCTTCCACTTTGTACCAGTTTCAATCGGGAAGAGAGTTGTGAAAATCTGGAATGCATACATGGGGAGTAAGAGACTGAGAGAGGGGATTAAGAGGGATGGAGGCTCATGTGGAATATTACAATCAACTGCACAGACAAGTTGGGCCGAAATCCATAAGTCTGTGCTGCAGCATTCTATGTAATTGTATACACTAGGCAGCTGTAAAGTCAGAATCAATTCAAATACTTAAAAAGTAAATATACGTTAAACATATAATGGAGATACTGAAGATTCTGAAGGGATATGACAAGTTAAATACAATATTACAATTGTATAACGCGTTTCCCATCGGGAGGACATCCCAAGGTGCTAAATAGGGGAATACTTTAGTTGGGGAATTGGTAACGTAGGGCATCATTTCAGAAATGTTAGGAAAAGAAACAGGACAAAGGTTAGAATTCACTTCCGGGCTTGGGTGGGTGTGAAATTCATCATTTCTATAAGTGGCTTTTGAAGCTAGATCAATAGTCTTCAAAAGGGAACTGCCAAAGAATCTGATGAATAAATTATTAAGATATTGATTACGAGTTGGAACATGGGAATAGTAATAAAGCACAAGTATATAACAAGAGTGACACACAACATGGGACAAATGCCGCCCTCCCCTTCTGTGCTGAGAAATTGTTTCTATTCACAGTTCATTTATTTCATGCCTGTTCATGGGATGTGCTGATGAATCTTGTTGTGATGATTGTTATTTTGATCTTGGTGGCTCCAGTTACTTTAGTGGGAACAGAGCTAAGAGATTGACTGGCCATCTGACTGACCTGAAATGATCTGAACTTCTGATCCTGGGCAAAAATGTCACTTGTATATGTTGGTACTTTTTCAATCATTGTTTTGAAGTACTCACCTCAGCAATGATCTTCCTCATGTATGGAGAAACTCCTGCTAAATAGTTAGCATGTCCATGAACAGCATAAGAGGTATAGTCACTTTATCTCACTGGAAATCTTCAATGTGCCTTCTACAAACTGTCAATGAGCAAAGAAAAAGGTGAATTTTATTTCACTTTGACCTGGTCATTTGTACGACCTTGAAAAATTATTTCCCCCCTGTATGTGCTGTTTCCCTACAGAGAGGGGAAATGTGTTCTCATAATACATGGTTGTATTAACTATGGTTTCAAATTACACCTGAGTACGTTGTCAACAAAAACAACAAAATTACATTTGTATAGCGCCTTTCACGTCAGGAGGACGTCCCAAGGTGCTGGACAGTCAGTGTTTTGGACCCGACCTGGGGGTCGGGTTTGGGGAGGGTGGAGGGCAGGGGTGAAGCAGGATGATTGAAAGTACGGTCGAAGAGGAGGATCTTGAGATGGGTCTTGAAGGTGGCGAGGGAGGGGGTGAAGTGGAGGGACTGCAGGATGGAGTTGTAGAAGGTGGGGACAGAGTAGCTGAAGGCCCACCCACCCCCACGCGAGGCGGGGGACATGAAGCAGGCCGGAGCTCGCTGAGCATAGGGAGCGCGCAGGATAGTAGGGGCTTAGGAGGTCGCAGTGGAAGGGGGAAGCAAGACCACAGAGGGCTTTGAAGGTGAGGACCAGGATCTTGAACTGTATCCTCTGTGTGATGGGAAGCCAGTGGAGTCGGGCGAGGATGGGGGTAATAGGATCACGGAGTTTGGTGCGGGAGAGGGCACGGGCTGCGGAGTTCTGCAGAGGCCGACAAGCAGGGAGTTTGCATAGTCGAGCCTGGATGTAATGAATGCGTGTATGTGTTTTTCATTGCTGTTGTGTAGCCACTCAAAAGGTATGCAGGTCTATGATTGTCATTTTCAGAATCTCCATCGAGAAGATGGAAGTCTTACTTTGGATTTCTTTAGTTTGTGAACAGGTAAAGCCACCACTCTGGCTGCAGACCCTCATGACTGCCTGCTGTTTTGCCAGCGATTTCAGTGTTCAGAGTGTGGCCATTTCACTGGTGCTGGACTTAGTTGGCTTAGCCCAGTCAGTCGCTGTGGTTAGTGGAGAAAACCTGAACAGTCTGGAGTCGGCACAGCCTCGGAGTCCAAGCCAGGGGACAGTAGCTGTTGTTATCGTGCCACCACTTACACAAGGCAACTTGAAGTATATGGCGGAAAAGACTGACTTTTTCAAGGTGAGAAAATATTTAAAGACTTTTATCTCAAAGTGATTTCAAAGATTCTTTCTCTGTTGCCACGTTTCTACAGCCTTGCCAAAGTTCCTCTGGTTTACAGAAGGCCTGATTTCATTATTTAGTTCATATTGTAGGTTAGCTGCTTGTTGAGAGTTGGCTTGCTAGAATGTTTCACTTTGCAATGTCTAATAAATTGCAGAGGGCTGGTTTGATGGTAGATATTTTGAACAAACTTTTCCCCACAGAGTGGTCCACAAAGATAAGACATGGAATATAAAAGTGTATGCTTCATTAAGACATGGAATATAAAAGTAGAGCATGGAATAGTTTTTAGCCCAGTGGAGAATCTTCAGTGCAGGAGACTGTATCCCTCATGGCCATTTCAAGCAACTGCTTTTTAAAAATAAACATCTGGCAATATTTTCATGACTCCTGTTTCCCTAGGGTGTTTTTCTTAAGGACATTTTTATAAAGTAATATTTGGATATCTCGTCCCACATATTTAACATCTCTTTATTACTGCAGTAACTGTTGCTTCTTCTGACTAGTTTAATAACATCTTTCAGTGGGCGGGTGGGGGTGGAGGTGAATTACAGAGTAAAGATAGAAAGCAAACACTTAAGTATTTTCATTTCAAAGACAGGTTTTAATTAGGTTTCTCAAGCTTATACAATCCAACAAATTCTAATTTGCATATTACATACAAAAAGTAGATATTTTGAATGTACTTTTCCCCAGAGTGTTCCTCATAATGCAACGCTAAAGTATCATTTCAAATTACACTTGAGTAAGTTGCCAGTGTTAGAGTTGTCAGTGAAATCCATGCGTTTGTTTTGATAATTGTTTCCCTTTGAATCTATCTTTTCGCCGACAAAATACATTTAATCCACTTAACAGGATATCCTGTGAAGCACATTGACGATGTGATAAGACACTATATCATATGCAAGGATTAATATTTTTCTATTATCTTTTTCTTCCTGAAAAACTAGTTATGTCAGGATTGTAATATAAAGTACAATAATATTGCAGAAATTTATTGTAAACGAGTGTTGGAAAAATGACTGGATATGTGCAGATCGTTGGAGTTGATAACAGGTCAGGATCAGTCACTGGGGGCAGAGTCATCCCACTCATCTCCTGTTAATCCTGCAAGCCAAAGCCCAAATAGGTAGGGTGGTCCTAGCTGAATAAGCAGTGGGAAAGCTTGCTAGATTAACCAGAAGTGCATCACAGCACACATAACTCCTCTTCAACTCAATCTGCCCCCAAAGAGGTGAGAGGGATGCAGTTTCATTTACTGGCACAAGTCAGTATGCAACATGACAGTTTCAACCCCTGTAAGTTAGGCATTAAGCCGAAATTAAGTCATTTATAATTAAAATATCATTGTGGATATTGTCTTTTTCTTTCCCTAAAGCAAATTGCAGTGACACTTTGGAACCAGCTCGGAGAGAGAACCCCACAACATTACCAGAAAAGTGTTGAGCTCTTCTACCAGCTGCATAATCTCGTTCCATCTTCCAGTATCTGTGAAGATGTCATGAGCCAGCAACTAATGCACAAAGATAAGGTACACCACAAATCCAAATGTGCTTGCAGATGTTTTCAGTAGTATGAGTTTGAGTAGTATCAGTTTGAGTTGTTCTGAGGCAAATTTGTAGTCACTGCTATTCTACATTTACAACCATACATACTTATCTTGAAACTACTGCAAAAGTATCTCCTGTAAGAAAATCATAATGCATGTGCAAAACTTCTTGGCTAGCACGTGCAAAACTGGGCAATTTCAAATGAGCATCGTACTGATGGAATTTGATGGAGTCCATTTTATAAGTTAATATATATGGACCAGACCTCCATCAATGCAGGTGGTGCTATGCTGATTAAACATTTTAAAAAAAGTGGATAAATATTTAGAATAAAATGGGATTGTAGGTGATTGTATGCTGACTAGTAAGGTTTCCTGCATATAAATAAAGTAATAGTATAAATACAATCCACAAGCGACTCGTCATCTGCCCTCGATTTATACAATGTGATTTGCAGTGACTTTTTTTTATTATTATGGGGCAGGAGAACTACTGACCAATTGTCCAATCATCCTTTGACCATTCAGAGAAGAGAACACGCTAAGTCCTTGTTTGTGAACTCGCTTGTTTTCCATTCAAATATAAACCAGTAGGAAATACTCCACTATGACAGAACAGTATGTGTCCTTCACTGTAATGTACAAGTACAATAGTAGATATATTGCGTTTGGACAATGGAATTTCTGAGTTGGAACAAATGAAACACAATCAGAATTGAGTGATGGGAGTGAAAGTTTTTTTATCTTTTAATGCAGAAAACGCGTATGGAAGCTCATGTTAATTTTTCAGTGCTCTGGCACATTACTCGGGATCTTCTTATCAACAAGTCTTCCTCCTTCAATCGCACTTTTGACAGGTTGGTGAATTTAGAATCTAGGTAGTGATGTACTTAGAGTGTGCTCTTGCTCGGGTGCTTTAGGATGTCCTCCCAATGTGAACGATACTATATAAAGGTAAATTTGTATTGCACAGTAGTTTTCTAATTCTAAAGAATATAAATTTACGGTTAGATGGACGTTCTGAAGTCATGCTTGAATACAGAGGAACGTCTATTAGCAACATTTAACGAAGTTTGAGAAAATTGAACATTGATGTCATGGCTATTCATTGGACATTGCTGTGTGCAGCACAGAAGTCATTGGGAACACCTTACTGTGCGTTCCCAGCGACTTCTGTGTTTATACCAGATTTCCAGCATCTGCAGTACTTTGCTTTTTGATTGTTGTATGCAAATTGGCTGCCATGTTTGCCCACAAAAACACACAGTCACTTCATAGCAGTGGTGACCAACCTTTATGGTCGGTCAACAATCTAAATTTTCTGAATTGAATATTTCTTGACTTATTTTTATGCCACAAATCAAAACATTATTAAATCAAGAAAAAATTGAAAACATGGACTTACCGGAGTGACTCATCCTGATGTTTGGGGGCCGCCTCTTGACCAGGCCACAGGTTGGCAACTGCTGTCTACAGTAAATCCTGTGAATTGCTTTGAGACATCCTCCCAACGTGAAAGGCGTTAATCCAGATGTAAGGATTATTATGTAGTCCGAGGAAAACATTGAATGCACTGAATGTTTCAGCAATTTCCTCAGTTTATGCAGAACCTGAGCAATACTGTCCATGTTAATGGGTTGCATGAGTGAAGTATGAATACATATTTTGCTCTTCCATCCTATTCTGTGGTACATTCTATTGATAGAAAAATAGAGATTTTAAACACTCAAGCTCCCTCCTCTGGAGCCAAGGAGAATGCTGCGTCCCAGTTATCTGATAATCTGATTTGGACAGTTGCTACAGCAATCCAACACCGTGAGGCCTATGCTACTGAATGAGAGCTTGGGCAATTTCCGCAGTATAATTTCTTCTCTGGCTTTGCAGATCTCTCTTTATTATGCTTGATAGCCTGAGCAGCTTGGATGGCTCCACCTGTTCAGTAGCTCAGGCCTGGCTCAACCAAGTCATTCAGAGACACGACATTGCAAGGATCCTTGAGCCACTGCTGCTGTTGCTTCTTCATCCAAAAACCCAACGCATCTCTGTACAACGGATGCAAATTGAACGGCATATAAATAAGTCGAAGAACACTTCCCTTGAAGAAGATGGAGATCATTACTTGCAAGGAATCAATAGTGTCGATGGCAAGTATCCTTTAATGACTGATTCTAGATCAAGTCATGTAAGTGGTGGGAATATTTAAATTTTTACTAATATTCCATAATATTCATATCCATAATACTCAATATTTCAGGCTGGGTGAATTCTACTTTTGATTGAGAGTTCAGAAAGCATATATAACCAGTAGTTTAAAGCCGTGATCGAATTTCATGGTCCTAATAATCTTTGCATTTGATACAGTGCCGTTCTTCTGTGCTGTAAGATTTGTACATTAAGTTTCCACATGAGAGTGTTTCGTTTTAGAAAGATTGTGTTTGAGTTTCTTGCCCTTTGAAATTAGCTTCATTTCTTAAATTAAATATTAAACAGAACTCATTGTAATGGCAGTGGGGGGACTTGCAGAGTAGTTCAGCCTATTGCTTCCAAGACATGTGTCTGAGGATCCATGGAACTGAGGGAAGGAAAAATGGAGTATTATTATTGGTCTGTTTGAGGCTATAAATAAATGACTAACATTACGGCTTATTAATGAACCTAGTTACCATAATCTGTGTTTTCTGTTCTCAATTGGTTGCTGCATTTTGCCCACAAAATACACAGTCAATCCACTTCGCATTATATTCTGTGAAGCGCTTTGAGACTTCTTCATGATGTGATAAGTCGCAATGTCAAATGCAAGGATTATTATAGTCGCTTTTTAAAGTTTTAAAAGTTTTCTTACTTTCTTATAATTTTTGCCCCACAGTTTTTGGCCATCTGTCTTTCGACTCTGGAAAACTCCCACCAGCTAAAGGGGCTAATGGAAAATCTCTGGGCACAGATGAAATGGAGAGCTTCAGTTTCACAGTGAACCCTCTGAGTGACCGGCTCTCCATGCTGAGCACAAGTAGCGAGACCCTGCCACTCGGAGCCTCAGATTTTGATCTGCAAGAGCCACAAGTTGACATCCTGCAGAGCTCCGAGTCGGGCTGCTCCCAGTCCTCAGCGGGAGATAACAGCAGCTCTGAGGCAGAGCCGGTCAGCAGCACAAGCAGTTGCAGGACCAATGGCAATTCACAGATATGGTCAGAAGATTCCGAGGACGCTGTGGTGCGAACTCTTGTTATGGAATTGATCAATAGGGTTGTAAATGGATTAAAAGAAGAGTCAGAATCTTACCAGGACCCCAGATCAGACTGAGCCTGGTATCCCAAGGTCTGGTACAAGTGTACAGCCATCTGAGTGCTCTGTTCAGAGTGAAGCTAAAAGTGATCCTGTTAGAAGCCACCTGAATGGGATGATTGATCACAATAACCCTGAACGAGTGTCCGTGCCCACTAATAGTGGCATTGGCACCGTCCCTGAAAGTTTAACACCGTCGGAGTTAAATAGGCCGAACTCCACGTCTGTTGTCGTCTCCAAGGATCCTGTACTGAAACATCTCTGTGAGGACCAGGCCCAACTGAGGAAGAGAAGCCTCGCCAGCAGCCACCTGGGGTTGACGGGGAAAGTAATGGAGAAGCTCTCGGACAAAGAGTTCGGCTTCAAGGATTTCCCCAAACCACCGGGTGCGAAACCCAAAGTGAGAACCAGCAAAAAGAAGGAAGATGATAAAAAGAAGGGACAGAATGAAAAAGTGAAACAACCTAACGTATTCTTTGGAGACAGCCTGGATTTAGAGAACTGGTACAGCTGTGGCGAGGGTGAGGTTTCTGAAATTGAGAGTGATGTTGGATCTCCAGGAATATGGAAAACAGCAAAGTTTAACATCCATCCTTTGTACCAACATGTTCTGCTCTATCTTCAGGTGTGTGACTCCACAAGGGCCTTGCATGCTTTATCTGCTGTCGAAGCTATCCTGAAAGCTAATCCAGCAGGGTTTGTGAGTGCTATTTCTACTACCAGCGTAAATAACACCTACACTCCACAGCTCTCCCTCCTTCAGAATCTCCTGGCCAGACACCGAATCGCCGTTATGGGCAAGGACTTCTACAGCCACATCCCCCTGGATTCTAGCCACGCTTTCCGGAGCTCCATGTACATTGAGATCATAATCTCGCTCACTTTGTACTTCCTGAGGAGCTACTTCCCAAACCACTTAAAAGTGACTCAACAGGATTTGTCTGGAAACCGCAACCTGCAAATCATGAGCATCCAGATCCTGACCTTGCTTTTCACCGAGCTGGCTAAAGTGACTGAGAGCTCAGCCAAAGGCTTTGCCAGCTTCATCTCCGACATGCTGTTGAAGTGCAAGGTGCAGAAGGTGGTCTTGCATTGCTTGCTGTCCTCTATTTTCAGTGCACAGAAGTGGCACGCCCTGCGCACGGCTGGGAGGAATGTGACGGTGATTGAAGAGGGCTTCTCTGAGGACAGCATCATCAATTTCTCTGAGGATGAAATTGACAACTGCAGCACACTACAGACTCGCTTACTGAAACTGGTGCAGCGGTTGATTGTTCTGGAGCATCGAGTGATGGTGGCTCGTGAGGACAATGAGACGGGATATGAATTGGTCACAGCCGAGGCAGAGCACGTCAATCCTCAGCAAACCTTGACATCTTTGCAATACCTACACTCCCAACCAATTACTGCTCAGGGAATGTTTCTTTCTGCTGTAATTAAGGCATTAAATCAGTCCTTTTCCTGCAAAATGCACCCGCAGTGGATCGGGTTGATAACATCTGCCCTGCCATACATGGGGAAAGTGTTGCAGAGGGTGGTGACTGCTGTGACAATGCAACTATGCCGAAATTTGGATAATTTGATTCAGCAATATAAATATGAGACTGGCGTGTCAATCACAAGGTAGGTATATAAAAGCCTTAGATTTTGATCTCCACAATATCTTTAGTTTGGTTACTTTTAAGGGTGTAAGTGTCAGCCTGACTCAGTCGGTAGCACTCTCACCTCTGAACCAGAAGGTTGTGTGTTCAACCCCATGTCGGGACTTTGAATTCATATAGTCCATGGAGATGCTGTTCTTTGTGTGAGACAATAAACCAGGGTTTGCCCATTCAGATGGATGTTAACAATCTCATGGTAGTTCTTGAAAAGAGAAGGGAGTTCCTCTGGCCAACGATCCTCCAAATAAAATTGGTCACTCTTGTTTAATGGCTGTTTGTGGGTCATTGCTGTGTGCAAATTGGCTGTTGCTTTCATCTACAAAATGCACAGTCACTACACTCTATATCCATATGGAAGCTTTGAGACAATGTGAAAGACACTCTATCAAATGCAAAGATTTTTTTTAAATGTTAATGCACACACAGTGTTGCTGCTCATGTTTCAGTCATGACCATGTCATACAGGCCTCACACTAGTCTGTTACTTATATTATGACCATCATGTTTAACCAATATTCCAATGGTATCTGTGATAATTTGCTATTTTAATTTACTTTATTGTATTTTGCTTCCCTAAGGCCTACGTGGTTGGCTGTGAGTATTGCACCAGATATGATCCTCACACTGCTTGAAGGGATGACCACTATTATTCACTACTGCCTGTTAGACCCTTCCATACAGTATCACCAGGTGAGCCACCAGTGAGAGGAAAGCGCTAAATATCTTGTGGCCATTGTCTGAGCAGCAATCATTAAGTAAGCACAGACCCAGGTTTTGAATGAATGATTTTAAATATTTGCAACACTAAAATGTGCTTTTCCAATTAGATTGTGGTTAGGAGCCCTCCAACCTCACGTTCACATAGAAAATACTGATACCTCTTGTAATGAGCACTAGTGGAATCTGCACTTGTATGTCCAACAATATTTGCTGTTTGTCATCTAATAACAGTTTCAGTTCACCATTAGTTCATGTAGTTATCTATCCAACTTCCTAAAAAAATCTTTTGATGCATCTAGTACTGCCAATTCATTTTATTGTCTAGTAATTTGTCTGTCTGTTAATATTTATCTGATATCTTTCAGCTGCTCGTTACGGTAGATGAGAAGTATTTGTCCGAAGCCCGGAATGGAATTCTTTCCATCTTACCCACCATTATGTCCTCTGTGACGCTGCTATGGGGCATCCTACAGGTTGCCGACTCCACTGAAAGAACATCAGGAGCTTCTGCTGTTACTATCAACCTTGGCTCCACAAAGGTGGGTAAGATATCCATAATACACTAATAATCCTTGCATTTGATATATCACCTTATCACATAGTCGCAATGCCTCAAAGCGCTTCACAGGATATACTGTAAATTGTGTAGTTTTGTGGGCAAATGTAAAAGCCAATTTGTTCACAGCAATGTCCCACAAACAGCCATGAAGTGAGTGACAAATTTTATTTGAGGGATTGTTGGCCAGGACACTCCCTCCTTTTTCAAATAGTACCTTGGGATCTTTAATGTCCACCTGGATAGGCAGACGGGATCTTGATTTCGCCCACAAAATATACAGTCAATTCACTTTACAGTATATTCTGTGAAGCGCTTTGAGACGTCCAGAAGACGTGAAAAGAGCTATATCAAATGCAACAATTATTATTATTATTATTAGTGATTTAATATCTCATCCGAAAGACCTGGGGCTCAAGTTGGGGCCAGTACCTGAGTACTGGAGTTTAGCCCCTCCTCCTCTGGAGTTTAGCCCTTCCCCCTCTCTCTCCCTTCATGTTTATAATTTCAGTGGATCCAACAGATGGCCAAATTGAGATCCCTGAAGGTTGTGGGACCATTGTACAAGATATAGCAGAATTCAAAACAAAAGTTTTCCCGAACCTCAGCCCTAACTACAAATCTACATTCCGTATTGGATCCTTTGGTTGCAAACGTAGCTGCAAAGGGTCGGTACAGCTGGTTTATAGTATAACCATTAGAAAGCATTCAGATGAGACATTAAACCAAGGTCCTGTCTGCTTGTTCAGGTGGATGTTAACGATCTTATGGCGCTACTCGAAAAGAGAAGGGGTTTCCCGGGGGGCCTGGCCAACAACCCCTCAAATAAAATTGGTCATTCACTTCATGGCTGTTTGTGGGATGTTGCCAGGTACAAATTGGTTGCAGTATTTGACTGTAAATCCACAGCCACTACATTTTACAGGGAAGTCCTGTGAAGCGATTAGAGATGTCACACCAATTTGATCAGGTGCTATGTCAAATATAAGGATTATTGCTGATATCATCAGTTAATAAATGACAGTACCGGATGTCGCTGATAGCTTCAGATGCCACCCATTGCAGTAAACATTTAGAATGTGGATCATCCAGGTTAGTTTCATGGAAGTTGTTTGGATGTTGATTATTGTAATTGAAGTTTTCTTTTGTCCCTTTCTAGAATCTCAGACAGCAGATTTTAGAGCTCCTGGGCCCAATCTCTATGAACCATGGGGTACACTTCATGGCTGCTATTGCTTTTGTCTGGAATGAGAGAAGGGAGAATACAAACAGTACCAGAAACAAGGTAAGGCGTTGCTCCATAAAAAGGTAACAGCCATAGCAAACGCAAACTTTGCTCTCAGAGGTTATCAATATTGCATATTTGCTTCCTCCTAATTTAGCGAAGAATTCAAGGCTCTGTTAACGCTGTAGATTAGAGACACTTTTAATGGTTGCTGGGTCCATAGTTGAGTTTGGACTTTGACATTTAATATAAGCCTCTTATTATTTTTAACTGCATTGTTATTATCCACAAGGTGTAAACCATGTGTAAACACAGGTGTATTATGCACCATCATTGGTTGTTAATGACATATTGGAGGGCATCTGTAATTCCTGCTGTGCTTGTGTGGCTCTCGTGTGTTATGATATAGTGCCCTGACGGGAGAGAATAATTTTATTAGTGCTGGAGCCCAATGAGCATCAATCTACCTAATTTACTATTTCATGTCAGAAGTCATACCTCCAACAGCGCAGTTATACCCTTAACATTACACTGGGTGCTTTAGTGTTAGTTAAGTTCATATCTTTGAGCCCACACACAGTTGCAGACAATCATTTTCTGATCCAAGAAGGAAGATGCTGTACTTCTTTACTTGAATTGCAAACCAGCTCCTTTGAGACTGCTAAAAGAGTGTAAATAAAGAAACCTCCATCTCCTGCTGCACTCATGGTTTTCAAAATACAGCAGAAACCTGTTATACCAGTGAAACCTATACAAAATAAAGTAGAAACTATCAAGGTTCCCTATTGCATAACGGATCAATTTCAAGATGCTCACACTGTACAAATCGCTTCATATCCTGGCATCTCCCTACCTCTCTGACCTGCTTACGTCCCACTCCTCTACCCGACCCCTGTGCTCAGCTGGCTCCGGCCTCCTGCACATCCCTCATCCCCTCCATCCACCCTACCTTTAGCTACTATGCCCTGAGAATCCGGAACACTCTCCCTCAATCCCTCTGCCTTGCTCCCTCTTCACACCTGAAGACCTTTCTCTTCAATCGGGCCTAGTGTCACCACCTCCCTTCTCCCCGGCTCGGCGCCACCATTGTTAAGCGCTCTGAAACATTGCTCCACACTATATAAATGCAAGTTGTTGTGTTGTCATGCACTTATAATGGAATTGTATAAAAAAATTCAAAGTGTGGGCAAAAGGCCTTTAAAAAGCCAGTTGTCGCCCTGCATCAAATTATTGTCAATATCCAGATCATCAGATTGCCACCAGCATCACTGCCCAGGAAGTTAATTTTGTTTCTAATGTAAAAAAAAATTGCATTTTTGGTTTTAGATAAAGGAAGGATCTGTTTGTTTAAAAATTATCTTAAACGACTGAGATGTATTGTGCTTGAAGTTACTAGTTCTGTGTGCGGGTTCATCTGCTGATTTCACCAGATAATCTCATTCTGCTGTAAAACCAGTTCAGTACAGCAGCACTGAAGATGTTATCGATGAGGTAAAATTGCATGTGAGTATCCTGTAAAAAGGCATTGCGAGTGTTTAAAGAATAGTGTGTACTTTGATATTTGAAGGTTATCCCCATGCCCTGCCCGGAACAGTTACTGCTGGTGGAGTTAGTACGCTCAATAAGCGTGATGAGGGCTGAAACCGTTATGCAGACAGTGAAGGAAGTCTTGAAGCAGCCTCCAGCCTCGGCCAAGGTATGTGAGGAAATGCCACCCTTCGTGAAGGGCACTATATAAATGCAAGTTGTTGTTGTTGAGGTAACTGCAGAGCAGTGATCACTGATCCGCTGTATTGTTGCTGACAGCTTACAGGTGGAATCTTTGCTTTTACTGTATCTCAATACTATCAATAAAGATTAACTGTGTCATAACCATGTTACTGAGAATGATACAGACTGTACAGCACCAAAACAGGCCATTCAGCCCTACCAGTCTGTGCTTGGTGTGCTACTCCGCACAACCTAATCCCCTCTCCTCACCCTGCTCCCATATATATCTATTGCCTTCTACCATGCCTTCTCCCTTTTCTCTTAAATGCATTGATGCCTCTGCTTCAACCACAGCTTCTAGCAGAGAGATTCACTTCCTCATCACCCTCTGTGTAAAGAAGTTACTCCTAAACTCTTTCAGATTTGCTAGTGGCTTTTTATATGTGTGCCTCTTGAAAGTTGTATTCTTTCATCCCTGGCAACATCCTAGTGAATCTACAATCATTGCTACAATATCCTTGTTGTAGTATGGTGATCAAAATTACATACAGTACTTCAAATGAGGTCTAACCAGTGTTTTACATAAATTTAACAAATATTTGAAGATGCTCACCCTCGCATACAAATCCCTTCACGCCCTACACCTCCCTACCTCTCTGACCTGCTCGTACCCCCACACTTCTACCCGCTCCATTTGCTCAACTAGCACGGGTCTGCTGCACATCCCTTGAACCCTCCATGCCACCATCTGTGGCTATACACCCCTAATCTCTTGAGCTCCCTGCCTCAATCCCTCCACCTCACCTCTCTTTTTCTTTAAATCCCACTTTAAGATCTTTGACCACACTGTTCCTCCTTCTTCCCTGATCAGCTTCCAACCCCGCCACTATGCAATGTTCTGAGACACTATTCTGCCAGAAGGGTGAACTTGTAAGTTTTTGTTGCACCTTATCGTTGCAGTTCTACCAAGTGAGCCAGGTGTCAGCTTACTTGGCTCAGTTGGTAGAACTGTTTGTTACCTCTGAGCCAGAAGGTTGTGGGTTCAAGCCCCACTTTAGGGTTCATAAAAATACATTTATGCATCACATGTAAACCATATGCCCATGGGAATCTTAGAGTTATCATTTTACAACACTGATCTGAGTTCAAATGCTGATGAAAGAAATATCTGTATATTCTATATTATCTTTTGACCTCATAACATAACACACCCAAACCTATACTTTATCACTGGACGGCTGATCGATTGAGCTGATGGATTTTATTAGGAGAACGTCTCATGATTTCATAACACTACTTTCCAGGCAGCTGAGAGACACCTGGATCAAGCTTTTACTTGAGTACATGTCGAATTTTGGTGTTTCACACCTGGACCTAGTAATTTTGATTTTACCAGGGTCAACACGCAACACCACAGGAGGGCAAATTTCCCAGCCACGGTGGTGACAAATGTTGGAATCCCGTTTTTCTAAAAGAAACACAAAAAGTTTTTGGAAGAAGAAATTGCTCATTAAATCTTTAGGTTAGTTTTCAAATCCTTGCAGAATGTAAGAGTGCCAAGTATAAGAGGCCACTAGAGGGCGCTGTGTGTGTGGTAAAGACATGTATCAAAATACTGATCAAAGTGGTCAAACCAAAGGGTAATTTAGTGTTTTGCTGCCCAATAATTATACAGTGTTTGAAATGTAGCAATCCTCCACATGTTTTTTTTATAAATAAATTTCTTATCACTTTTATGTTGCAGAAACAGCTGTCACTGGAAGTTTGCATGCTGCAGTTTTTCTATGCATACGTCCAAAGGTAACCACACTAACTGTACTGGAAAAGAATGACCATGCAGGTCATCTCTATTGCGTTTCATATGCACATAGACCCGTTTGCTTCATGCAGTAAGGGTTTGTTTAATCCGCTTTGATCAAATCCATCTTAAGATAAAGTATTTGCTGTATAAAACTATATGATGGTTTTAATCTGTGATCAGATCTGCTGATCTATAGATTTGCTGTGCCTAAAGGAATAACATTCTTTGAAAGGATGTTCCTAGGGCTAATCAAATAATTGGAACCCATTCTAAAGTAATGTATGATTTCATATCAAATAGTGCTCTGAATTGATCCTCCCTCAGTAATACAGTGGGATACACTTATAATTGTAACACAGCTGCTGCAGGTCATTGGATCATAGTGAATGTACTGTATAGAACTGTATAAATACTTAAAAAAGAGAAAGAACTTTCATTTTTATAGCACCTTATCAAGTCCAAGTGTCTCACAAAGAGTTTCCCAAGTAATTATTTTCTCAGACACTCTACATTGCTTTGTAAGTTGCTCTTTTTGTATCTCTCTGGACTGGGATATTGGGTTCAGAGCATTGTATGGCTAGACCTGGGCAACAGGTAACCAACCTTCCCTTTGTGGTACTGTATGATTCATGACACACAAAGATCACCCAAGGAATAAAAGTAACTTTGATTTTCATTTAAGAAAGTAAGTTTTACTAAATTTAGTAAAATTCAAGTGATGTCAGCCTGATCCTGAACTGTATTGTCTAAGTTAGAAGAAAAATATTCCTTATTACTGAAGGTAAGCGGTCAAATAACCTGATCTAACCTTCCTTCCTTTCTTCCCAGGATCTCCGTGCAGAATTTAGTAGACAGCTGGCCTTCGCTTTTCCCACTACTCAAAGATTCTGTTCAGCTCTATCTGCCCCCACCCGGACAATTCCTCATCCTTGGGTAAGAATTTCTACCGAATATGAAAACTTCTCACCCACAGCATTGAGCGCTGTGGGAGGACTTTTAATTTTAAGGTCATTTTTAATCTCAGCAAACAAGGGTAGATTTTGGCACAGACCATGTCGACAACGGGGTGAATACATCTCGTAGAAGTGTCCAGTGTTCAAGAGGGAAGTAAATTGAGGAGGAAGAATGAAGGAGTGTTTAAAAATTCTGCTTCATTTTATTCCCCATTTTATTCAGAAACGGACTAGTTTTGGTGTAATAGATACCCAGACATGAATTGGGAACATGCACGTGGTTTGATCAGCACTTGGAGGAAAGATCTATGTTCATCTAAAATTCATCCCGGGGGCTATTGATGTTTTATCTCAGCAGAGTGTGCATTGGGATGTTGCTGGAGTCTAACTAGCTAAAATCCCACTGAGAGCACTTCTTGGCAAGCTTTTTGTGCAGCTGGGACCACCCTACCCATTAGGGCTTTGGCTTGCAGAGATAACAGAAGCTGAGTGGGAAGAATCCCTGTCCCCAGTGACTGGTCTGCCCTTCCAAGTCCTGCCAATGAGCCATCCTGGCTGTGCTGCCATCAGCAGTGCTATGGAATATTGTGGACCCATCTGGCTAAGGAACTGGACTACCAAGATCCTGACATTACATTGCCAAACACGTCACCTTGGAGCTGGTTAAGTTCCAAGGAGGCCCCGCTTACTCCCCCCTCCCAGGAGTGACTAGGACAATGACAAGTGTTCCAAGATACTAACCCAAGGGTGAAGGATGCTATATAAATGCAAGTTGTTGTTGGATATGAGATGTAACACACCAGGAAGTTAGATTGTTAGAGCTTAGTCATAAGTGAAGCATCTGGAAGTCTCAGGAAATGCTTGTGTCCTGATCTAGTGCCAATAAGACCCACATTGTATACCTTCAGCATTGCTCAAGGTGCCTTCTTGATGTGAGTGGATAATTGTTACAAACTTGTGTTTATAGCGTTCTAAATGAATTCATCATGAAGAATCCCAACTTGGAAAACAAAAAGGATCAAAGGGACCTGCAGGTAAGTTAGTAATAATCCTTGCATTTGATATAGCGCCTAATCACGTCTTTGAGACATCTCAAAGCACTTCACAGAATAATCTGGAAAGTGAATTGACCGTATATTTTGTTGGCGAAAAGTTGATTTCACAGTTCAACTAATAGAGGTTTCAATAAGTCCCAATGGGGCCCATGTGCATCTAATGGACTTGCATGTGGGTGTTCTTGACCCTCTGAGAAGGTCCATGGATCATAGCTGTTTATTGATGTTTAGTGGGATGTTGGCATTTGAGTTTGTAGATTTGTTATTAAGCTGGTTTACCACCAAGTGGAAAGCTTCTCAGCCATTGAGATCATCAGTGAGTAACTATTTGGCGGCAAGGTCTGTGACACACAAAATACATCCTGTTCCATTTGATACACTAAGTAGTGAACAGATCAATAAATTAACCCCATTATCACCTTGTGATGACTCTTCCAATATCATCTGCTTTTTTAGGATGTCACCCATAAGATAGTGGAGGCTATTGGGAATATTGCTGGCTCCTCCCTGGAACAAACCACCTGGCTCCGGAGGAACCTCGAGGTGAAAGCTTCTCCACAAATCCTGGTGGAGGGAACCAACATGGAAAGAGATGTTGAAGGTATGAGCTATTCCTGCAGCAGTGTTGGGGCGACATGTCAAGGCAACGGATGCGTTTAAACTGTCCTGTGTTTGTGAAATGAAAGGCTAAGAATAATTAGCTGAAGGGCAGTTGCATATAGGTTCTATCTCCTGGTTATATCGTAACAGAAAAGCTGTGCTTTACCGTGTAAGCAACATAGCAATTATGAAGCCAAAGTGATGTTTCTGCCTGAAGCTGTAGCACAATGCTAGACTTCTGGCACTCACACTTTTCATGGTTTCTGAATTCTGATTAAATACAATCATGTTTTTACTGTTGAGGTGGCAGTGTTTTGTCGTTCTCTTTTTGGTAAATAGATTTTGACTTATGTGAATTCTTGTCACATTGTACGGTACTCAAGTTGAAAAGAAGTGTATGAAAAAGAGGAACCACACAGTGTGCCACTGTTCAGAAGACCTCAGCCTTTATTTAGAGTGTGTTTGATTTGAACAGAATTCATGTGTATTTGAAATCAATCGTAAAGAAATTAACTGAGCTCGTTTTATATATATTCAAAACGTTTGTATATAGTGATTTTCTATTTTTTCCCCATTTTGCAATTTTCTCTTCTTAATCCTCCTCTCCTGAAGGTACTGGGGACTATTTTTCCTCTCCTTCAAATGAATTTGCAGAGCATTGAGCTGCTAGTAAAGTAATGCAGCTTCTCAGTCACAATACGTGTATCTGTGAAAACTTTTGAAAGCCTAACAGGTAAAACCCAGCAATCCATAAGTTCTTCCAATTGATGTTTGCATGAAATCTAAACTAGTATCTTCACTTGAGTGTTTGTTTTCTGATCCTTCAGATATTATGTTGGCCCCAGTGATGGAGACATCCAATATCACGCCTTCTGTGTACAGTGTGCATGCGCTGACGCTGTTAGCTGAGGTATGGATATTGCTGATATGTTTATATTATTTCTAGTACACAGTTCTGGTCTCATCTGCATCATTTTAATTTTGTAGTCGCTCAATAGATCATTGATCAATGGAAAACATTGGAATAAGTGTGTGTTAATGACTTTACCTCAAAACAAGTGAAGTAGGAATACAGGGAGAAGGGACTTCGCCTAAGGGAGCTGAATTAAAGCAGAAAGCAAATGCAGGGAGGCCTGATAGATTTTTTTCCGTGCCCACAGATTACGCAGTTAATCCACTTTACAATATATCTTGTGAAGCCCTTTAGACGTCTCAACAACATGATAAGGCGCTATATCAAATGCAAGGATTATATAACCTTGCACAATTGGAAGATGCTGCATTGGGAATCCAATAGATTGGCAGTGGGCTGCCACCAGAGGCTGACAAGGAGCTGTCCATGGTTCTGCATTTTCTGATTTGAAACACATTGCAGATCAGGACCAGCCTTGATCTCAGGCTGTTGAATTTCCAGTGGGATTTCTTGGCCTTGGCTTGTGTTCTCGACAGTAGCCAAGTTGCTCTCTTTAATGTGTGAGGACCGTAAATGGTGCACAATGTAATGAATCTGCTCATGTTAATGCTGAGAACTAAGTGATTAAATCAGGGTCCTCTTGTATCACTGTTATGAAAGGAAAGTTCTTTCCAATGACCATACTGCCCACAACTCTATTTAGTTATCTTGAAGGAAGTTGGAGAAGGTCGCAATGTGATCCTTTGCCTGTACTGAGCTGATCTTAGCTGGGACAGCAGTAAATGCACCACCAGGGTTAGGATGAAGAATCTCAGACATGGTAAAATGTATGGATGTTGGGTGAAAACAGGATTGGGCTCAGCAGGTGTAAAATAACCTGCAGTCGATCATTGTGAAATCTTGGACATGAATAGGATTTGCTTTGGTGACATACTGCAGGGCAAAAATATTGGTGAAGCGAAAAGTCTTAAACCAGAAAAGTGCAATGCTCAAAGCTGTAATTCACTGGGAAATCAAATAGTTTACTTTTGCTCTGTTAGCAGGGAAACAATTCCTTAATGTTGAAGTCGTTTTAATGCTTTCTGGATTTGAATAATCAAGGCTGTTGAATGGATTGTAATTGTGCAACATATAACGTCAATCTTTCAGGTTTTGGCTCATCTCCTGGACATGGTTTTCCACAGTGACGAGAAGGAAAAGGTCATTCCTTTACTTGTCAACATTATGTACTACGTGGTCCCCTATCTTCGCAATCACAGGTACTCCAAGCTTTGCTTTAATCTAGTTAACACTGAATAGGAATTTCTGTATGTCTCAGACAAGTTAATTGTAATTTATGTTTTCTTTTTCTGATATTCATCTGTGCATTTTATCCAAAATACGTAATAATCCTTACATTTGATCTAGCTCCTTTCACATCGGGAGAATGTCCCAAAGCACTCCACAGGATTTTCTGTAAAGTGTAGTGTCATCCGCAGACATGGGGTAAACTTCTACAAGTGTGCGGATGACACACAAATCTACTTTGCCTCCTCCATCTGTGACTCCAGGTCCCCAATGTTCTATCAGCTTGTCTGGCAGACATCAGGGCCTGGATGAGTGCAAACTTCTTGCAGTTGAATGTGGACAAGACAGAAGCCATTCTCCTTGCCTCCCATCAACGTCTTCACTCCTGCGGATCCAACCTCCTAAACCTCCCTGGGCTCTCTCTCACACTCACCAAACCAGTGCACAATCTAGGCATCCAGTTCGAGCCCCAGCTGTCCTTCCTTCCCCACATCCAGTCCCTGACCAGGACCACTTCACCTCCCCCACATTGCCCGCCTCCAACCATACTGAACAAATCAACTTCCAGATCCTCACATTAGTTTTCAAATCCATTCACTCCTTGGCATCTCCCTACCTCTCCGACATCTTCACTTCCCAATCCACCATCCAGCGCCTCCGCTTGACTGGCTTCCTGTTCTTCCCTCGCACCCTCCGCTCCACCATTGGAGGTCGCGCATTCAGCCACTACGCCCCAAAACTCTGGAAAACTCTCCTTCAATCCCCTTGCCCCTCCCTCCCCTTTTTCAAGTCCCGCCTGCGATGCTACTCTGCGCTGTATAATTGCAAGCTGTTGTTGTAGTGTAATGTTTTGTGAGTGAATGTGGCAGTCAATTTCAATGTCCATGTGCCAGTTACAAAAGCGCTGGCTGTCTGAAGTCAGCTCCAGGATACTAATACAGCAACATTTGTGTAAAATTGTCAACTTATTTTATATACTTCTGTATATAAATCCTGTGTAAGCCTTGTAAAAATATGATTTAAATGGGAAACTTTAATCCATGAATTTTCGGGGAAAAAATGTCCATCTAGATTGGTTCTTTATTGTCTTGGAAGTAAATAACATGTTCAGTAGGATCGAGAAAGTAAACCCACAACAATACTTCTAAATTTACCAAGGCAACAGAACCACAGGATACAGGTTTAGGATTGTGAAGAGCAGGTTTAAAATAGATACAGGAAGTATTTCTTTACACAGAAAATAATTAATGGCTGGAACTGGGTTACTAGGAAAAGTGGAAGAGCACTGGACTCATTGAACAAACTCTTGATGCAGTGATGGAAGATAATTGGTTTGGTATTCTGGAAGTTTGAGATGAGATGGAATGAAGGGTTTCTCTTATAACATCTTATGATCTGAGCTTCTGAAGGGTGCGTATACTGTGAGGATCACCCATTTCACAGGGTACTCTCTGCACGTTTCAATGATCATGTTATTAAGGCTAGAATGACTCTCACTGAATTTACACTGAATCAAGGCATAAGGGTGATGCTTGTGCTTTCTGAATGCAAGTCCTTCGTTCATCAAGTGTGACTGCTCTAAAATTGCTGTGTTCCTCCAGTGCCCACAACGCACCAAGTTACCGAGCATGTGTACAGCTGGTGAGCAGCCTGAGTGGCTACCAGTACACAAGGCGGTCCTGGAAAAAGGAAGCATTTGATCTCTTCATGGACCCCAACTTCTTTCAGATTGATCCATCATGTGTCAGCCAGTAAGTCCAATACCTTGTTTCCTGCCCGTCTTGAATAACCTGTAGTTTGGGTGAGAGAACGTCTGAAGCCTGTTTGAAGATTGTGTGGCTCCCAACCTGTTAACTTGTTTCACACACAGTATCAGTCACATATACAGCAAAATACAAAATTACATTTGTATAGCATCTTTCACGTCGGGAGGAGGTCCCAAGGCGCTGGGTTATAAGGATGCATATCCACTCGTCCTTATAACACAACCTTCAAAACACAGCTCTGTCGCCAGCTTTTGTCACTCGTGAGTTTTCATCTCAAAACTAAATGTGGTATGTCAGAGAGGGAGAGATCCCGTTTCTTTGAGCCCCTCTTCCCTGTTCTTCAGGTTTAGGCTCCCACCTCTTGTCAGATTCAAGTTCACAGCCTTGTCATTCTTCCTTTTGCCCTCCCAGATGGTCTATCCATCCCTCTCTCTGCTGTCTCCAGGTCCTCTCTGGACTCTGCCCTCCCTCCTACCAAACCCACTATGACTCTGATTGTAACAGTTTTTTTATTAACCTCTAGCTGGAGAGCCATTATCGACCACCTGATGACTCATGACAAAACCACTTTCAGAGATCTCATGAGTAAGTTACACCATCTATTTGCTGAGTTTTATTTTGTTTGTTTGCGCTGTGGTTCGTCTTTCTCTACTAGCTTGTGCATAGGACCTTAAAGTGCTTTAATTGATTCATTGTTGTGTAAATTATTGTAAGCTAAGATCTAGATGTGGCCGCTCATGTCCTATAATAAATACTATATTCAGGGTATTCTGCTGATTTCTCATTACTTTGTTCTTTTGCTCCCCCAGCCCGAGTGGCAGTGCCTCAGAGCAGCTCACTCAATCTGTTTGCCAGCCGAGAGGCCGAGCTGGAGCAGCGGGCAATGCACCTTAAAAGGCTGGCTTTTGCGATTTTCAGCAGTGAAGTGGATCAGTATCAGAAATACCTGCCAGACATACAGGGTCAGTTATTGCGGGGTTTGTCCACAAGAGAATGTCAACTCGCGAGCAGTTACAATTCCAAAATCTGATTCAGCTGTTTGTTTGGATGATATTCTAAACAGAGTTGTTACTCGGTCAAACATCTTAACCCAACATCAAACTGCTGAGGTTTATTTGCTGGTTTATTTATTTGGAATGAGCCCGATGTTATGCTGTTGATGTGGTCTGGCTTTCATGCTGAACGCATTATGTTCATCACCGGTGCAAGTTAGCCCAAACCTCAAGTGCCCTGGCCAACATACAATCAAATTGCAAATCCCCACACTTGTGTGTCAGTGCACAACAAGGATGTGTGCTATTTAGGGATTTTCAGGATACTGACATTACCTTGTACCATGACAAAACCTAGGGTGGATTATCTCATCGCTAATGTACGTATATCATGAATAAAGTATAAGATTGCCCTACGTATAGTTAATAGTCATGAGATTTTGAGGTTTATGATAAGTGTTTCTACAATAAAGTGCTGTGTTACAGAGCGCTTGGTGGAAAGCCTTCGTCTGCCTCAAGTGCCCACACTCCACGCCCAGGTCTTCCTTTTCTTCCGTGTGTTACTGTTGCGAATGTCTCCACAGCATCTGACTTCACTGTGGCCAACGATGATCACAGAACTGGTAAGATGAAGAAAAGCATTCCTGAACACAGAAAATAGACTCCACCCACAAAAAAATTGCCGAGGTTTTTATTTTGTGAATAATAAGACTTAACTTATCCTTAGAAATTGGTGGCCAGGACTTGATTTAGCCATTGGCCATACACATTGTGAACTGAATGCAAAATGCCATTCTCATCCACTGAGCGACGGAGTGAATTAATTTCACAATTCTAATCAAATCTCATGAGGTCTGATGAAAGGTTGTGGATCTGAAATGTTGGCTCACGTTCCTTTCTCCATAGATGTTGCCTGACCTGCTGAGTGTTCCCAATCTATTTTTGTTTCAAATCTCTTCAGGGTCTGAACTATGACTTGGGTTAATAGCTTGTGGGCTTAACCATGTTCAAATACACTCAAATATTTTTAATTATGCAATTAACCACCAATGACAGGACTACTGGTTATTCTCCAATGCTTTAAATAGGTTAATTAGAACTATTGGGCCAATTCCCCCCATCTGACTGAAGGCTACCCTCATTAGTACAAACCAGGATTGAAACATGACAACCTTTTGTATTAAGTTTATTATTGAACAGTTGTATCATTTCAGATTCGTTAGAATAACGTTTGCAATCTGTTCTGATTAGTTGTTAATTAACAACAAAGTGGACAAGCTGCTGTTTGGGGGGAGGTGATTGAGCTGAATTGATGCATTGTAAGTTGTTGCCTTGACATTTTTTGATGTTATTTAAAGGTGCAAGTGTGTTTGCTGATGGAGCAAGAGCTTACAGCAGATGAAGACATTTCGAGGTACGATATTGCTGCACATCCATCTCTGTAGTCAACCTGCAGTAATTCTCCCAAAGCAAGTTCCTGATCTAACAAACTGTTGATGTTGGTTCTCTATGTTGGCTCTGAAGGTCCCAGGTGACATGAGTTTGGGTAGTCTCAACACACTTCGTAGTTGTAGGCCTGGGCTCATGGCACAAAACTGTGCACCTGTTGACACTAAATTGGCAATCTCAGATTGGGAGGTGGGGGGAATGTTAAAGATCGAACACGTCCAGGGGATGATGGTTTGAGATTGGGGGTCAGGGTAGAAGGGAACCTACTCTGTGTCTGGCCCCAGGATACTCTATCTGAGAGTGCATGATGTGGCTTCAAATTCTAGTGTTGCGTCTACTTTGCATGATGATTATAAAGACTTGATGCGCAAACAAATAACTGTCAATGTCATATCTGTGTTTACAAGTCAAGTACTTGAGTATAGATGGGTCTTTTCCCAGGATTATTCCTTGAAGGGTAAAAATTCCAAAATCCGGAGTAAATGTTGTCTCAATGTTAACGTTATTCCCCATTTTAGAACTGCAGGTCCATCAGTGACCGGGTTAGAGACCACCTACATGGGAGGAAATGGTTTCTCCACATCCTACAACAACCAGCGGTGGCTTGGTCTCTACCTATCAGCGTGCAAATTCCTGGATCTTGCACTGACCTTACCCTCTGGAAACCTTCCGCAGTTCCAGATGTGAGTAATGTTAAAGCACAGCCTATTTGCTGTTATCATTGTGGCCTTGCATTTTTACTAGCGTCGGCAATAGAATATTTGTTTCGCCAGTAGAATCCTTGTGTATTGATAAACACCTTATAACTTCTCAAAGGATTTACTGTAAAGTGCAGTCCCTGTGTACTTATAGGTCATAATAATCAATTGTTCGGGGGTCAGCCAGGTGTCTTGACACATGCAGAAATTATTAATTTAAATTAACAATATATTATAAATATTAATTAAATAATAATTGGTGATTAACAATGATTAATTTCAGTTTATTGTTTGCAATAGGTATCGCTGGGCCTTCATTCCAGAAGTATCTGATGACTCTGGTCTGGAGGTCCGGAGACAGGGGACCCATCAACGGGAATTTAAACCCTATGTGGTTCGATTGGCAAAACTGCTTAGGAAAAGAGCAAAGGTAAAAGCATCTTCCCTTAAGCAATATTTATGGCAGTGTTTCTGCCCCCTCCCTTCTTCCTGATCACTATTTTTGGGGCATTTGCTTTGGGTTGCCCTCCTGATGTGAAAGGCAGTATACCAACTGTAAGGATTATTATTATTTAAAAAATCTGTTTTCAAAGTGTTTTGGTGTGAGGACAATCTCTCATTCTCTGCTTATACTACTTGAGCAGGTAGCAAGGCAACTGTGGTAGCTCACCAAGAGTCAAGAGGAAGAGAGAATTGAGAAAAGAGAATTAACAACTCACATTGCATTAGAGGCTGAAAAAACAATCTGTGCATTTGATATAGTGCCTTTCAAATCCAGGGGTACTCTCAAAGAGCTTCAACTGAGATAGGAATAGTAGTATCCATAGATGCCTCCATAGACGTTACCTGACCCTTTGAGGGTTCCCAGCGACTCCTGTTTTTGTTTAGGAATAGCAAAGTTTCTTTAAAATCTCATTAGTTGTTGGGTTCTGCCCCAGATCAGACATTTCAGGAGAGCTCAGTGGCACCTCTTCATTCCATGTTGTTTGGACATTGTTTGGCTTCTCAGTCAAGTATGATGCAAATAATAATAAATAATAATCCTTGCATTTAATATAGCACTTTTCACGTCTTCTAGACATCCCAAAGCGCTTCACAGAATATACTGTAAAGTGAATTGACTGTATATTTGTGGGCGAACACAGCAGCCAATTGTGCACAGCAATGTTCCACAAACAGTCATAGATTCAAAATGACCAATTTATTATTGTTTTGTTTTTTTGGAGGTATTATTATTAGGCGAGTGGAGTAAGGAAACTTGCCCAAGGTTTCGCCCTGCCAGGAATTGAACTCAGGTCTCTCACTTGCAAAGCGAGTGCTCTAACCACTGAGCTCCAGGACTCCAAGATTTCCTGGAAGGTGTTATAAAGGTTTAATGGAAGGTTTGCTTCCTTCTGTAGCTAACAATCATTCAAAAGAAAATATTCCACAAGGTGTACATTTTAGTGTATGTAAATGAGGAGCTCATTTCAAGGGTGTAATTAATTAACTTTATTTGTACATATGAGATGAGATCAGGTCCAACACTGTCTATTCTAGTGCTAGTTCCCCCCCCCCCCACCGAAGCATTCCAGTAGAAGCTGAACTGAGGCATTTGAATCAAGTTGATGGCAATTTTCCAGCTCTACCATTTTCTAAATCAGTGAAAGCAATAAATTGCTGTCTGTTGAATCAGTCCTGTGCTCGAACAGACTCACTTTTGTCTGTGTGCCATTTTTTTCTCATTTCTACTATCTACTGTATTTAAATATCCATATTAGCCTCTATTTGCGTAGCAGGAGGAGTTTTTTGGTGTACTACTTGTTGATGTTCGTTTTAGGAATAGATTGCAAATTAAAAGAAGACCTGGAATTGATAAACTGTATGGATCCTTTCCTTGGCACCACAAATTGAGTTTAATGCAGCACCAGGTTGAAGTGAGTTAGTACCCAATAAATGAAACTAGCAATTCAATTTCACGGGTAATGGAAGTGTGCAAAAAGCGTGAAATTAAATTGACTATGAATACTTCCAGAACAACAGGAGTTGGATGGTTAATAGCAGCAGGGTTGATAGATTTTGTTGTACATTTGCAGAAAAATCCAGAAGAGGATAACTCAGGGAGAACGCTAGCCTGGGAACCAGGTCACCTTCTGCTCACTGTTTACTCCATTCGCAGCATTGAGCATCTTTTGCCTTTCTTCAACGTCCTCAGCCAGTTTTTTTCCAACAAAGTCACAAGCAGGTCTGCTGGACACTCAGGGAGTCCTGTCCCCTACACAAGCTCCTTCTCAAACAAGGACATTAAAACAGAGAACCAGAAAGCCTTCTGGAACAAGGCCAGACAAAAAATCGAAGAGGTACTCGAGAAAGATTTCCTGGAAGGTGTTATAAAGGCTTAATGGAAGGTTTGCTTCCTTCTGTAGCTAACAATCATTCAAAAGAAAATATTCCACAAGGTGTACATTTTAGTGTATGTAAATGAGAAGCTCATTTCAAGGGTGTAATTAATTAACTGTATTTGTACATATGAGATGAGTCCTGAATGCTGAACTTATGAATCAGGTTTTTTTGTTGTATCATTGGCTCATATCAATTATGGTGCCTAAAATGTAAATGGCTGACTGTTCTATTCCCTTTTGTTCTGAATAAATGCACTCCTGTGATAAATTGTATAATTGGTGACCTATTATTCTGCGTGTTTTCCTCATTGTGATAAAAAATGGACTACAGTACCATAGATCATAAAGAGGTAATTTGGTCCAACACTGTCTATTCTAGTGCTAGTCCCCTCCAATCCCAAAGCATTCTGGTAGAAGCTGAACTGAGGCATTTGAATTTTCAACTCACTCTGCGAATGTGGTTGTTGGTTAAAGTCCCTCCCATACTTTGGCCCAATAAAAGATTTACAGAAGTATTTTAATGCACACATCAGCTGAAAAAGTAAAACTGCTATAAACTTGTTTTTGGTAGAAAAACTTTAAACCCACCACCATGATAGTTTTCAGAATAGATAACTTCAAATGATTAAAACCTAACCCTGACATTAAAAAAACTTCCTCCATGGTCCCTCCCAGCCATCTTATTCTTTTCCCTTCCTTCATGCAGTACTTGTAATAACCATTCGACCCCCCCCCGCAAAACACCTTTCTTGCAGGTCACTTTAGAGATAAACTACGTGAGTGGAAGAGCATTATTTTGCCCTCTTGGTAAATGACTAATGATATTCAGTCACCCAGATCCAATAAGAAAACCACCAGTTGGGCATTGTTTTTTGTTCTGCAGAGTATTATCCCGTTTAAGACTTTCAATGTGCATTTCCATTTGTCTGGGATGGAATGTGCAAAAAAAAACATAAAAAACATTGGTACTTTATAGGATTTTCCAATGTAACAAAGAAATTATTTCAATTATTAAATAAGTCACTCATTTCACATTCCCCTAGTTTACATCCACAGGATGGCTCCTTGTGTGTTACCAGGCAGTGACTAAGATTGGAATCACCATATGCGTCCTTAAAAACATCAATATTGCTCTTAGATGAAATAAAATCCTTGCATTTTACAGGAGGGGTGTCTAAGTGCTTCACTGGATTTTACTGTAAAATGCAGTGACTGTGTATTTTGTAGGCCAATGCGATAGCCAATAGGCACACCGCAATATCCCACAAACAGACAATAGTGAACAATTTAATCTGGAAGAAAGTCCCTCCTCTTTCCAAGTAGTGTCGCGAGATCTTTAACATCCACCTGAACAGGCAGAAGGGATCTCAGTTTAATATCTAATCTGAAGGACAGCGCCTCCCGACAATGCAGTGCACTGCAGCACTCTGTTGGAATGTGACTTCAAAATCCTAACGGGACTTGAACCCACAACCTTCTGGCTCAGAAGTGGGAGTGAGCTGGGCTGGAATCTAAATAATAACAAAAGGCTGCAAATGCCTCATTTCTGCAGCTCTTGTGGGGGTACTTTTCCTAAATTCTAACCCTATCCAGGCAAATATTTCAAACTTAACTTTTGCTTTGTCAGGATTTCCAGTGAGTAATTCTGATTAGAGCGTACAAATGGCCACCATTTGTTCTAATGGAATCTGTACATTGAGGTGTGAAGGGTTACTGAAATTCCAGCTGTGCTGATACCAGTCGATGTAGTGTTATTGTAAAGTAAGGCACCTGGTTTTGCAAATGTTGACATACTTGCTAATGTTTTGATCTCTATTTGTTCAATGCAGTGGCTTCGGTTTCTCTCCGACACCTCCAGCTAACTCGTAAACAAGGCAGCTGACCTTGTGTGCCAGTGTATCTGCATTGCTCTGTAAAACACGAATAAACATTGCGTGAAATCATACACTGCTGTGAACAACAGCAGAAAGAAAAGTAAAGCTTTATTCTATGGGAGATCAATTTGCTCTTGTGCTGGACGGGTGGCCCGTTTGTACAGGTTCAGCTAAGTGTAGTCAGTTATAGAGTGGTGTTCGTGCTATCAAAACAAGGGCAAAGAGCAGTCCAGCTCCAAGCAGAAAACCATTGTCCAAGATAAGACCCAAAATATTTTATTCAGTCAAAGCCTGCCATTGAAGGGTGAATTTGTAGAAGAACGGGTGGCTAACTTGCAGAGATGTTGCCATGCTCCACGTACCTTACAAGTGAAGGGAAATGAAGATGGCTACCACTCACACCAAGTAGTTGTGTCTATAGCTATATATGTGTGTATACGTGTGTGTATAAAACAAGGCATGAATATTGATGTATCATGAATACTGATACAGTGATAGAACACAACGTTTTGGGTCCTATTCTAAGTTTGGGCCAACATGAATTTAACTTGAAAGAAGCAGATGCCTTGCGTTTCCAGGCTGTAACCAAGAATGGAGTTGCCGCATTTATCCTGTAAGCAGCAATTTTGCCCTTAGAAGAAAAATAATCCTTGCATTCTACATCAGGGGAACGTCTCAAAGTATCTCACTGCCATTGAGTGGAAACCCTTGACTATCCAATGAGTTGAGACATTCTCCTGATGTGAAAGGCGTTATGTAAATGCAATTTGTTGTTGGCATTACCTGGGTGTCTGCTTCAGCGTACACCCGCACCACGTCTTCTGTGCCTGATGGACGAACAAAAGCCCGTGACAACTTGTACTTCTTCACCAGAATATCGAGCTGTTCCTGGAGCCCCGGGGGAGTCACTGCACGTCTCCCAGCGTTAACTGTGCTGATCACTTGCCGATTGACCACCTGGTGCAAACCACATAGCACTATAAAACACAGCTGGAAGACTTGGACTTGGATTATAAAAATCAGAATCTAAAACAAATCTCCAGAGAGCAGTTATTTACTGAAACTTGTATCAAGATCCTCGATTTTCCCCCCTTCCTTAATTATCTCCCCCACATCGCAAAACACATGCCAAGTAAAGTGGCCTCACCTTGACTTTGAGTTGCCTGTTGGGGAGGTCAGTGTAAATGGAATTCCATTGCTGCACAGTGAAACCTTTGATTGAAAGGATGGCCTCGATTATCAGCATGTCTGATATGGCGTCACCCACCGTCTGAAAAGCAGATACAAGAGGTCAGCAAAGCCACCAGATCCAGAAGAGGGCCGGACCTCAGTCTTCCTCCTCTTTGCTGCAGCAGGTAAAATCAATCCAAACTAAGCCAGCAACAGGGCAAGAGCAGTTCAGAATATTAGGGTTAATTTTGTTTTAAAATAAGAAGCAACAATAGCAACCTGCTCACGGTCCAGAATTCAATTGCTCATTAATATAAATCTCTGGAGCGGCCTCGGTGTCCGCTGGCTGTATTCACGCTCTCAGCAGATAAATGAAAACTGAGAAGCTACTTATGTCAGTTTCTGGGCTGCTCTCAGCTCCAGCAACACATCACTGGACTCCAGTAAATCTGCCCCACCACAGACTGGACAATCAGTCAAGAATACTAGCGTTCGTAGACCAGACATCCGAGATGTAACCTGCAGAACAGATGTCCCTGTGCACTATCTTCAGATTTATCCTGACTACCCAGAAACGACTTGTACTTGGAAGAACTTAGGGAATATTTCCATTGTGTATAGGATCAGAAACGATTACAATCTCAAAGTGAAGAAAACCCCTGCACTCCAGTGACACATTATTGGACGTAAAAAGGAGTAGTTACAACAATGCAATCTCATTTTACTGGCAATCGCTAACATTTCTTTACCAGTATCCCGCATGCATTCACAGAAAAGCTGAGCACATTCATAGCAGCGAAAAACCCACTAACAAGCAGTGAATGGAAAGCTTCCATGTTACGTATCATACTCTGTCCGAGACTGACTTACCTGGTTGATCAGATCAATAGTGTTTGCAAGCATTTTAGCTGCATCGCATTTCTCTTTTGATTGCTTCTCATCCAGGACCATCCTTCTGATCTTCTTCTCAGCTTCCTTACTGAAAAGTACCTTGGAAGATTGTAAAGTGAAAGCTTGCTCAGACTTACTGTAGCAGCAACACAGCACCTTGTGCAGTACATGGAATTGTGGGGATTCAGAGGCAAAGAAAGAACTTTTTATAACCTCTCAGCACAATGAAAAGTCTCAAAGCACTTCACAGAGGAGTGTCTGTTTCTGTAGGGAAACACAGCCGCCATTTGCAGCAGCGAGATACAGCAAACAGCAGTAAAGTCAACAATCAATGTATCTGGAGGAGCGCTGGCAATGACACAAGGAAAAACTTCTCTTTTCGATATTGACTTGTTACAAAATTATGCAAGAGGAAAGGTAGAAGCTTTCCATTACTGGGGATAGCACTTTTTTTTCAAATAAAAGTGCAATCACAATAGTTGCAAATTATTTCAAAAAACAGGATTTCAGGTAAGAGTGTTCCTTTCTTCCCTGATTCCTATTTATCCATTACAGTAATTTACTGGGTTAAGAGAGAATAAAGTTGAGGGATATGGAGAAATAGCTGGATATGGGACTAGGGATAGGATCTAGGTTAGGCACCCATGTAGAGTATAAGTACTAGCCAGATTGGATAGGCTGAATGGCCTGATTCTGAGCTGTGCTTTCTATGAATCTGTGAGCTCCCCATTCAAACACTTACTGTGCCATGGCCATTGGCTTCAAAATAAACACCAACATCAAACTCCTGGGCTTTATGATGTAAATGCTTCACCCCTGTACTCACACAGTGAACGGGAACCTGGGAAAACCAAAACAGAAGTGCATGTACTGTTATAAAGATAGAGAACATTTCAAGACAGAAACCTCACACAAACATTGAATGCCAGCCAGCTCCTGAGATGCTACTTAAAATTTTGGAAAAGGAACTCATATTTGTCTAAAGTTATTGTAAGAAACATCAATCTCAGAATTGTATTCTTACCTTCATAACTTCTTCTATGTATCTTGTTGAGCTTCCATTGGCGTAGGCAGTCTGCACCACTGCTATCTGCAAATCTAAGTCTACCTGAGGATTAAAAGCAGAAATCCATTCTGAGACCATGTACCGAATATCTAGCTCTAGTGCTACTTCTGCAATGAAGAGTGCCCCATTCACTCACAGCTTGCAAAACTGACAAGTCTCCGGTGATAATGGGAGGTGTAACATGTTGTATAGATTGGAGAAGAGATGAACTGGGATTTAGAAAGTATTCCCATTACCTCGACATTTGTATTTTTTCAATGTGATTCTTCACATTTTCCAAATAATCCTTCAATACAAAAGTTATGCCAGATGATAATTGCTGATTAACTGTTAAAGGGAAGCGGCACCTTGGCAAGAAGTTCCATCAGAAAGGTGGTAATTAAAGTTGCTATCTTGTCTCCGTCAAGTAAATGGAATTGCCCAGCTTTGTCGGCGTAATAGTACACAATTCGGTCCCCGTCTCCGTCAAATGAACAGCTCCGCTCGTTAACCTTCATGTCCAAACCTAAACAGAAAACAAATATCCCTTCACTGTGAACCTGGTCCATACCAATGCCACAAGAGAGCCACCTCCTTTATTAAACTCATTCAGTTGAACAGTTGGCTGATATCAAACAGTGCTCCAACTGTAACAAAGTAATAACAAAATGCTTTTGTGTTCAGATACTGAGTAAGACTGTCTGCTTTCACCACATCTCTTATACGTTTTGCCCAAAGAATATAGTCAATTCACTTTACAGTATATTTCTGTTAAGCGCTTTGAGACGTCTAGAAGACGTGATAACAACAACTTGGATTTATATAGCGCCCTTCATGCCGGACGGCATATCAAATGGGAGGATTATTATATGTATTCCAGCTTGTCAAGTCAGAAGTTTTTTTTTGCTTAGAAAGCCTGATTTTACAAAGGAACCTCATTCAGTGCTTCCACATGGTGCCTTCACCGGTCACATGACTGCACTTGCACAGAAAGCCCCGGCCTCACAATACACAACAATACCAAAAGCAAGGATTATTATTATTTTGCTGCTCGTGTTAATAGGTTAAGTTGTACACTGACATTACACACAACCAAACATAATACTGCAAGCCAGACAGGCTGTGCGTGCGTGATGCAGGTAGCCAGACGCGAGACCATGAGGCACTCTCATAGGGGATCAGTGTTATACAGCAGCACATTACAATGGGGCTCCATTGTAACATCAAACAATATCTAAATGGACCTGGGTGGGTCATTATAAAATGTAGCTTGCGATAAACAGAGCAGTCACCTGAAGTTACCAGAAAGGACTAATTTTACACACTATTCTTCTATAAATTTTGTCAAATGCTGGAATGACTTTCTGTTTAGCGGATAGTTTACAAGTGAACACTTTCTCAACTTGCCTTGAGGTGGCTTCTGCCCGACCTTCACATAATCTGCCCCACAGAGGTGGTTGAGTTTGCCACTGGTACCATTGTTGTACAGCTTCAATATAAGCTTCTTCTGCAGATATGGCTCCATTTCCTGAAGTTTCAAGGCTCCAATACCATTAGCCCCGTCCACATTCAGTTGTTCAGGGCTGCAGCAAGCCTGTAAGGAAACCAGAAAAATAGATCAGTGACCAACCCTATCTCAATACAATTCATCAGCGAAGTTACTTCTCCAACAAAACCAATTTTATGAGCAAGACTGAAATTCCACCTAGATGAGAAGGGATTTTCTTCAAGTGTCCTGGCCCAAAATTCTCCCAAATAAAGTTGGTCATTCGCTTCATTACTGTCTGTGGGGCATTACTGTGCGCAAATTTACTGCTGTGTTCACCTACAATTAGTTTACAGTGAATCCTGTGAAAATGTTTCGTAAGACAATATACCAAATGCAATGATTATTTATATTATTTACCAACATTATGCAACTCCCTTTTTTTTGACTGACTAATTCTGTCTTCATCGTGCTTGTGTGACCATTGCCTATTGTGCCTCCTATTTCACTTGTAATACACAGGGCCCAACATTTGACTGTATTGCATTATAATCCTTGCATTTGATATAGTGCTTTTTCACATCTTCTAGCCGTCTCAAAGCGCTTCACAGAATATACTGTAAAGTGAATTGACTGTATATTTTGTGGGAAAAATGTGGCAGACAATTGCGCACAGCAGTGTCCCACAAACAGTCGTGGATTGAGTGACCAAATTATTATTGGTTTTTTTTCTCAAGCGATTATTATCAGGCATGTGGAGTAAGGAAAATTGCCCAAGGTTTCGCCCTGCCGGGAATCAAACCCAGGCCTCTCGCTTGCAAGGCGAGTGCTCTAACTACTGAGCTACAGGACTTGGTGGTCATAGGGAATTCCATTTCCCTATGACCACCAAGAGCTTATAAGGAACCATGGTTGGTAATTACCTTAGCTGTCAGTGCAATAAAAGCTTGAGATAGTTTCTTGTAATATCCTTCAACTGTTGCAGTCCCATACTGCTCCTGGGTGTTCCAACAGCAAACCATGTAGTGCAACTGAGGGGTGGTGACAAGGCCATAATCTACAACAAAGACAGATCACATTAATCAGGCAGCTCACAAAATACACAGTCAATCCACTTTGCAGTATATCTGTGAAGCGCTTTGAGATGTCTCAACGACGTGATAAAACGTTATATCAAATGCAAGGATTATTATTATACAGCTCAGCAGACTGATCAACCAGACAGACTCCAGGCTAAAATTCAGCACTAGCCCCAGTGAAACAACCAACAACCAACATTAAAGCGCTCTGAGACGCCGTCCGGCATGGAGGGCGCTATATAAATCCAAGTTGTTGTTGTTAATGTGGGCACAATGCCTGGCTCCAGTTCGGCTCCAGCAGATTTCCATGGAATTCACGAAATCAATTTGGTTCAGGGCTAATATTCGATGGCAGCATGTGATTCTCATGCTTTCCTTAGCTCAATTTCAATGAATGGCAGTCAGACCTCATTGAGGACACTCCTTAAAGATTCTGACATGACCTGATGTGAACTGATTGTTCTTCCCCCACCCCAAACTCCCTCGGCTGACAGCAACGACAGCAGCCTACCATATATATATATACACACACACATATATATATATATATATACACACACTGTAAACCCATTACCTGCACTTTCCCTAGGTCCTTTATTATGTTTCCATAAGTATTCAGCCAATGCTGTTAAAACATTCTCTGTTTCAACATGGGCACAGATTTTCAATACATAATAATATTAATCCTTGTATTTTGATATACCGCCTTATCACATCGTCGAGACCTATCAAAGCACTTCACAGGATATACTTTGAAGTGGAGTGTCTGTGTATTTTGTGGACGAATGTGGCAGTCAGTTTGCACATAGCGATGACCCACAATCAGCCAAGGAGTTAATTTATTTGGGGATTATTGGCCAGGAAGAAGCTCCCTTCCCCCTTTGAATAGTGCCATTTAACGTCCACCTGAACAGGCAGGCGGGACCTCAGTTTAACGTCTCATCTGAAGGATGGCGCCTCCGACAATGCAATACACCCCATCAGGGAAGTGTCAGCTTAGACAAGGTGAGTTCAAAAATCCTGATTTGGGATTTGACCCACAACCTTCTGACTCTGAGGCATAGAGATGCAAATTACTATGCACAAACATAAAATCTTACCCATTGTACTGATGTGGACACTTACCTTGGTGGCTTCCTCCTAGGACACTGATACCATCAATAACAGCCTGGGAAAGCTTGAGGCTGCTAGGCCTAAAGATCAAAATGCACAAAAGCAAACGTTATATAACTTTAACACAGAAAGCTTTCATACTCACGGAAAGGGATGTTTGTGTGCATGTGTTCATCATCTTAATAATAATAATCCTTGCATTTGATATAGCGCTTTTCACGTCGGGAGGACGTCCCAAAGCGCTTCACAGAACACACTGTAAAGTGAATTGACTGTATATTTTTTGTGGGCGAACGCGGCAGCCAATTGCGCACAGCAAAGTCCCACAAACAGTCGTAGATTGAAAATGACCAATTTATTATTGTTTTATGTTTTGGAGGAATTATTATTAGGCTCTGTGTGGAGTAAGGAAACTTGCCCAAGGTTTTGCCCTCTGCCTGGAATTGAACTCAGGTCTCTCGCTTGCAAACGAGTGCTCTAACCCTGAGCTACAGGACTCCATTTATATCAGATTTATATCAGTCACCTCAACAGACAAATAAATAAAAAATACAATCTTACTGCAAAAACAGAGTACTTGATCCCATCCAAGGGAAATCTCAGGCTGCTTGTTGTCATAAGAAATGTTCCCTGAAATGGGATTAAACATTTAGCATTCTCTATACCTCTTGCTGGGAATAAACTCATGGTTCATTTCAAAGCCTCACTAAGCATGAATCTTACCATGAGTTGCCTTTCAGATCAGATGCTTTGCAGAAGCCGAGACACCTACCGTGTGTCTCTGCCAAGAATCACGTGAGCCGCCTCCTGCATGTTGATCGACTCCTTCTCGACAACATTGGTCAGAATAGTCTTCAGATGCTGTTCTTCTGCGTTTGCTAACAGTGTGGCGTACTCTTCCCAGGCAGGGGCAAGCATCTCACCCAGAGGGTCAACCAGCTTCACCCCATTGTCCATCTATCACAGAAAAAGATAAGTTATAAAAGTGCTTGCTGCGAAGACCTTGGTACCCTTCAGACATTGTTTGTTGAAGTATCTTCTACCCTATATGGAACCAGGCCCTGCCGAGCTGGTTTGCCAATGGTCTGTCAAAACACACATTTACAACAATGAAGCAACTGAGAATAAACTTCAGGCACCTGAAAGATACTCAGCCACAGCTTCCACTTAAGAGTCAGGAATACATACAACATTACAAAATCTTCCTCTCAAATGGTACATGAAGTTTCGGCATATTTTGACTAGTATTCAGTACCGTTATGCAAAAAATTTCATTCAGCTTCTTTGGGAATCCTTGAAGGAAAATGTTATTCCTGACAGAGAAGCTTTGATATTTGAGGAATGCATGAATTGACTTCAAGACTACGGTCAACAAAAAAACTTGTATAAATTGGGCCTGGCACACAGCGGTGAAATGCTTCACCGAGGACTGGCATGTTGTTTGACAACATATGTGGTTACACCTTCACCATCAATAACACTCCTCATTGTAGAGATGCTAATCACATGCAAAGAGGAGGAGATATAAAATGGGGCAGTCAATTCACCATATTCTCTTCGGAACGATTGGTAGCAGTCTATTGAATCACAAATGGTGGAAGCAGGACATCACAGCAGAGTGCAGTCTGGTCGTTAACCAATGTCCAACTTCAGCTAAAGTCCAGTTCTCGGCTCCGCTCCACTAACACGTGGGAATACTGGCTAGTTTTTATCTTCTCCTTAACCCAGGAGCGTGCAAACTGCTGCTTTGCCTGAGATCAGATAACTCAGCACAAGTCAGGGAACAAATGTGGGATGGTTATTATAAGCCGATGGCCACACGGTATATTCTGCTGTTTAAAGACTTTGAAATGATAAAGAAGCAATTCCTGTTTTCTCACTTCAGTCAGACTATACCGTGGTGGGACAGCGCAGTACCTCAGGGTTGTGCGAGGCCGTGACCACTACACCAATGCTACATTTGGATAACTTCGACCTCAGGACGGCCAGCAATCCCATGCGGAACATGACATGATCCAGCTGTTCAGCCTTTTCACGGAATCCCGCTGTTCCATACTGAAGAACCAGCCCCAGAGGCTTTGGGTGTTTCCCGGATACCTTCACAACTTCTTCAAAGCAAGCCATTTCTGTGCAAGAAACAAAACCGATATTACAACAACACCTCACACCCAGTGTCTGTTTTATATTAAAAAAATTGGTCACTTCAATCCACGACTGTTCGAGGGACACTGCTGTGCACAATTGGCTGCCGGATTTCTCCCACAAAATATAGTCAATTCACTTTACAGCATATTCTGCGAAGCGCTTTGAGACGTCTCAAAGACGTGATAAGGCACTATATCAAATGCAAGGATTATTATTATTATAAGACAACATTGTCGAACCACAGAGCTACCAGACTCATATGGCTCACGAAGGGTCTCAGTGTGGGTCACAAGCACCGCAGCGGCTTCAGCAGAAAGCACGCGTCTCAAAAATAATTCTCGCTGACAATTGGCTTACGGAGACGTGTGCATGGCTATCTGAACACGTATATCTAAACACAAATATGTGTACGTGGGAAAAATGTATCCAGTCAGGTTTTTCGAATATTCAATTGATATCCTACAGTCATCGAAAATAATACCTGTCCGAGTGATCAAACCAAATGAGCGTTGCTCAATTGACACATGTTTTTGAGTGACAATATGTAGATTTATATATTAAACGTACAATTCGCATGAACTGTTTCCCGTATATTTAAAGGAATATACACTGCACCTCCCGACGCCTCTAATTCTCTTTGTATGTAAACGTGTGTCAGTTAAATACGAGCAACTTTTTTCGACTCGGTGTGTGGCTCACATTGCTCGTGTCACACGTGTAGCTCTCAGTGCACGACTGGGGTTTGACAACACTGATGTGGGGGAATGTCCTGAATGCGCGTTCTCACTCACAGCCAATGAGTCTGACAATCCGGAAAGTGTAAGGAATAAGGAGCCGATAAAGATGTAAACCTGTGGGGGGGTCTCTCCCCCCCTTCACCCGTCTTCAGATCGCATCTGAAGACGGTTCCTCTTTGACGATACCTACGGTTCGCCTTATTCCCCTTTTCCGCGGTTTGGCTTCGATCGCTGTTCACAGCGCTCTCTGAGGCTCTCTATACCCCGCGTGGAAGGTGCGATGAGTGCCAGTTGCTGCCGCTGTCGGATCCGATTCTCATTGCCGTCGGTTTAACCCCACATTCCCCGCCTCAGGAACGTGTCGGAGACTTCGCCTAATACACATTTAAACGTGAACGGTAATCCCGAGCACCGACTGCGACACCTCCGGCGACGTCCGAGACTGAATGAAGTGCCAACTCATCGCTGCAGCTCAGCCGCGCCCCAACTGACGTGACCGGGACTCACTGGGACCGGCGGAAGCACACACCCACCCACAGCACCAGCCACTGGGCCCACACACACACCCACCCACAGCACCAGCCACTGGGCCCACACACACACCCACAGCACCAGCCACTGGGCCCACACACACACCCACAGCACCAGCCACTGGGCCCACACACACACCCACAGCACCAGCCACTGGGCCCACACACACACCCACCCACAGCACCAGCCACTGGGCCCACACACACACCCACCCACAGCACCAGCCACTGGGCCCACACACCCACAGCACCAGCCACTGGGCCCACACACCCACCCACCCACAGCACCAGCCACTGGGCCCACACACACACACCCACAGCACCAGCCACTGGGCCCACACACACACCACACACCACCAGGCCACCACAGCCCACACCACTGGGCCCACACACACACCCACAGCACCAGCCACTGGGCCCGGGGCCCACACTGGGGGGGGGGACCACACACAGCACTCCCCCGGGTCCCGCCGCCGGTCTCCTCACCTCACCTCACCCACCCACCCGCCTGACTCCCCCGCGCATGCTCAGATCGGCAGCCTCGCCGCGCAGGCGTGTGAGCGCCAGTCAGACAGACACACAGACAGACAGACACACACACACGTGTAACCAGAGCCCAGACGTGTCTGAGCTGGGAGTTGCTCTGGCGTCCGCGGGACAAGACTGTGGGATATGGTTGAATACCGTGGGCCGTAATTCAGGCAGTTTCGCCTCTTGACGTTTCGCTGATGATGTGGATGTGAAGATCCTGGGGACAATCTCAGAGATCAGTTGCGTCGGCCTCCCAACACATCTCCTTGCAGCTCCTTGCCATGTAGTTGTGCCGAACCCTTTATCGAAATCGTGTTGTTGGGAGTCCCGTAGCTCAGCTGTTAGAGGAAGCGAGAGACCAGGGTTCAACTCCCATCAGGGCAAAACGTTGGGCAAAAAAAAACGTCCTCACTCCACACGCCTCAGTTTACCGAGCAGTAAGTAGGAACCCGGTTGTTGGTCAATTGGCAGATCACTTTTCCGGGGGTAATAATCCCTTCAAAAAAATAAATTTGTCACTTCAATCCACGACTGTTTGTGGGACACTGCTGTGCGCAATTGGCTGCCGCGTTTCGCCCACAAATATGCAGTCAATTCACTTTACAGTATATTCTGTGAAGCGCTTTGAGACGTCTCGAAGACGTGATAAAAGCACTATATCAAATGCAAGGATTATTATTATTATTATCTCAAAGTTGTGATAAGGCTCTATATTAAATGCAAGGATTATTATTATTAGAGCTGGTCTGTCTGCTGAGTTGTATTTTAAAGTGCTCAGCACTACAGATGTGTGTTTTTCTAAGGCACCAGAGATGTTTCAAAATTTCCTATGCACAGATTCTTGCAAGTCTTGAAAATAAGCAGTACGACAATTTCTATTGAACTACTGAAAAACACATTTTTAAGGCATTATAAGAAGATCATTTAACAAAACATATATTGGATTATCGGAGTTGATCTTTAGTCGATTGATCAACCAACTGATTGATATAATGTTTCAGAAGCCATTTTAAGTATGCCCTCTTTATGTTGGCAAATTGCAGCTTTTTCATCCAGTTTATCCTCTGCCAGAATATTTTTTGTGTGTGTAGAACAATATGGCTGCCCTCTAATGGTGTTTGTGTGGTTGTGCAATTCATTTGGAAATGAATGTTCCACATCCTTTTGCTCAGCATGTTTTGAAAGTTCAATAGAGCTTATGTCTGAAGCTCCCATGTGATCGGTTTATGACGTGAAGCAACTTAGCGATTTCCTAAAGTGAAGGAAATTTTGAAAACAGATTAAACTGGGAAGTTCCAAATAGCTGCCAACAATAAAACACTGACTTGGAGCCTCTCGTTGCTCGGAGAAGATGCTCTTCATTCTGAACCACAGAAGGGGAAGAAGCACAACCTTTGGAGACTCCCATATTAAGTCTCTTAGGTAATATCTGTACCTGTCGTGGTCTTGGATACTAATCCCAATACAAGTTTGTAACACTCAGTACTGATTTGGACATGATCTGTCAATGAGCATCATGTTTACATTTAGAAAGCTGCACAGTTAAACTGCAACGAGATTGAGATGGACAGATAGTGTTCATCTTCCTGACAGGAGGTCAGGATGGAGCTCTTCTCTCAGGGAGGGTATGCTCGTTTGTAACTGCAGACTTTTTGTTCCGTCCAAACAGTATTTTTAATTGTGACAAACTTTAAAAAAAACACAACTTGCTATTCTTACTGTAGTTTACATTTTTCCTTCAAGGAAAAGCACCAGAGATGTTTCAAAATTTCCTACGCATAGATTCTTGTTATTCTTGAAAATAAACACAGTGCAACAATTTCTATTGAACTACTGAAAAAATTTTTTTAAGGCATTATAAAAAGATCATTTAACAAAACATTTTGGATTAGTGGAGTTGACCTTTAATTGATTGATCAACCAACTGATTGATGTAGTGTTACAGAAGCCATTTAAAATATGCCCTCTTTATGTTGGCAAATTGCAGCTTTTTCAACCAGTTTATCCTCTGCCAGAATATTTTTTGTGCCTGTACTGCCATTTCTTACCCTGGATGTGTAAGTTGTTATCAGCTTTTGTATGTTAAGAATGAAAAGTAGATTTATTTTGTTGTCTAACACATTACTTCCAACACATTCCCCCATCGAGGGTGTTTCATGATTTTAACGGGAGTGGGGTGGGAGACGTCTAGTAATACAGGCTGTAAATAAACGTAACGCTGACTCGATTAGCAAGCTCTAATCTTCTATGCATTCAAAGTGCACACTGTCCTTATCTTTTCAATTCACAGACCTGACAATCTTGATGTAGTGTTTTACTATGATAATACTGATTGCTTTCTATTTCTGTCTTGGCAGAAAAAATTGGAAAATATGCTGGGCCTGTTTTTGTAGGGTAAGTCAAAGTGAATCTCAGGAGCATATATTTAGCTCTGTTTGTAGATATTGTTTGTAAAATAAATAATAATCCTTTAATTTAATATAGTGCCTTCCACATCTCAAAGCACTTCTCAGGATTCACTGTAAAGTGCAGTGGTAAATTTTGTAGGCAAACACCTACTAACTTGTACTAGCTGTAGTTTGAGACTTATAGAAGTCACACAAGACTACAGCGATTTTATTTGACATCTTGTTTAGCATGAACGGAAAGGCCTTTTCTTTCTGTGATGTTTTTGGGAAAATGAATATGGAATTCTCATAAATACAGCAACAAGTGAATGTGTATCTTGTCCTGGACCAAAGCAGTATCCATAACTTCCATGTAAGACCAAAAAATGCAAATACATTTTCTTTGTAACTCAACTCATTCCCACCCCCAACAGCACCGAGACCGTGCTTACTCAATTCAGCCTTCAATTGTATCTTTCAATACTTTGGATGAAATATTAAATTAAGGCCCATCTGTCTGTTCAGGTGGACGTTAAAGATCCCATGGCACTAATTGAAAAGAGAAGAAAGTTTCCCGTGTTGTCCTGGCCAACAATCCTTTGATAAGATTAGTCACTCGCTTTGTGACCGTTTGCGGGATATTCCTGTGTGTAAAGTGGCTGCTGAATTCACCAATACATAAACAGTCATTACTATTGAGATATCTTCCTGATGTGAAAGGCGATGTATCAAATGTAATGATTATTATTATTAGTTACTTTCTCAATCAGAGACTTATCCAGGTTAAACATAGTTAATGTAGAAAGCATAGAAAGCCATTGTTGGATGTCTTTTCTATATATTTACTATTCTGTTGGGGAAGATGAGGAGATTCTAACCTGCTTGAGAAATGTTACTTTTAAGCATACTTTCTATAAGTCAAATGGTCTGCTCATTTCCACATATGCTTTTCATCATTTTAAAACCTGGATCATGTCCCTCTTCAATCTTCGTTTCTCTAATGGAAGACGTGTAGCTCTTTGAGGCTCCGCTTACAATGTTGACGTTAAAGTTGCGTCACTCATCTCTGAACCATCTCTAATCCTTCAATGTCCCTTCGTAAATACTAACTAATACAAACTGGCTGACAAGGGTTCGACAATAATTTGGAGCTTCTTGTGGTGTATTCCATGATCAGAATCCCTCCACTGACTTCAATTTTATATCTTGTATTTCACTGCCAGTCAATTACTCTTCTATCTATAATTTATTGAATATTGAGAAGTTTCAAAACAAAATTTGATCATATTTCCCGGATCTGTTTTGTGGTGATGGTTCTCTGCCTTTCTTTGCCTACTTTAGCGGCTGCATGTTTATTACCTATGAAGTCCTGGCACTGAGAGAAGCTGTCACTCTTGACACACAGGCAGTAGAACAAGAGAAATTGAAATCGTATATCTATGTGCAAACCTTCCCACTAGAACAGCAGGGCTTACAAGGTAAGAAGAAATTTTAACAAAACACGTATTGGCCACGCAGCTTTGTTCAACTTTTTTAAAAAAAAATAGTATTCGACATGTCATCTTATCAAGTTGAAACATCTCAAAGAATTTCACACTTTGAATTGTAATAACTGTTATGAAGGCTAACACAGCCACTAATTTTCACAAGAAGAATCCGATGAGGTCACTCGTCCAATGACACCTGTTGGAGAGGCGGTTCAGTACATTTTTCAGAGAACCTAACAATGCATAGCTGGGATTGAATCCTTTCCCTACAGATGGGAAAGTGATTAGCACATAAATTATTGGGAATATTGTGGACTGGTTCCTCGTGGATTTGTCAACTTTTGATTTATGAAACAAAGGCTGGGATACCGTACTGCTGGTAGAAAGCAATGGAGGTTGGCACTACTGGATTTATATTGCCACTTCTGGCACTGCTTCTTCCAGAGTTAACCTCTTAAAACAGTCTCAGTGCCTCCAGAGGCAAAAATGTTGTTTTATTTAACTTGCAGCGCTGTCGTTAAATGCGTCATTAATTCCCCATTTTCAGCCCCAGGGACATGCTTTGCCTATGTACCCTGCTTTAATGGACCGTTTTCATGTTTCATCCATATAATGGAGTCTATTTGAACCCACTGCAACCCACTTGGTTGAACACTTCCCTACGATATTGAACATTTCCCTTTTCTCAAAATCCTAAACCTCACACATTTTTTTGTAATACGTGGCACAATTTATGTTCCATAACATTCAAAGTATTATTTTCAACATTGTTGCTCAGTGTTCAGATAACTGGGGAATGAAATCACAGACATTTTGCTGGAGGAATGGAGAGATCAGAATAAGGCAATTAAATTGTGTGTAGGGAGAGGATGAAAACATAAATTAAGTGCTGAAAGAATGGGATGCAAAATGCCACAATTTGGAAAGGCTGGAGAGAAATGGATAGAACAATGAACATATTAGAGAGAGAAAATAACTTGAAGGAAAAATACATCAAGAACCTTGATGATGAGCAGCAGTGGATGAAAGATACAACTGAGGCGAAGGCGAAAGAGTCCAGAGAGGAAATAAGACCTGGAGAATAAGTACTGGAAGTGGCTTTGAATGAAAGACTGAATAGAAATCATTGTTCCAGGTCAAAGACAACAAATGAAGAAAGCTGAAAGCAAATGACCTAGACAGTTATTTGAGGAATGTACGAAAATAAAGCGGAGAAAAGCAGTTATTGGTATTCAGAGTATGTTTCTTAAATTAACTGCTGTTCTTGAACTGTAGAATACATCAGCATTACTTCTTAGAGCAGTTTTGCCCAATTGGTCAATTCATGCCTTTCATATGTGATAATGTCTCAAAGTGCTTTACAGAGACCATGTGGATCACTGAACAGGGTAAGAGGGGGAAGCTGGGGGTGAGGAATTTGACCAAAGAGCTAGGTGTCGATGGAAGGGTGGGAGGCAGAAGGTGTGGGATGTTAGGAGAGAGCTTAGAGAGAAGATGCAAGTAACAAACAATGGACTCTAAAAAATTTAAGGGTCAAGTTAATAATAAGAAAGAGGTAGAGTGGGTAGAACGATGAAAGACAGAGTGAAGAGAATGGGAATCAATGTGTGATCGTCAGAATATCATAATATGTAATAAGTGGTGTGTCCCAGGCATCTGTCCAGGCAAAGCTGATTTTTTACAATATACATCAATGACTTGAATGTGGACATAGGAGGGGTTCTGTGTCAGGTTTACTGCTGATATTAAAATGGCAAATCGTAAGAATAATTTTAAGAAATGGTTGAAAAAAATGCCAGATACAGCTTAACTGGTAATTATGAGAGACAAAATTTTTGGGGAAAAGGAATAACAAGTGGAAATACAACCTGGAGAGGTACAATTCAGGGGAGTGGCAGAGCAGTCAGATTTGGAGGTAACAGTACATAAACCATTAAAGGTGGGACAGCAAGTACAGAAAAGTTGTTTCCTTTAGTTGTGAAATCAGTGACAAGGGTACGTAGGATCATTAGCAAAGGAAGCGGAGAATAGGTTAGAAGGAATTGCTCACGCTAACCACGGAGGGTTGTTAGGGTGTACAATTCATTGGCTGTTTGGGCTGGATCAATAGAATCATTCAAAAGGAACTAGATAAGCACCTGAGCAGCTGAAATATTTAGGGATATGGGAGCAAACTAGAGTATGGAATGATAAAGGGTGATAATACAAGTGGCAGAGGCATAGACACAATGGGCCATTGACATCTTTTTGTCTCAAAATGTCTGTTTTTCTCTCGTTCAACTTCCCCGACCAGACATAATCCGAGCTTGAGAGGAAAGACTGTAAACAAGCATGTTTTAATGCTTGGGTCAATACCATTCAGTCTTTTAGGATTAAGGAAATGTCATTTATCTAACCAACTATACAGATCATATTTAATTGAATCTAAGGTGTAAGTTTTTTTTCATCAAAATACCTCCAAAGGCAGGATCTACCTTAGAATTAATGGCACCTTAGAACTGCAGAAAAAAACATCTTTGTTTTCCTCCCCAAACTCTAAAATCTGTTGTACCTTAGTAAATAGAGTAGTTAGTTTTGGTGAACACTCATTCAGACCAGAAAATATTTAAGACTGTTTGACAAAAAAGGATAAAACCTTTGCATTGTTCTGCCGCTGTCAATTGTGCATTGTGGCCGTCATTAATGTAATCAAGTCAATGCTACCATTTATTATTTCAGGAATTACATACAAGGCTCGAAAAGGATTGCACAGAATGGCTAAAAGGCTGGTGCAGGCTACAGCGAGGATTCTTTCTCGGCCCCTGGATGGTCAGTAAGTTTGAATGTTTCTATCATTTGGACTTTATCATTCAAAATGTAACTTTAAAAAAAAAATTACAGAAACTTGGTGCTACATCACGCAGGAGCATCAACGAGCAACTAAACGTTACAAAGGAATAGAGGTTCGATGACCACCGTCCCATTGATTCAACTTGGCTCCAATGGGAGACACCAAAGAAGCCCAAGTCTCTTCGGAAGGATGAAGGGAGGAGTGGGTTGATTGATCACCTTGGGTTGCAGTTGCACACCTCCTATTACCGAATGAGAGAAGGGAGTGGGACCTTTCCTCTTCAGGCCAGGATGGCATCTGCTCTGGGTGATCAGAGAACAGTCAGATACAAATGGCAACTACATTACAATATTTATCCCTACATCCTGGACTCATGCCGGAGATGCTGTGAAGTCTTCCAACATGTGGCCTCTGCCAAACTCGCTTTGGCCACTATTTCCCTCCGCACACCCCCCACACACACACACCACACGCATGCACACAATATACACACCACAGACACACACACCAACACACACTACTCATGCACGTGCTTACACACACGCGCACATCCCCCCCGGGGCCTAATCCACAAAGTATTATAGCTTTAAATCTAGGGCTGATGTAGGGGAATGTCTGAAGGCAAATTTCAGCCATGACTGAGATTCATATGGGAAGTGAATAGTAAATATAATGTTTATATTGTTGAGCTTGCTGCAGGTGTCAACAGGATTTTAATATTTTGTGGACTATTGTGGTAGCATCATTCTTTAGGTGAAATGGTTACTAAGATGTATGGTTTTCTGAAAGCACAACATGTGATGTAAATTGATGTGAATACCTCAAGATTATTGAAATACAGTATTGTGATCAGTTGCGAAGTCTTGCATTAAAAAGAGAGTGAATTTTGAGAATGCTGCAATCATTTGTCAGATTATATTTGTTTAGTGAGCATTTGTATTCCCTCCTTGCATACTTGAAACATTTTTCAGCAAAAACAGACAAAAAAAACAGTAATAAAATGACAAAAAGGCTTTGTTGGCCTCACTGGGGCTCAAAATAGAATTTTAGCTCTGAAAAATTAATTCAACTTGACTTGCTTTCCTTTGTGCTTTGATCTGTGTGCCCTTTCCAATTAGTAGAGGCTTGAGGCAGATTGAAAACCTGAAGAGGTTTGGTTTGGAAAATTTCTATTATCTTCTGAAAAATGAAGATATTGTCTGTTGCAAAGTGCCTTCACAGTGAATAGTGGATTCGCATCAATGACATTTGTACTCAGATTTGATTGGCACTTTACTCTCTATTTCTTTCCTCTGCCTATTCCTTTCCCATAATTGCCAACTCCTTCCAACAGCTCCCTCACCCAAGCTAGCATTTTTCATTTGTGATCCCGGATTCTCTACTGCTCACTGCCTCAACAACAACAAGATTTCATTTATATTTCACGTCGGGAGGACGTCCCAAGGCGCTGGACAGTTGGGTCGGGACCCGAGTATCGGGGGAAATTGTCAGGGTGAGGGAAGGGAGGGAGTGAGAAGGGGGTAGAGAGTCGAGAGGGGAGCTGAAGGCACGGTTGAAGAGAAAGGTCTTGAGACCGGCCTTGAAGGAGGAAAGGGAGGAGGCGGCGAAGACACTGGGGGATAGAGTTCCAGAGCCTCGGGGCTGAGAGGCTGAAGGCCCGACCACCAATGGTAGGGTGGTTGGGGCGGGGGATGTGGAGCAGACCGGAGCCAGAGGAACGGAGGGTACGGGCAGGTAGGTCGGGGGTAGTAGGTCGGAGAGGTAGAAGGGAGCAAGGCCGTGAATGGCCTTGTAGGTGAGGATGAGGATCTTGAAATCGATCCTCTGGGGGATGGGAGCCAGTGGAGGCGAGCGAGGGTGGGAGTGATGTGGTCCGAAGTCTGGTGCGGGACAGTACATGAGCTGCAGAGTTCTGAATGACCTGCAGCTTGTGGAGGAGGTGCGGGAAGGCCGGCGAGGAGAGAGCTCCCATAGTCCAGCCTTGAGGTGATAAAGGCGTGGACCAGAGTTTCAGCAGCGTGAGGGGTGAGGTAGTGCCGTAGTCTGGCGATGTTCCGGAGGTGGTGGAGAACAGCACAGACTGGAATTTAAACCGTTAATCTTTCCATGTATTTAAGCTTAAAGTGTTACTTTTATTCACAAGCCCAGGGGAGAAACCCAATCTTAGTGGTCTTCACTGACAGCCTTTCCTGGACATCAGTTTTCTGAGCCTCTTTTACCTCTCCTTGGGAAGGAGGGAAAAGGAAGGTATCATCTTCTGGTAATATAACCAAAGAGCAACACTGACCTCATGCTTGGAAGAGTCTGTGTCCTGAACTTTTCTCTACTCTCTCTTCCCATTAAACAAAGAAGACAAGAAGATAACTTGAAATGTTTGTGTGGGTGGGAGGACAATGAGAAATCCTAGTTTAGTTACAAAATAAGCACTTTGCAGGGCTTGTGTTTTGGGATTATTGGTTAACACTTGTTCCTATGGGTGTATGGTCCTACATAGAAGATTCATGCTATTCAACTGCTCCAGTAAATGACCACAATTTAAGCGCTCCAGGATACTATCCCGCACGAAGAGCTCTATATAAATACAAGTTGTTGTTGCAGAACTGTTATGCGAATGCTTAAGTTGTCACACTTCTCTTATATTTTACAGAACATTTCACAAAACTTGACGTGGAAGACCATGAATTTGCTTTGTGGCTTCTCCTAAAGAGAACTCAGTCTAGAGTGAAAGGAGTCCGAATACAGGCGACCCGGGACCTGACAGAGAGTCATTGGCATGGTAATGAACAGGACTTCATTTAGAGTCAATATTTAGCTATAGGTAACGCTAGATTCTACAGCATGCATTGAATGTCAGAAAATAAACCACATGGAGGTTCCTGTAACTGGTGTGAGAGCTTTCCTTGGAAACCTAACAGGGATTTCAACAATCTGACAGCATTTTTACAAAGCTAATTCTTATCAATTTCTGCACACTGGTTAAACAAAATGAAATTGGAAGGAGAAAAATAAATCAGAATCAAATGTAGAATTGAGAAGAATGTAGTCGGCTTTTTATTGCTCACCATATTGTTTTGGTTTTTAATTTTCATTTCGTCCCTTGAGACTGAAACCTGCATTCTGACTGTCAAGCTTTTGCTTATTATTTATATGCATCAATGAATACAGACGTATTGGATTAGGTAGGAGTGTAACTCGTAAATTCACAATTACTGTATTTTGCTTGAAATGGTTATAGTATTTACTTTGGATTTAGCTCATGGATTCTTTATATTCGAATCCTCTCCTCAAATTTCTCTCTTTGACTGCATAAATTATGGAAATATTAACTTTCTGTAATGTTTGAATTTAGACCAGGGAATCAGTACGACTAAATCAACGACAACATTACATTTGTAAAGTACCTTTTAGGTCGGGAGGAGACGTTCCAAGATGCTGAACAGTCAGGGATCAGGCTCTGAGTGTGGGGGGCTAGAGTTGGGATGAGGGGGGGCAGAGCGGGTAGGAGGGCGGCTGAAGGTGTCGAAAAGGAGGGTCTTGAGTCGTGACTTGAAGGAGGCAAGAAAGAGAGCAAGGCAAAGGGATTGTGGGATGGAGTTCCAAAGGGTGGGGGCAGAGAGGCTGAAAGGTCGGCCGCCGATGGTAGGGCAGGTTGGGCGGTGGTCTTGGAGCAGACTGGAACCTGCTGAGTGGCAGACTGATAGGGGTCAGCAGGTCAGAGATGTAGGAGGGGACAAGGCCGTGGAGGACCTTGAAAGTGAGGATGAGGATTTTGAATTCTGTCCTCTGAAGGAATGGGAGCCAGTGGAGCCGGGGGAGGGTGGGGGTGATGGGGTCACAGGGCCTGTTGCTGGAGAGGACACGAGCTGCAGTTCTGGATGATCTGCAGCTTGTAGAGGGAAGTGTTGGGGAGGCCGATGAGGGAGTTTCCATAGTCGAGCTTTGAGGTGAAGAATGCGTGTATGAGGGTTTTGGCAGTCTGAGGGTTGAGGCAGTGGCGGAGTCGGGCAATGCTGCAGACATGGGGGGAGGCAGAGTAGGTCATGACATGGATATGACAGTTGAAGGTCGAACAAGATGCCCAGGTTCCTAACTGGCTTGGTGAGATAGAGTGTGCCACCATGGATGCTGATGCTGCCAGTGCCTGAGGTGTGGAGGCGCTGGTCCGAGCCAGTCGGGGGTGGGGAGGGCCTCAGTTTTGCTGACATTCAGCTATAGAAAGTTGGCTCTCATCCAAGACTTGATGTCAGACAGGCAGTCTATCAGGACGTCAGTTGTCCTGGGATCGAGGGTGGAGGCAGAGAGATAGAGTTGGGTGTCAAATTAGTGCAGACATTAAGTGGTGAAATATTTATTGGGTAAATGTGAAAAATATTTTCATTTCAGTAACTTTTGGAATAATTGTTTTTCACTATAAGCCTGTCAGTTATTTTTAATTCAATAAATTGTATATGATATTACATGTAATATTATAAAGGGGTCTATTGTAATATAATAATAAATTCCATTATAAGTACTATTATATGTATGTGTGTATAATAGAAGCCCATTATTATAATGCACTTTATTGGGGTGTGGACCCCAATATTTACTTATTAAAAATTCCCAAATGCGCACGCTGCTTCCATTGAGGCTACAAAATGTCAATTGGCACATAAGAAGCCAAAATGGCCTGTTTATTTACTGGAGAAACCTTTTGCAATTCAGATAACCGGATAGCTCACAACTTTTTCACAGTTTATCTTCCCATCTCATTAACCGTGTAAGTGCCTTATGTTTCTATCCATGTTTAGTGTACAAAGAAATGACAAAATGACTGGTAAAGTGAATGATAGTGAATACATTCTTGAGCAATATGTAAAATTTATCCAAGGATAAATGTAATATTGTGTTACCATTTGTGTCTCTACCTTTCAAGGTGTCTCCATGCTCGCAGTGAGAGGTAATGACTGAGGTTTCACTTCACGTAGAAAGTAAAGAAATAAGACAGTAAAGAAAGGGAAAAAAAGTAGAAGTGCAGCTGGAGGCTGATTTGCATTTCTTCTTTGTGTAGAGTTGCAAGAAGGGAGGATTACAAGTTGCAGGAAGGAAGGATTACATAGAATTATATAGACTTTTACAGGACGAACACAGACCAATCCACCCAACCAGTCCATGCTGGTGTTCTTAACTCCAAATGAGCCTCCACCCTCTCTTAATTTCCTCTCCCCCCCCCCCCCCCCCCACATTAACTTGGTGATGCAAAAGCATAGCATTTGATGGTTTATTAATTTTTTTATGACACAAATGTAAATGCTGTATTAGGTTAAAACGTTGTGATTAAAAACCTGGTTTTATTTGCAGATTACCAGTACAGGACAGTGGCCCAGGCTTGCGATCAGAAAACTAAGATCGGACTAGCTAGAACTAAAGATGTTGACCTTCGCTTTTTTCTGCCTCCTCCACCTTTGTTACCAAAAGCAGATGAGGTAAGGCAAGCTCTTTCATGTTCTTTAATGTCAAAATTGCTAAATATTTAGATAGAAATTGTCTTTCTTTTGAACCTGCACCAGCCACCAACCAACCTGCACTGACTCATTTGTATTCCCACTGGGTGACTTTTGTTTCATGGACTATTGGAGGGGCTTCACGTCAGATCTTCAGGCATAGAAACTGCAAAATAGGAAGGATTTTTATTTTAGTTGCTTCATGCTTCTTAGTTGCTTTCTTCTCTCTTTCACCTCCAGATAGTTCAGGTTTAATTATATTGATACCTGTAAACTGCTCAACTCAATGATCCAGTGTGGATTTCCTCTGAATTCCCGAGCTCCAACTCTTATTCTGTGTTAATCTCTCACTGGATTTTTTTCCCCTGGAAACTGTCGTGACTGTATTTACGGCAAACAGAGCAGCCAATTTGTGCACAACAATGTCTCACACACAGCCATGAAGTTTCTCTAATTGGTCATTCACTTCATGGCTCTCAGTGGGACTTTGCTGTGCACAATTGGCTTTTGTGTTTGCCTACAAATACACAGTTGCAGCACTTTACAGAGAAAACTGTAAAGCTGTGAAACATTATGATGTGATAAGGCACTATATCAAATATAAGGATTATTATTGCCTTTTATCTGTTCTGACCTGTTGTCTAACGGTACCACTGTAATGTCTCCCGTCCCTCAGTGTTTAACAGCTAGTGATGTAAATTATTTGATGCTGTAGTTCTATCTGAAGAACTATTGCAATCAAATAGAAAAGAATCAGCTGATGCATAGTTTATTTCAATGTTGATTTGAAGGCACTGGCCTGTTTTCTTATTACCTGTATGCAGGATTGTTGTATTGAAGATGAGTTGAGGTGTCTGCTGGCTTCCCTGTCCCAGTCAGAGGTGGATTTGTGTGTACAACACTTCACTTCTCTAGCTCTACGAGAAAGCAATCAGTCATTGGCGGCAAAAAGGGTAAGCATCAAAGTATTGTTTTGCTGTCTAGATTGTGCCTTTACCAGACCAGCATCGACTGATTCCATTGGTGCTGGTATGCAACACCAGTATGAATTTAGCCCAAACAATGCACTCCGCTCCCACACTTGAATTGTTGCAGTGCATGAAACATCTGGCAAGGCAGTGAAGCATCAACTAGATGCAGAAAACCATTTCCAAAGGTAAGTGCAGTGATGAGGGACATTATCACACTGCTGATTGCCTGTCTTTCCCCAATTGCCTTATTCCACTGACATGAGCAGTAAGGTATTACCATCCACGTGTAATGAGCCATCTGGAAAATGGTTTTATCTGACAGATGTCAATTAAATTATTGAAAAGTAAAATAGTATCTGTACTTGAGGAGACTGCTAGCTTTCTTAAAGGACACTTGATGCTCTCTAATTCAAGTTTAAACATTTATAAAATCAGTTTTGTGATTTTGACTGTTCAGAAATAAATTCTACTCTTATTTTGTTCTAAAATAAAGTTGCACCAGAAAGCATTGTAAGCGACTAACAGGAAAGTTTAGTCATTCAGTTTCTTGTGTTTCAGGGAGGCTTATGGTGCTTTGGAGGAAATGGGCTTCCTTATGCGCAGAGTCTAAGCTCCATTCCTATTGAAAAAGTTGAATCCTTTTGTCTGCAAGCTTTAGTCAAACATTCCAAGGTAAACACTTGCATGTTTTTTTCTGAAATATCTAAACCAAATTGTTATGTCTTGTCAACAAAGCTCATAAAATATTATACCGCACGTTTAATGTGATTAGCAAAGCATGTGACCAATGTGCCATCTTTAATGCTATATTTGGGTGAGTAGAATACACTGGGTAGGGGAGAGTGGAGCTTGAGCTGATGGAACTCGGTGACAGTCTATCAACCTGATAACGACACAAGTGAAAACAGGTTTCTGTTTGATTCATTTGCACGCCTTCAGCAATCACAGATTAAATGATCTTTGTCAGCTGTAATCCGAACCAGGATATCCAATGCCCACCCTCACCCACCCCCATTTCCCGGATGTGATGGTGTATGATATGGTATCCAAGTATGCAGATTTGTTTTGCGAAAAGTACAAACCAAACCTTGTTTTATGTGGTCACTGTGTGACTTTGTTTCCAGCCCAAATACCTTGGTACATCCTAATCAATCTGATTTCTGGCTTCGCTAAAAGTTGACTTGTACCAAACTCTATATTCCCATCACCCTGTTCCTTGCCAGGCTTCACTAACTCCCTATTGCAGAATGGATTGATTTTCAAGATCCTAACACTCACACAAATCATTTAATGTCCTAACAAACCCCTACCTCTCTGACCTGCTACAACACGCCCCCTTCGCTCAGCTGGCTCCAGCCTCCTGCACGTCCTTCAATCTTTCCATTCTCCTATCGAAAGCCCTGCTTTCAGCCACTACATCCCGAAACTCTGGGACTCTCTTCCTCAATTTCTCTGCCTTGTCCGTGTTCAGATTACACCTAAAGACCTTTCTCTTCCAACTGTGCTTAAGGTCGCCTCCCCGTTCTACCCGGTTTCAAATCCATCTGTTAAGCATTCCAAGACACTGTCCCACGTGAAGGGCACTATATAAATTGAAGTTATTGTTGTTGACTTATGTCATGCCTGAGGCTGTGATTCACCCTGAGTGGCTAAAGAAGATTGATTTTAAATAGATCAGAATTACCTCCAGATATTTTGGTCATTCACTTGCTTTTGGGACTGCTGTGTGCAAATTGTGTTCGAAGTTGCTGTGTGTAAATTGGCTGCAATTTTTGCCCATGATACAATTTATATTATAGTGCTTTCACATTAAGATGTCTCAAAGCTTGTTCGCAATCACTTGACAGCAATTACCTGTGAAGCACTTTGCTTGACATCAAATATCTGTCGTGATAAAATGCTCCTAGACATTATCCTGTGTGAAGGGCGCTATATATATGTAAGTCATTGTTGGTAAATGGTAACTGAGATTAAAATTGGCAGGTAGGGTACATGTAAAGCCAATAGATGGCGCCAATGGGGTTCTGTATATAGTATTCATGATTGTACTACTTTAGAAGATAAAAATCTTATTTTTATAGTTTTAGTCAGTTTCTTGAAACACTTCTTCAGTACTATAATATAATAAGAATAATCCTTGCATTTGATAATGCGCTTTTTACATCTTCTAGACGTCTCACGCCGCAGGCCGCCAAAACCCTCATACACTCCTTCATGACATCAAGGCTTGACTATGCAAACTCACTACTTGTCGGCCTCCCCAACTCCTCCCTCCACAGGCTGCAGATCATCCAGAACTCTGCAGCCCGTGTCCTCTCCTGCACCAGGCTCCATGACCCTATCACCCCCATCCTTGCCCAACTCCACTGGCTTCGCATCACAGAGGAAACAGTTCAAGATCCTGGTCCTCGCATTCAAAGTACTCTGTGGTCTTGCTACCCCTACCTCTCCGATCTCCTAACCCCCTACCGTCCGGTTCGCGCCCTCCGCTCAGCGGGCTCTGATCTGCTTCACATCCCCCGCCTTGCTCACCCCACTATCAGCGGGCGGGCCTTCCGGCTCTCTGCACCCACCCTCTGAATCTCTATCCTGCAGTCCCTCTGACTCGCCCCCTCCCTCGCCACCTTCAAGACGCACCTCAAGACCCTCCTCTTCGACCGTACTTTCAATCTCCCTGCTTCCTCCCCTGCCCCCGCCCCTCCCCCAACCCATCTCAGCTCGGGTCCGTAACTCTGTCTGTCCAGTGCCTTGGGACATCCTCCCGACGTAAAAGGCGCTATGCAAATGTAATTTTGTTGTTGTCTCAAAGCGCTTGACAGAATGTACTGTAAGGTAAGTTGAATGCATATTTTGTGGGCAAAACGCTGCAGCCAATTGCACACAACAGTGTCCTCGTGGATTGAGTGACCAAATTATTATCGTTTTTCTTGAAGGATTATTATTATTATCAGTACTTACTGTTAAGTGCATTATTTTTGGATGTAAACATGGCTGCAATCTCTTCTGCCCCCAAAACATGAATTGAATGACCAATAAATCTGGAAACTTGTTGGCCAGGATAATAAATGTATGTAAGGTAGAGGAGGGAATGCATTAAGCACTGTGAATTGAATATGAATTGAACTGAAAGTGTTGTGTTGTAGGCAGAGTGAAAGATGTTGGATGGAAAGGAGAGAATAACAGAAATAAAACACAACAGGAGACCATTCAATCCGTTGTAATAGTGTTGGTGTTTACTTCTCCAATGAAGTCATCTATCATCTTCTCAATTGCTTATTCTTTTCCCTTACCCTCTATATAACCTTGTACGTGGCCATCTAATTCCCTTTTAAACTCTCCCTTTATACTCTGTTCTAAACACACCGCTGGCAATTTATTTCAATCTCGGGCTAATCCTTTGGGAGAATTTATCTTCCTAATTTCACCTTTCACTCTCTAGCCACAATCTTAAACTCATGCCCTCTAGTCCTCAGATCACCTAATATCGGAAATAGTTCCCCACCATTTATCCTCTATTATAATAATAATCCTTGTATTTGATATAGCGCTTTTCACAATCTTCTAGATGTCTCAAAGTGCTTCACAGAATACACTGTAAAGTGAATTGACTGTATATTTGTGGGCGAAACACGGCAGCCAATTGCGCACAGCAATGTCCCACAAACAGTTGTGGATTGAAAATGACCAATTTATTATTGTTTTTGGTTTTTGGAGGGATTATTATTAGACGTGTGGAGTAAGGAAACTTGCCCAAGGTTTCACCCTGTGCCTGGAATTGAACCCAGGTCTCTCGCTTGCAAGGCGAGTGCTCTAACCACTGAGCTACAGGACTCATATTATCTTAAACACCTCTATCATTATCACCCTCAGCTTTTTCTGTTCAAACTGATGAGTTCCAGACTCTCCTCACTGCTATACGCCCTCATCTATGATATCTCCCTCTTGAATCTATCTTGAAGATTCTTAATTCAACAACAATAACACAGTTACATTCATATAAAGCCTTTTCCATCTGGAGGGGTCCTGATAGCACTAATATTCTTTCTATAGTGCGGTACCCAAAACTGCCCACAATATTCCAGCTCCAGCCTAACCAATGAGCTTTAAACATTCCTCACCACTTCCTTATTTTTATATTCAAAGGCCCTGAATATATACAACCCAGAAACCCACTTGACCTTTTATCAGCCCTCTCCACCTGCAATTTCACTTATTAACCACTATGTGTTTGACCATGTGCTTTGTGCTCTTGACTTTTTGGGCCCCCACCCCACCCTCTGAAGCTTCTTACAGCAAGAACATCCTTTTTTCTAGCGCCTCTCTCGCAGGATAGTGTCCTCTCCATACTTCCGCCTCTCTTCAGCTGCCGCCAACAGGTACCAGCTTGTGTGTCAGCTCGATCTGCTGGAACACAACTTGGATTTGGGTCTTATTTCTATCTTCCATGAAGCAGGAATACGTTCAGAAGACGCTCCTAGCAGCTGATGGGCATCTGAGTGAAGTTTGTGGGAACGGGAGAGGGAGATGGAGATTAGAGAGGGGTTGGCCTGAGACTCATCCACGTATCTGTAGGATTTACTATTTGCAGATCTCGCAAGTTACCCTTTCTCCTTTCGCCTGCTATGCGCTGCGATGTTTCACCCATAAAATATAGTCAATTCACTTTACAGTATATTCTGTGAAGCGTTTGAGACATCGCGAAGATGTGATAAGGAGCTATATCAAATGCAAGGATTATTATTATGTTGATACCAAGCTAAGGTTGTGTTTCTGTTGAAAGAAGCTTTTTAGAATACTTTACCAGATGTTCCACAGCACAGAAACGAACTTTCATCATCCGAATAATCAGAAACCTTGAATGATCTCTGAGCTATTAAACATTCAAGCCGCACGTACGTGTATTAAAGCTTGAATTACCATCTGTGAGTACGAACATGTGAGGTCAACTTGAAGCTGCTTGGCAGCTGGTGCGTCAGTCGCTTTTGGTTAAAATCTAAGAAGTTGTGCAGAGATTAAGCTGATTACTTGCTGCTAATTTTAGAAAGCTATCACATTCATCTGAGTCTGTTTCTGGGTCACTATTAACGGCATATAAAAAGCAGTGTATAATGGATCAGTTTTCATGCGACTACTCTGTTTCGCTCTGCTTGAAAACCGTTTTGGGCCAAAAAATTTAGACATGGCAAGATGAACACATGTTATGCTGCTCCTTGGTACTTGTTCCTTACATGAAAATCTGGGCTGAGCTCCTTCATGGGCATTAATCCAATGTGTTGAGCAACAATGAGTACAAAATAGCTCATCATGAGGGTAATTTGTTTTCTGTGTTGCGGCTGGTTATTTTCTTCACCCATTTAATAGGCTCCACACTCCCGCAATTGAATAGCAAAACGTTCTTCTATTTTCCAGTGCTATTTTTTTATCTCTGGAACCTCCGACATTCTTTCCCTTAAAGTCTCCAAAGCTGCCTGGCTTGTCTGACTATTGGCTGGGAATGCCTGGCCATATTTGGATACCCACCTTTCAAATGTGAGATTCCTCCACTGCACAATGTGTAGCTTGCAGTCCTATAGTTACAGTGCTAGCTGCCCTTGCCACTGTTTTCGTTGGTACGTAATACTGCAGCCGCTCTTGCAGCTCTTCAGGTCCCTATATGTTCACATTGCGTCAGTCAGTGTGCTGCTGCTTCTTTTATAGCCTCAATTGCGTTCCCTCCAGGGCCAACATTAAAGCAATCAAAAGCAGCACTTGCCTGCTGGTGGAGCAAAATGTAATGCAGAGTCCATGAAAGCAGTGAGGAGATGACCTTTACAAATATTTATTTGTGCCTCATCCCAATTACAAGCAACCTGCTGCTGACAGTGGAAGCCTATGGGAATATTTTGTTTGCCATTTCCCACCATTTTTACCACTCCCCTTGTGAATAGCAAATGTTGCTTTGTACCTTTCTTCCCCACCCAGCCCGAGGCACACTGAGATTCGCTGCATCTGTTCACTCACAGGCTTGTCACTTTTGATGCTTGCAGCATTGTTTTGATGAGCGTGTCCTTAGTGATTTATACCAGGACTAATGAACTGCGCAAAGCTACTGAATTATTTTTTTAGTATAAACCACCACTGAAACTCATGGCTGGTTTTATAGCATTAGAAGTAGAATAAGCAAGACATCATTCTTACAAGATGACAATCAGGCAGTTGGCTGCTTTTTAATATTTGCTGGACCATCCAAACCATTTTTTTTGGTAAAAAGCCAGTCAAGCAGCAATCATGTCATTGTTCTAATGATCTTTAGTGGTAGTACTGAATTGTGGTGCATCAGACTTCAGGAAACATGGCTTTCTGGGTGGAGGTGTGGTGAACTTTGGCATTTATTGCCTGCTGTGAGCTTATCAGTGTTATGCTTGTATCCTTGGCTTGAGGCAATGGTTCACTTTGGTCTGTGTCTCTCTCAGACTCAGCAACATCGATTGTTGTGCTATCCAACCATTCTTGTACATACACGTGCTAGAGTTACCTGAGATGTCATTAGCGTACTTGTGATTCAATTCCATCAGCCAACAATGCTTTTGTCTTTTTAACAGTTTTTTGAAACCCCGGGTACCTGGTGTCCTTTTATGCAAGCATAAAATCCTCTTTATGGTGCTTTAAGTGTGTTTTTATTGTCTGTTTTTTTTAAATAGGCATCCCATTAAATGCATAATTGTGGCTTTCTCTTCAATCCACCCTCACCCCCAAAAAAATGCAGCCAATCCTTTAGTCTCTTTTAAAACCGCTTCTCCACACACCAATATTGCCCAATATTAAAGTAATCAAAAGCAGCACTTATCTGCTGATGGAGGAAAATGTTATGCAAAGAGTCCATGAACGTCAGTGCAGATGTTCGTAAGAGCAAAGGCTCACAGAAGACAGGTAGTAGCAATGAAGGACTGAGAAACCGGGAAGTTGAAAGTAAGAAAGAGTGGGTATGAAAATTGTCCAGCAAACAAGCAAATAAAATAGCACAAGCGAGAAATCAGAAAAGAAGAATAGTTAGTTGCAATAGGCAGTTAGTAATCTCTAGGCAGATGTGTGTAAAGGCACTGCACTTAGATCAATATGAAACTTGCAGGAAGATTTAGGAACTCATGTTTGGCTTTTCTAATGCTGACGTATGTATTATGTGTAATTAGAATTATACAAATTAAATCCATTGGTAAGCGGACAGGACTCTTAAGATTTTAATTTCAAAGAAATGCCAATAGTGTATGTTTTAAGTTCTAAGTTTTTAAGACAGAGCTTTAAATAATATCTCAGGATTCAATACATAGTTTTTCGACACAGCATGTCATGTGACTGCCAGGATGGTGGAAGGCGAACTGGATGGATCTTGGCCTTCTTTGGCTTAGCAAAAATCTTATGTTCTTATCTGCAAACATATGAATCCTTTCTCTCAACTAGAGATGGGCTCTGACTTTCCGCCCCTATTACCCCTGCTACTTTCAACTCAAAGAGGACGTTATTGTGCTTTGTGTGAGCTGTAACCTTTTATCCCATTAACTGTGAGCAGATTTTGACCCAGGTTCCCCAATGCTTCCCCAATAAACACTGGTTTCTTTTTGCAAAGAGCAAAATAGCATCACTTGCTACATGCCTGTGTCTGGCCGAACTTATGATTGCGCTTTTTTTCTTTCAAATTTAAAATGACTATTCCCTTTCTTGACATCAGGTTCCCAGCCACTGTGAGCAGATTGTATCAAATGGTGGTCTACAGTTGCTCCAGAAAATATACCAGCTGCGGAAAGATTCTCAGAAAATTCAGAGAAACGTCCTCCGGACAATCGGAAATTTAACTTTGCATGAACCTCTTCACTCAGCCATTGTGCAATCAGGTATGGTGATATCCACTACCTTCCAGACCTGAGTTTGAGGTTAATCCAGTCTGCAACACTGGATAATGTGGTCTGCGATTTAATACCTAATAAGATAAATACTTTGAAGGTGGCACTTTTTCTTTAGTTTTCTATCATTCTTGGAATTGGGGTTTAACTTGTGCTATTTCTTAATGAGAAATCCTGCTAGAATTTTAGTCAACCCAAACCCTGTATCAGAATTTGTCCGGGTGAGGAGACATTTCCAGAAGGAGGCCTTCCTCTGCCTCTGCGACCTACTAACCCCAGATCAACCTGTCTCCACTCAGCAGGCTCTGGCCTAGTCCACGGCCCCCACCTGGCCAACCCCACCATCAGCAGTCGGGCGTCCAACCTTTCTACCCCCACCCTATCCCACATTCCCTTCGCCTCGCTCCCTCCCTTGCCTCCTTCAAGACGAATTATTTGCGTTGGCTCTGGGTTAGGGAGGGAAAGCATCAGCCAGATTTAACGCTCCGAATCCACATCTTGTGACCACTGCTGGGAAGAGTACAGGTATGGATATCTGATAAGAACAAGGCTCCTTTATGATGCACCCCACTGTTGAACACGGCTGAACTTAATGACTGGGCTCATAAATGATGAATGATCACTTGAGAGAGGTATTGGAGGGCAACAAGAACTCATGAAACCATCCAGTGAGGAAGACACGGTGCCTTCAGGAGAGAGTGCTAACACGAACAATATTTGTGGATATTCACTGAAAGAAAAGACATTGTGAAAGTCTAACATTGTGTTCTTCAATAACAGGATGGATTGCTATCCTGGCTGAAGTGATGAAGTCTCCAAATATTATTCAGGCTTCACATGCTACAAGAGCCTTGGCTAATCTTGACCGGGATACAGTGCAGGAAACATATGAGGATGGAGTGTATATCCTTCATCCTCAGTTCAGGTCCAGGTAATAAAGATTTGCAGTTCTCTTCATTCTGACAGCAGAAGCCACATCAGTTTCCTATGGTGCATTTTTGTTTGTTTCTGAGAATTTTAATGCCTGATTTTAAGCTTCTATTCCATGCTGAGTTATGTTTTGAGTCATTGCCAGTGACTGGGCGGAATAATCACAGACTTCAGCATTGCTGTTAGTGACAGAGCAGTGTTGGCAGGACCTAGGTCTCTTGTTTGGAAATGAATCCATGGTATCTTCTCTGTTGGTATTTCTGTCTCTCTTCATGGGGGAAAGTGACTGTCTTCTGTTTCGCATACTTTGGTTGATGACCATAGATCTGCCAAGTCCAATTTGTTTAGATTTTAACGACAATAGCCTGAATACCTGAGTACCTCAATTTGAATATACATCTTAAATCTCACTTCAAATAATTCTCCCATGTTGACTGCTTTGGAACCAGTTGCGATTGAGAATGTCCCACAAGTGAGTCAGGAATAGACGTCCATATCCCACCATAGTGGAAATTGATAGAACCATGCGTTAATCGCACTGTTACCTAGCAACAGCTTTTAAACTAGTAAAGTGAGACCAAGGCACCAATGCTAACAATATTCCTTTCCCCAAGGCAGTGAGTTGTACACATATTCTTTGTACAATGCATTTCGCTTCTTAATGTTCATATTAAACATTCAGGTTCTTCCAAAACCAAAGCGTGACATTTACCCTTTCAAAGTAATGTTTCTCGAAAGTACATTTCTATATTTGTATTCCTTGTAGAACCTGGCTTATCTGCTTTTTGAAGGGGAAATATTTTTTTCATTGCTGTGTCTTTATTTACCAGACAGAGATCAGAGGGGAGGGGAGAGGAGGGTCCTGGGTTGGAGAGGGAGAAGTGGGAGGCAGGAGCTGGGGGTGTTTGGGGCTAATTTTAGATGGAGAATAGGGAGCAGAGCTTCCAGATGGTAACAAATTCACATCCTTGTTTTGATTTTGGCTTCACGTCACCCCCTTTCACTTGTTTCTTTCTCTGTTGCTCCAGGGTTTGATTCCTTTTCATTTGGATTTTTTTGAAAAGCTGACATTTGATGGAATTGCTGATAGCAATTCAATCTTTTCCCTTGTACAGTGTACAGTTGACAATGTTTGCTGGATTGAGTGTTTTTATTCAATGCCTGACCATTGACAAAGCAACTTACGTTTTCATCACACAGCTTCAAAGTAACAATTGGGAGGCAATTCTTTCAGTCATTTCCAAACCCTATTACCTCCATAACAGCTCAGCAAGGAGCTACATGTTTTGTTACAACAATTTGGATTGATACTGCGCCCTTCACATGATATAATATTTTGGAGCGCTTCACATAGGTGGGGTAGTGGATGCCGATCAAGGGAAAGGGAAAAGGGGAGGTGACTGTAGGAGCAGTCGAAGAGGTAGGTTTTTGTTCACTTTAATCCCTCTTGTCTGCAGTCAGCCAATAAAGGCAGATGTCCTGTTTGTCCATGGTCTGCTGGGAGCAGCGTTTAAAACCTGGCGCCAAAAGGACCACATTGAGCCACCAGAGGAAGAGGTTAATTATACCCAGTGTTGGCCAAAGGTAAATTTGTTGTATCAGTAAAATCTTCCTGAACTGCATTCACCTGCAAAATGCACAGTCACTACACTTTATAGTAAATCCTGTGAAACGCTTTCAGGTATCCTCCTGACACGAAAGTCACTATAACAAAAGCAATGATTGCTGCTATTGTCCCCTTTCTTCATGATTACTTTGCTGAGTAATTGCACTTTTAACAATAATAATAATTGTTGCATGTGATATAGCGCTTTTCATGTCTTCTAGACGTCTCAAAACGCTTGATAGAATATACCATAAAGTGAATTGACTGTATATTTGTGGGCAAAACACACAGCCAATCGCACACAGCAGTGTCCCATAAACAGTCGTGGATTGAGTGATTAGATGTCGTGATTGGGATGTCAACCTGGCTCAGTCTCTGAGTCAAAGAGTTGTGGGTTCAAGGCCCACCTTAAAACTTTGTACTCACACAGTCTAGGCTGACACTCCGATACAATGCTGGGGGTGTGCTGCACTGTCGGAGTGCTGTCCTTTGGATGAGATGTTAAACCGCAGTCTCAGCTTCCTGTTCAGGTGGACGTTAAGATCCTGTGGAGCTACTCAAAAAGTAGGCAGTTTCTCCCGGTGCAATGGCCATTAATACATGCAATACAATTGGTCATTCATGGCTGTTTATGGGACAGAGCTGTGTGCAAATGAGCTTCTGTGTTTACCTATAAATATATAGTCACTACAATTTACAGCAAAAACATGAAAGATGCTATGCCGAATGCAATATATAGTTTATGAGATTGAATCTGACTTAATTTTCTTTTGAAGGATCTCTATCTAATTGAGTTTCATACACTCCTGGAATAATTGCTGGTTTGTTTCATATTCAGCATCTTCAGTAACCAAATTATAAGATTATTCTGGGTGAAAATAGCTCTACTTTTTGAGTTGAAGTACAATCCATCACAAAGGTAATAGTAAAAACATACAGAAAGCCTTGGAGGATCAAGAAAATTAAAAATCCCTTCCCTGCTGAGGAGACTTGGCAGCCTGTTTAAAATATTTTCTAGACAAGACAAGGAAGGAATCCCAAATCAGCTCAGTTCAATTGAGCCTCAACTCTTACTCCACTGTCAAAGTCCAAGTGACTCATATTTCAGAGTCCTTATAATACTCTTTCCCAATGATAGATATCGCTTGAACACTATAGGGGCTGCCTTTCAGTCATTCGGGGGGAGTTTCTGCATTATCCTCTAATACTTGTACAAGTGATGCACGACTCCATGAATACTTTTCGTGCGTAGTATTCTTTACACTATACACTAAAAGCAGTAGTATAAAAAACTGTACCACATGGTTAGTTTGATTTATCCCAAAATGATGGGATGTAGGTCTTTTTCTATAAGTTCAGAATTTGTAAAGTCTTGTACTACACAAACTGCAGACTATTCAGAATTCTGCAGCCCGTGTCCTCTTCCCGTGCCAGGCTCCATGAGACTACCAGCCCCATCTTCTCTCGCTCCACTAACTCACCATCCTCCAGCTGAACAAATTCAAACTCCTCATTCTCACCTTTAAATCCCTCCACTGACTAACTCCATCCTACCTCTGTGACCTCCATCAACCCAACAGACTAGGCCCCTCCCTTTCCCTGCCCAATATCAGCTGGTGGTTATTCAGCTATTCTGCCTCACTCTCTGGAACTTTATCCTGGAGCCCCCTGACTCGCCCTCCTCCCTCTCCATGTTCAAAACCTGCCTCAAACATATCTCTTTTACCATGATTTTGGTTATTTTTCCCTTCCGCCCCCTCTTCAGCTCTCACCCCTTGTGCATGTGCCCAGCCAACAAAGTGAAGCGCTTTGGGACTTAAGCACTTTGTATTGTTCTAAGAGAAAGAAGGTTGGGATAGTCTTAGTATATACAGCCACCCTCCCTTACAATACAAACTACCTGTAAATTCACACAGATTGGTAGCCACAAGTCACAAGGATAACTTGGTGGGATATGGAAATGTCTCATTTGTGTAATTGAAATGAGAGGGGTGTTTTCAGGGACATTATCTGACCATGTGGCCCTGAACTGGGAGGAATATATATCCCCATTTCCATGGGTCACAGGTTGTTTTGCGGAGTGTGGCTCGGAGTTGAATCAGTACCTCGAACACTTGATTCACGCTGTACTTCCAGGAATTATTCAATGCAGTAAATGAGCACATCAGACAGTGCAAACTACAGCATAAATTAGACAGATGAATGAGACAACGAGATTTGAAACCGGAAGAGAAAATATAAACATAACCTTCCTTAAAACAAACCCTGATATTGTGTTACTAGAGTAATCTACTGTCAGACACTGCACATAGTTTCTCTCAGACAGGAAAACAATGATAAACACACCTTTCTGATAGCCAATGTCTTTTGGACTCATTTCCAAAATCACTTTGCTTGACTTCTTCACTCTCTGCCTTTAAAACCCCCTGAAAAACATGTTTTACAGCTTGCTGTTGATCAACATCTCTAAATCTTCCTCTCCCTGCTCACAATTGTAAGCACTTTGAGATGTTCATTCTATGTGAAGGGTGCTGTGTAAGTGCAACTTGTTTTATGCTGCAGGGCATTGCATGCCTTGCACACCGTCCACTTCAATCGATGTCAGTGCCTCTTTCAAGCATATAAATAGTTAAAAGTGAACATTTACCCATGATACAGTGAATTTTGCAGCCTCATGTTCCCCTTTGTAAATGCCATTCTGTATATTATAAATAGGTCAGTTTAATACCTCTCCAGCCAGTGGAAATGCCAGAATTGATTTAGATGTCAGAATTACCCAGGCATCGATGGTAAACACTATTTTGGGTTAAAGAGTTTTACTACAGCATATGTTAAATTTGTTAATCTTCACTGTGTGCCTTAGATAAGTGAAGAATTAGATGAACGCTTTAGAGGAGCAATGCGTTCTAATTCTATATGATTCTAGTGTTAGAGTAGGAGATTTCTATGCAGAAGATGTTTATTTGTATGAAACTTTCCCCACGATATGTGTGAATTTTTCCTTCAATCTGTTTACTACATCCTGATATTTTAATGCCCTTGGCTGCTTCCCAAATCCACTCCGCACAGTTGCTTTATAGAGCTTTTAAATAACATTTAGGCATCATTTCTTTGATTTTTTTTGCAAGCAAAAAATAAATAAATATTTTAAATTTATGCAAATACATCTGAATTATTTAGCTGCAAGACTTTCTGTAGAGATTTCCCAATAAATTTCAACTTGTGGCTGCACACATGCTGAGTCCACTGGAGGGTGAAAGTGAAGGAACATAAAGCACAGTGGAATCTGCCAGAACACATACCATGTCCAAACCTACAATAGCAGCCGCCCGATACCATTCACTCCTATTAAATGGAAGCTCTGATTCAAGTGTAATCTTGATTGAGAATAAATGAACACATTTGCCATAACATTTTATAAGTTTTTTTTGCTGTAATGTAATAATGATGGTCTAACCCTGCCTATAATATCTTTTTGTTGTTATTGCCTGATCAGTGGAGCACAGATCCAAATCGAAATTCATTTAGTGATGGCTGCTGGGATCTGTGAGCTCACTGCTGACTGTAAATTAGCACGGTCTGATCTGACAGAGCACTTCATACAGATAGGTTTGATTCAGAAGAAGAAGCTGCCAGGCAGATCAGTTATTCAAAAGTATTAGAGCCCCGTGTAATATATGTTGGCAATCTCTGCTGAGACTTCATACAGTAGTTTGTATATCAACATCATGCAGAAAATTAGGAGAACCATTTTTAAAGTGAAATGCCCTGGGGTGGGGGGGGGGGAATCATTGGCGTAAAGAGCTTACTCTCTGATGCTTTGTTTTGAACCTTTCAGAAAGGCACCTCCTTAAAACCTAGATGAATTATTATAGGTGTGGTGTTCCATGGATATTATTTGGGGAATGACAGTTTCTTAAAAGGAAAATGTCCCTTTGGAAATCCCTAACAATGCGGGATCAGGTGAACCTACCTAACTCTGTATTGTGTGGAAGGTACGATTGATACTATCTCCTTCTCCATCTTATTAATGCAATTGTAGGGACCAATTTTCTTAGGCTGACTGAGTCAGAAAATTGTGCATTCCAGCCCTTACATCGGGACTTTGAACTCACATAGTCTAAGGTGACACTCCAGTGCAATGTTGGAGGTGCTATTCTTTGGATGAGACATTAAACCAAGGCTCTGTTTGACTGTACAGGGGGGATGTTGAACGGATGTTGGCGATATTTGAAAAGAGCAGAGTTTCTGCCAACATTTCCAAATAAAAATTTGTCATTCATTTCATAGCTGTCTGTGAGACATTGCTGTGTGAAAACTGGCTGCCCCATTTGCCTGCGAAACACAGAGCCACTCCACTTTACAGAATATCTTGTGAAGTACCTTTGGACATCTTCCTGATGTGAAAGGTGTTATATCAAATTTAAGAATTATTATTATTCTTTACTAATTTCAAATGCTGAATGCAGCTTATGTTCTGATAACATTAGCGCTGCCTTGTGAACACAGTGCTTCTGGGATCTTCTTGTTGCACTGGTAGGTACTGCATTTGGGACATTGCTAAATGTCACTTAGAGTGGGAACCAGTTTAGAACTTGGTTTACATGTGAATGAAATTGTTCATTTCAAATTGTGGAGTCCTGTAGCTTAGTGGTTAGAGCATTCGCCCCAAGCAGGGCAAAATCTTGTGCACGTTTCTTTACTTAACACGCCTCTGTTTACCGAGCAGTCAGTAGGAATCCAGTTGTTAGTCGATTGGCGGATCACTTTTCTTGGGGGTTATAATCCCTTTTTTAAAAAAAAGTGGTCAATCAATCCATGGCTGTTTATTGGACACTGCTGTGTGCAATTGGCTGCTGTGTTTCACGCACAAAATATACAGTCAATTCACTTTACAATTTATTCTGTGAAGCGCTTTGAGAAGTCTCGAAGACGTGATAGGCACTATATCAAATGCAATCATTATTATTAATGAAATGTTGGTTTGATTGATTATTTTTGTGTTGTTGATTTGCATTCAGACATGGCTAGCTGCAGATTGCCCCAACCTAAGGATTTTATCAGTAGAGTATGACACCCACCTCAGTGACTGGAGATCTAAGTGCCCTGTGGAGAATGAAAGGTATGTGCTAATTGCAAACTCAACTTGATCTAAAACCCTTCACCTAAGTCCAGGTTTTAGTCTTTGTCCTGCAGTATTATGATGTTTTTACTTTTGAAATCCTTTTTACAAGAGGAATGCTATAGTGCAGATTCATAAGTTGTCACACCATTCAATATTTACAGTGCTGCAACACTGCAGAAATTCCGTGTGATACACATTGGAATCTCTGGCTTGCATGAATCTCATGTGCTTGTTTCTCTTAGAAAGGGAAATGTAGGCACTGAATGTTGTATCATCATGCATCAGCATGTTGTATTGAAGCAATCACATCTTGTTAACTAAACGGTTATGGTGCTAAAAGCTGTGGATAGATCTCATGGATCGATTAGTTATTTTATTGAGGCATGTTTAATTACATGCTGAGTATTTACATTTAAAAATGGATTCAGAGCATTCTTCCAGTGTTAATTCTTTGCAGAAAAACTACTAAAATCTGAGTGTTTTTTCCTTTTTCTAAAATTTGGCCACTGAGTTTGAAGGACAGTGAAATGTTACAAATTCTGTGAAATCTTCATCTTTCTATTACTTGAAGAATTATATATTTTTAAAAGGTTATTAAACTTTTGGTGGAGATAGTCTGATGATGCAATGAGCTTGTGTGCCAACGTTTCTCTGAATATGTTGCCACCTGCAGTTCTGCAGCTAATCTCCTTTGTGTTATTATAGTGGTCCTGAGCATTGCTGGGCAAGTGCCATGAAAAATCCCAATGCTTTCTGCTAGAAACCTGCTTTGTTACCAATCTTTTTCTGAATCTTTAGAACTGGTTGGGCAAGTTGATATTGAGTCTTACGGCACTCATTCTGTGTTTGCTACTTTTGTCTAGGTCACTGCTCAGAAACCCTTTTGAGGGTAAATTATTATCGACTACTGTGTGGAGCATAACACAGTACTACGTTTGGTGGCACTTTCTATATTCTCCAGTTTTCTGGCATTCCCTATTCCATCTTTTTGTGGTCTAGTGAGTCTACCACAAATTGTATTTTGGGATGACGAGAGCAAATAGTGGAGATACTAAAGATATTCAAACCACAAATGCAAATCCTCAAATATAAACATTCAAGCCAATAAGAAGCATTCTCCTAAGGCCCTGATGTTCGCTCTCTTTAACATCAGGCAAGGTTCCCTTTTGGTCTGAACAACTCTTACGTGCTTGGAGTCAAGTTTCCGAGCCTAGAAAGTTCTGAGAGTACCAGGAAAAAGTCTTAATTCGATCTGCCTTATTCATCTGCCGCTTCCTCTACTCTCTGAGTTTTGCTTGGGAGGAGGGCCCTCATAAGAGATCGCCATGAAAAGTACCAAGGCTTAACCAATGATGCATATGTTTCCCTTCTGCCTGACATCAACAACCATGGTATTCAATGTTGCTCGGTAACAATCCTTTCATTTGAAATTAGTGTGTGTGTACCCCAAAGTAACATTAAACTCTGCACAAGTCTTCGGTACAGCAAGTACTGAGGTTATTAAGAAAACCGGGATTCCTCGTGGTTCAATGGTTCATTTATCAACAACTAGTTGTGTTTATATAGTACCCTTCACATGGGGGTAGCATCTCGGATTGTTTAACAATAGTGGAGCTTAACAGTTGCTGATCTTTAAAAAGTTATTTGAATAAGAAATTTAATTTTTAAAAACGTTTTACATTTTTATTTGTGGAAATTTTTACATTCAACTGACTTCAAATTCAATCCATTCAGACTAACTGGATTGGATAATTCAGAGTGTCTCGTAAATTGAAACAGGCCCGAAATTGTGGCTTTAGTTAAACCTGGACTTATCTTATTTTCTGCTTTTATTCAGGAAGTCCTTGGCTTACAGGAGTCGTGAGCTGCTGACTAAACTGAAAGCTGCAGGTGTTGGGAATAGGCCAGTGGTTTGGGTGGCACATAGTATGGGAGGTAAGAATTGTACGAATAAACTAAACAGATACCAACCTTCCTCATTACCATTTTATAATTGGGACATTAGGAAAAGTGGCTCTTACACCAGTGGCAAATACCTTGTTAATGCAAACACCTTTTATTAAAACAATTGTGGGGAAAGAAAGTAAGTATGTAGCAGCAATTTGGTTCATTGAGTTCTTTGTGATCTTTAGGATCATCCAGAACTCTGCAGCTCGTGTCCTCTCCCGCACCAGGCTCTGTGACCCCATCACCCCCATCCTCGCCCAGCTCCACTGGCTCCCCATCTCTCAGAGACAGAATTCAAAATCCTGGTCCTCACTTTCAAGCCCTTCCACGGCCTTGCCCCTTCCTACCTCTCTGACCTGCTAACCTTCTATCAGCCTGTCCACTTCCTCCGTTCAGCAGGCTCGAGCCTGCTTCATGTCTCCCGCCCGACCCACCCTACCATCGGCGGCCGGGTTTTCAGCCTCTCTGCTCCACCCTTTGGAACTCCATCCCACGAACCCTTCGCTTCGCTTCCTTTCTTGCCTCCTTCAAGGCACAAGTCAAGACCCTCCTTTTAGACCGTGCCTTCAGCCGCCCTCCTACCCCCTCTGCCCCCCCTCATCCCAACTCTGACCCCCCACACTTGCGTCCTGATTCCTGACTGTTCAGCGCCTTGGGATATCCTCCCGACGTGAAAGGAGCTTTGCAAATGTAATTTTGTTGTTGTTGTTGTTTCTCTTGGTCTATCTCACTACTGCTTGCTCCCACAAAAACTCTTGTAATACTGACAGTGTTCAGCAGCCATGTTTTCCCATTCACTGTTCACCAGAACACTGCACTGCCTCTGTACACATCAGTGGGCTAGAATTCCTGTTGGTGCTACATGTAGCAACTGTTGATGTTCCATTACAGTGGGGAAAGCAACCCAAAGTATGTAACCAACACAAGACTTGTTTCTGGTCCTTAATCCTCCTGATTAGCTGAAAAAATAAATTTTGGATTATTTGAGTCATCGATTCATCGATTCAAAAAATGAAATAGAAGCAAAAATATAAAAACAGATTGTTAAGTGATGCTTAACTTATACAAATCTTAAGTTAGAGTATTGTGTCCAGTTTGGGTCACTCCTCTTTAAGAAGGATGGCAAGGCCAAAGAGAGGTTATAGAGGTGATTGATGAGGATGATACCAGGATGAATGTGTTGACTGATGAGCAGAGGCTGGAGGACCTGGGCCGATTGCCATTGGAACGGAGAAGATTGAGGGGAGACCTGATGGAGTTCTTTGAAATGAAGAGGGGTTTTGATAGTCAATGTAGAAAAATTATTTTCACCACAGTGACTGGAGTGCATCATTTCAAGTTAATTAGCTAAAGGAAAGATTAGGAGGATTTATTTTACAGAGAGTTGCTAGGATATGGAATATCCCATCGGTGGTTGAGGTTCCATATTAGCTTTCAAGAAGGAACTAGATAGAGATTTAAAAATTAGTAATTTACAGGGGTATGGGGAAAAGGCAGGTAAATAGGACTGAATAGATTGCTCCTTGAAAGAGCCAGAACAGACATGATGCGCTGACTAGCCTTCTGTACTGTAAATTTCTATGGTTTTACATGAGCTTTAAACAACAGCAGCAGCAAACAAAAAACTCAAGATTTAACTGCTTGGGTTAACAACTGATTTTAGTTAATCTTACATTTGAGATTTCGGCAGTTAATGTTATTCAATCAGCTACATCTGGACATCGCCAACCCCACAGGACGCCTATATAAAATTAATTCCCACAGCTTTTTTTGTATAGCATTGCTGGTATTGGCAGTAGGCTTGTATGCTTTGCTGGTAACGACCCCAGAAGTTCTTTTCATATCCCAATGCAAGATATTTGATAATAAAACATCAACAAAATGGTTAAGGCCCCAATCATTTTTGGCTGAATACTTGAGAATACAACAAGTGGCAGCTTTATTCATACAGTCATAAACTGAGTGTGATCAGATTCAATGTTTTTTTAAAAAAAACAAAATGCTGTATAGTGCTTTCTTGGTTAACAACTAAAGGATGTGCTATGAAGAAAAAGGGAATCCTGTCAAGAGTCTAGTGCCTCTGAAGAGGTGCAATTGGTGTTTACTCTGAACAGCTTTAGTGTGGTCAAATTCTCTTTAATGGTGATTAACCTTTATAATTGTGTGGCTATTGCTCAGCTCTCGGTGATAACAGCCTCATATATTGATATGCATTGGTGATTTAATGGTGCAGACACTGAATATCTGACGTTGAATATATCAGGTACCAGGTATAAATCTGTTTATGTTGAGGTGCTGATTATGGTAACCAATCTGATAGCTGTCTTTTAAGCTCTAGATCCTAGATCAATTCCTTTCTGCTTCCCAGTATTGTGATGTTAAGCACCAATATGCTTGCAGAGCCCTTCAGGTGGCTCAGATGAAATACCTACTGTGAAAATTAGTTCAATCCCAAGACTGTGATGAGCTAGTTGATCTCAGTGGGGGGGGGGGTTCGATAACTGGCCCCTACACCCAAGTGATAGGAACAGAAAGACAGCAGGTCAGAATTCCCACCTCAATTACTATCCAATGAATAGTACTAGAAAATGCCAGGTCAGGCTCAGGTATGATGTTTCACAGTTGAATATCTAACCAGCACTGCCTGAACTCACATATAAATGACCACTTTGGATGAGTTATTGGAGGCAACAGAGGCACCTGTGGAATTGGATTGTACTCAGTAAGAGTAAAGTGAGAGGACGACAATAAACAATGATCTCTAGTTATCAGATTTCCCTTAGTTCAACTGATATAATTTCTGTATTGTAGGCTTGCTAGTCAAACAGATGCTGTTGGATGCTAAAGAAGATCCAGAAATGAGAGCAATGGTTCAGAATACTCAAGGCATTGTATTTTACAGTGTGCCCCATCATGGATCTCGCTTAGCAGAATACTCCATTAATGCTCGATTTCTGCTATTTCCTTCTGTTGAAGTCAAGGAGCTTAGCAAAGGTAAGGTGGACGCTATTTGGATCAACTTAACCTTCTGTTTTTTTCTTCCACTGTATGCTCTACTAATACGTACCATCATCTTTTTACCACAGAAAGGCCCATGTAATAAATCAGAATACTTGCAGATCAAGAGACATTGAAAGTTGTTGGGGGCTTTTCTGTTTATAATAATAATACAATATAATAATCCTTGCATTTTATATAGCGCTTTTTACGTCTTGACATCTCAAAGTGCTTCACAGAATAGACTGTAAAGTGAATTGACTGTATATTTGTGGGTGAAAAGTGGCAGCCAGTTGCGCACAGCAATGTCCCACAAATAGTCGTGGATTGAAAATGACCAATTTATTATTTTTTTTTTGAGGGATTATTATTAGGCTCTGTGTGGAGTAAGGAAACTTGCCCAAGGTTTCGCCCTGCCTGGAATTGAAACCAGGCGTCTCGCTTGCAAGGCAAGTGCTCTAACCACTGAGCTACAGGACTCCACTGTTTATTTGACAGTTAGCTAAAATAATAGTGCTTGCATTTAGCATGGGGCCTATAATGTTGAGAATATCTCAAAGCCTTGACACGGTTACTGTAAAGTGTAGTGAATGTATTTGTGGGACGAATGTGGCAACCCATCAATGTCCCATGTGTAGATGCAATGTAAATTGCAATGTATAGCATAGATGCATTTAAGGGGAAGATAGATAAGTACATGAGGGAGAAAGGAATAGAAGGTAATGCCAATAGGCTTAGTTGAGGAAGGGCAGGAGGAGGCTCTTGTGGAGCATAAACGCTGGCATAGACCAGTTGGCCTGTTCCTGTGCTGTATATTGTATGTAGCTTTATGCGGAAAAAAATGTTAGATGTTTCTTAAACAAAGCGACTCTTAGCAATGTTCTGTCATCCCACTGTAGACATGGTGTATTTTGAACTGATTAGTACTTAGCATTGAATAGGCTAATGTGCTTATGGAATCTGCTCTGACAAGGCACCGTTAAATATGGAAAGTGACCAGGAAACTATTTGTGTGTTATTAAAAAAGATTTTCATCATCCTATGGCCTTGTAGGCAAAGGCAGCACTCTGTGTAGCACTTAGCTTTATAGATTAGTTCATGCTGAGTTGGCTGATCTCAGCCAGGGCAGCAGTTGGAGCTGTACAGTTGGTTTTAGCAATCCGGGCAGATGTCCACTGCCACAGGCCCAGATTCACAAATGTGGCCACTGAGAACAATGTTAGGATACATTCAGATAAGTCAGTTTGTTAAATAGTGGAATAAGTACCATTAAATTGAAACTAGTAACTAGATAGGAGCTTTGTACATATGCTCACAATGGATTTGATCTCAAAACACAAAGATACAGTGCATTGGAGCTATTACTGGATAGTATTGGAATATTCTTTCTGCAGAAAATCTAGAGAATTAATGGTCAAAATTCAGAACCTGAATCTCCTCCTTTGCACCTGTTAACAACAACAAAATTACATTTGCATAGCGCCTTTCACATCAGGAGGTTGTCCCAAGGCGCTGGACAGACAGAGTTACAGACCTGAGCTGGGGGTTGGGGTCGGGGAGGGTGGAGGGCAGGGGGAGAAGCAGGGAGATCGAAAGAACGGTTGAAGAGGAGGCTCTTGAGATGGGTCTTGAAGGTAGCAAGGGAGGGGGCGAGATGAAGGGCCTGTGGGATGCAGTTCCAGAGGGTGGGGGCAGAGTGGCGGAAGGCCCGCCCGACAATAGTGGGGTGAGCAAGGCAGGGGTTGTGAAGCAGGCTGGAACCTGCTCAGTGGAGAGAGCAAGCAGGATGGAAGGAGGTTAGGAGGTCGCAGAAATAGGGGGGACCAAGACCGTGGAGGGCTTTGAATGTGAGTACCAGGATCTTGAACTGTTTTCTCTGTGTGATGGGAAGCCAGTGGAGTTGGGCAAGGATGGGGGTGATAGGGTCATGGAGCCTAGTGCAGGAGAGGACCCGGGCTGCAGAGTTCTGGATGATTTGCAGCCTGTGGAGGGAGGAGTTGGAGAAGCTGACAAGCAGTGAGTTTGATAGTCGAGCCTCGATGTAATGAAAGCATGTCTGAGGGTTTTGATGGCCTACAATGTGAGACAGTAGCGGAGACGGGCAATGTTGCGGAGGTGGGGGAAAGCAGAGCGGGTCATGGCACAGATGTGGGGTAAAAAGGATAGTTGAGGGTCTGGACTGGCTTAGCAACATGGAGTGTGCAACCATGGACGGTGATGCTGTCAGCGCCTGAGGTGAGGAGGCGCTGACCGGAGCCAATCAGGAGAGCCTCGGTCTTGTTGACGTTCAACTGAAGAAAGTTACCTCTCATACAGGACTGTTAAGTCATAGCAAGTCATCAGGTCACTATGATAGTTCAGTAATAATTGACATTTTATTCACTTTTATTAACGAATATTTCCCTGTAGATTCTCCAGCTTTAAGAGACCTGAACAATAATTTCAGGAATCTAATAGAAGAGCAGAAGATCAACATGTTGAGTTTCGGGGAAATTCTACCAACAAATATCGGCAGTATGATCAGACTGCATGTGGTTCCGCTAAATTCAGCAGGTATTAAAATCAGTTTAAATTGGGTATAATAATCTCAACAGATTTTAAAGGTTAGTTTTGTGATGATATTCTGCAAAGTAATTTTTAAAAATCCAAAATTTGAATTATTCACTTTTGTATTCTCTTACTCTACCACCTCCCAAAATCCTCTCCCACCTTCATCTCTGACATCTCCACTCTCTTTGCTTCCCTCTGCCTCTGCTTCGACTGCCTCATCATCCTAGGCAACTTCAACCTCCACTTCACCCCTCCTGCTCCATCTCCTCAGACTTCTCTCTCAACCTCTCCCTCCACATCCACTTTGCTACCCACACCCACCCGCTCGATCTGGTGATCGCCCGCGGCCTCAGTGTCTCGGATGTCACCATCACTGACAAGGCCATCTCTGAACACCATTTAATCTCCCTCAACTCCCATATCCCTCTCCCCGCTGCCTCCAAACATACCCCCATCTTCTACCGCCCGTGGAAGAAGATCTCCCCGCAATCCCTCTCCGCTGCCCTGGAATCCTCTGATCTCCTCCCCCTCTGGCCCACCTTTCGCAACAATCCACTCACTGCACTTACTCTTCTCCACAGCACCCTCTCCACCACACTCAATGTCCTTGCCCCCCTCACCTCCCGAACTGCCTCCTATTCCCAAACCTCACCCTGGTTCAGCAGCCACCTCCGCTCGCTTAAGGGCCAGGTGCAGGCTGCTGAAAGCACTTGGCTCAAATCTGGCCTAACAGTCCACCGCCACATCTGGCTGGACCTCATCAAGAACAACCACTCTACTCTCGCCTCGGCCAAATCATCCTTCTATTCTGGGTTAATCCTGGAGGCGAAAGGCAATCCCAGGCTCCTGTTCTCCACCACTAACCAGCTCCTCTGCCCTCTCCGACATGCCTCGCAGATACTTTCCTCCGATTCTCACTGTGAGAAAATGCTGGACTTACTCGAGTCCAAAATCGAGGGAATCTGCTCAGCTGCCACTGCCCTCCCAACTTCCAAGCCCTCCCTACACCCACTCCACACAATTACCCATCTGACAACTACCCATCCCTCCTTCCACACCTTTGAACCTGTCACCCCCTCCTCTGCCTTTAACACATAACTTCCATGAAGTCCACCACCTGCTCCCTCGACCCCACCCCATCTCTTCCCCTCTCCTTAAATCCCAGCTCCACCTCCTTGCCTCACTACTCACCGACATCATTAACCTCTCCATGTCATCTGGCACTGTTCCTTCCCCCCTCAAAACAGCCACTGTCACCCCCACCTTGAAAAAACCTTCCCTTGACCCATCACAGCTATCTAGCTACCGGCCCGTCTCAAATCTCCCCTTCCTATCCAAGGTCCTTGAGTGAGCCGTTGCCTCCCAGCTTCACTCTTTCCTCTCCTCTCACTCCCTCCATGAACCCCTCCAATCGGATTTCCGTGTTGCCCACAGCACGGAAACTGTTCTGGTCAAGGTCACAAACGACGTCCTGACCATGTGTGACCAGGGCTCCCTCTGCCTCCTCGTCCTCCTTGACGTCTCCGCCGCCTTTGACACCATGGACCACTCAATCCTCCTCCACCGTCTCTCCTCCCACCTCAGCCTTCAAGGTTCTGTCCTTGACTGGTTCAGGTCCTACCTTTCACACCGCCTCAACTTCGTCGCGGCAAACAGTTTCTCCTCCAGCCCCCGCACGGTCTCATGTGGTGTTCTTCAGGGCTCTGTTCTCGGTCCCCTCCTCTTCACCCTCTACGTGTTCCCCCTTGGTGACGTCATCCGCAGACATGGGGTAAATTTCATATACCCAACTCTACCTCTCTGCCTCCACCCTGAACTACTGAGGTCCTGACTGACTGCCTGTCTTGTTTGACCCTGAACTGTCCTTTCTCCCCCACATCCGCGCCATGACCGGCACTGCCTATCACCACCTCCGCAACAGTGCCAGACTCCGCCACTGCCTCACCCCTCAGGCTGCCGAAACCCTCACCCACGCATTGATTACGGGAACTCCCTCCTTGTCGGCCCTCAGCTCATCAGGCTCTGGCCTGCTCCATGTCTCCTACCCGACCCACCCTACCATCGGTGGCCGGGCTTTCAGCCTCTCTGCCCCCACAGTCTGGAAATCCATCCCACGGTCCCTTCGCCTCGCTTCCTCCCTTGCCTCCTTCAAGGCCGGTCTCTAGACCCTTCTCTTCGACCGTGCCTTTGGTCTCCCCCCCACCTCTCTGCCTTCCCTCACCCCTACACCACCCCTCTCCCATGCTTGAGCCCTGACATCTAACTGTTCAGCGCTTTGGGACATCCTACCGACGTGAAAGACGCGCTATAAATGTAATTTTGTTGTTGTTATTGTTTTGTATGCTTAAACAATCCTCTCCTGGATGTGCTTCTTTTTAAAGCCTTAAGGAGAATATGCTAACCTCTAGCCCCTCACCACCACCACCATCCTGGAAAATGTAACGTCTCTATCCATCAAGGATAAGAGTGCTAGCAATATGTTTTCACTTTTAAGCACTCTGGACTGGTACTTTGGTCCCCATACCCCCATCTCACCAGTTCTGGCCAGGATCCACTGGCTCCCCATCACCGAACGGATCGACTTCAAGATCCTCACACTCGTGTTCAATTTCCTTCACTCCCTGGCACCTCCCTACCTCTCCGACCTCCTCACTTCCCAATCCACCACTCAGCACCTTCTATCGACTGGCTCTGGCCTCCTGCTCGTCCTTCACACCTTCAGCCCCACCATCGGAGGTCGTGCTTTCAACCACTATGTCTGAAACTTTGGAACACTCTCCCTCAATCCCACTGCCTTGCCCCCCTCTCTCCCCTTGGTCAAGTCCGGCCTTAAAACTTTCCTTTTCAACCGTGCTTACGGTCACCTCCACCCCCTCTGCTCCGGCTCAGAGTCAGGCTCCGCTATTCTTAAGCGCTCTGAGACACTACCCTGCGTGGAAGGCGCTATATAAGTACAAATTGTTGTTGTGGTATGACACAGGAAGCTGCAAAGTAATGCTTTTTCTGAGCTAAAAATAAAATCTACCTTAAACTCCAACTTCAGAAGAGCGCCCTTAATGCAGTGTGACATTGCCATAACTCACACTAGTCATCCCGAGCAATGAGGGTTGGGTGATTTTACCTTATGGAAAGTTAGATGTTGAAATTTATAAAAAAGTATTGCTTTACAGAATAATATGCATTTGTTCTTTATTCTACCACACAGTCACGCCAGATGTAGCTAGAAAGCATGCAGAAGTGACTAACTCATTGATGACACTCCTTGAAATTCTGCAGACCACAAAGAGGATTACTATTTTTATGGAACCTCAGTCTCAATGTTAATGGCCATTGTAAAGATCTGCTCACACAGATATATATAGTACCACTATATTGCATGTAAATTCAAATCTCTAATCCCCCAAAGTAATTTATGTACCCCTCAAGCATGAAAGAAAAGAGCTTTACATCAAAGCCTGTCTAGGCTATCAAAATTTTATTTTTTTCTTAAAAAAAACAGCTTCCATCAGATATTCTTTTCAATATTCACTATCAGAGGTGCTATAGGAGGGGTTGTCAAGTGTATGGTGTATGCTTCTCTAAGGAAGAACTTGAGTATGCTTGACTACGCCGACTGCCTGCTCGCTGAATTTCCCAACTCTTCCCTCCACAAGCTTCAGATTATTCAGAACTCTGTAGCTCGTGCCCTCTCCCTCACCAGGCTCCGTGAACCAATCACTCCTTGCCCGGCTTTACTGGCTCCCCATCCCTCAGAGAATCAAGTGCAAAACCCTCGTTCTCACCTTCAAACCGCTCCAGTCTTGCTCTCCCCTACCTTTCCGACCTCGTAACCCCAAATAAGCCTGTCCGCTCCCTCCGACTGCTTCAGTGACCCCATCACTCCCACCCTCACCTGACTCCACTGGCTCCCCATCTCCCAGAGGATCGAGTTCAAGATCCTCACCTTTAAGGCCATCCATGGCCTTACCCCCTCCTACCTCTGTGACCTGCTGACTCCCTACCAACCTGGCCGCTCTCTCCATTCAGCGGGCTCTGACCTGTTCCATGTCTCCTGCCCGACCCGCCCTACCATCGGTGGCCAGGCTTTCAGCCTCTCAGCCCCCACACTCTGGAACTCCATCCCACGGTCCCTTTGCCTCGCTTCCTCCCTTGCCTCCTTCAAGGCCAATCTCAAGACCCTTCTCTTCATCCGTGCCTTTGGTCGCCCTCCCACCTCTCTGCCTTCCCTCACTCCTACAACAACAACACAACAACAACAAGATTGCATTTATAGAGCCCCTTTCACGTCAGGAGGGTGTCCCAAGGTGCTGGACAGTTGGGTCAGGATCCGAGCGGGGGGAACTGGTCAGACTGAGGGGAGGGAAGGGAGGGAGCGAGGACGGGGTAGAGAGTCGAGGGGAGCTGAAGGCATGGTCAAAGAGAAAGGTCTTGAGACCGGCCTTGAAGGAGGAAAGGGAGGAGGCGGCGAAGGCACTGGGGGATAGAGTTCCAGAGCCTCGGGGCTGAGAGGCTGAAAGCCCGGCCACCGATGTTAGGGTGGGGGATGTGGAGCAGACCGGAGCCAGAGGAACGGAGGGTACGAGCAGGTAAGTAGGGGGATAGTAGGTCAGAGAGGTAGGAGGGTGCAAGGCCGTGAATGGCCTTGTAGGTGAGGATCAGGATCTTGAATTCGACCACCTCTACACCACCCCTCCCCCATGCTCGGGCCCCGACACCTAACTGTTCAGCGCTTTGGGACGTCCTCCCAACATGAGAGGCGCTCTATAAATCTAATGTTGTTGTTGTTCAGGTCCCGTGCACATCCTGCCCCACCATTGGCGGTTGGACATTCAGCATCTCTGCCCCTACACTCTGGAATTCTATTCCGCAATCCCTCCACTTGTCTCTTTCAAGTGCCGTCTAAAGACCGTCCTCTTTGACCGTGCCTTCGGCCACCCTGCCTTCCTCCCTCAACTATGATAACTTAGTTAACGAAAATTTACTAATTTTGTTTTGTACGTTATTCATTTTTTTTTCTTCCAAAAACATATTTTGCAGACATGGGGATTGGTGATTTTATTCCTGTGGAAGTCAATCATCTAAACATTTGCAAACCTGGGAATAGAAACTCATTCCTTTACCAGCGCAGTCTGCAGTTCATAAGAGATGCGGTGGCACAAGAACTCAAGAGGTGAATCAAGAAGCCTGCTCCACCTTCACGTGCCATTGGTTTTATGTCAAGAACTGAGTCCCTCTTTCCGGGGTGGTGATATCATGCTTTTCCTTGATTGTGCAAACTGAATCTCACAATTATGAAGAACATAAGAACATAATCAAGACCGTTTCAAGGACGATGTTGATAAATGAAAGTATGTAAGAGATGTAAGATTTTAAGTATGTAAAATGTATTTCAACACAGAGCCATTAAAAGTAACCAGGAATTTTTTTTTGTGGGGTGGGGCAAGAACCTCGTACAAAGTATTGTTTGATGACAGTTGTGGTGCTAGGTTTCATATTTTTTTACTTTAAGTCAACAGCCTTGTTCCCTCATTACAGAAGTCTCACAATCTGGTGTTGCAAGTACTTATTGTCAAATTGTGGATTTGCAGTGAATTCTTATTGTTTCTCGATTGTAAATCCTCTTTAATTTATGGATATATTAGCCGTGGCGACTGGAATCATTCAACATACTGACATCTTTGCTGGCAGTGTGTCATAATCTTTATAGGAAGTTGTTTTTGAAAGCAAATATTGATTTCTATAGACAAAATTCCTGCATTTGGAATGCTTCCCTCATGAATTACATACCAAATGAAACTAAGGAAAGCTCTTTCTATGAATGAGCCATGAACAGAGCATGAGAGGAAGCGCGGATGATCTCACTTAAGACAAAGAAAAATACCTGAAGAATAATTGTTACATTTGTAATCTGGAACAAATTGCTAAAGCTTTTGATCTTTTTAAATGTGCTATTATTACACCAAAAATGGAGGAACATAAACACCAGCATAAACCAGTTGGGTCGAATGGCCTGTTTCTGTGCTGTATATTCTAATGTATTCTAATGTAAAAATCACCTTTTTCATTGGAAATATAAAATTGGCCTAAACAACTGGAATATTTTCTCATTTCTGATAACGTAATGAGAGAGAAGGGAATTAAAAATCACCAACCCAGCCTCCGCCCACCCTCTCATGCCTTGCCCATCCTCATCTCCAATGCCAACTGCGAGGTGATGCTGGACTTCCTCAAATCCAAAGTTAAGGGGATCTGCTCAGCTGCCTCTGCCCTTACATCTACTACCATCACCCCGGCCCCTACCCATCCCTCCCTCCTCTCCTTCGAACCTGTCTCCCACTCCTCTCTCATCACTAGTATAATCCGCATAAAACCAACCACCTACTCCCTCAACTCCATCCCTACCCCTCTCCAAAGACATCATAAACCTCTCCCTGTCCTCTGCGACCATTCCCACCTGTTTAAAAATGGCTGTCATCACTCCTATCCTTAAAAAAAACCCTCCCTGGGCTCATTCCTGCTCCCAAACTTCCTCCCCATCTCCAACTTTCCTCTCCAAGGTCCTGGAATGAGTCATTGCTTCCCAGCTTCGCTCCTTCCTCTCCCGCCACTCCCTTCACGAACCCCTCCAATCGGGTTTCTGTGCTGCCCACAGGACAGAAACAGCCCTGGTCACAGTGACAAATGACATTCTGTCCATCTGCAACCAGGGCTTCCTCTGCCTCCTTGACCTCTCTGCTGCCTTCGACAATGTTGACCACTCTATCCTCATCCACCGCCTCTCCTCTCACCTCAACCTTCACGGTTCTGTACTTGACCAGTTCAGATCGTACCTGTCACACCGCCTCCACTTCATCTCCACAAACAGTTTCTCCTCTAACCCCCGTATCATCTCGTGCAGCATTCCTCAGGGATCTGTCCTTGGTCCCCTCCTCTTCAATATCTATATGCTCCCGCTTGGTGACATCATCCACAGACATGGGGTGAACTTCCACATTTTTGCGGATGACATCCATCTCTACCTCTCTGCCTCCACCCTTGACTCCAGGACTACTGCTGTCCTGACAGAATGTCTGTCAGACATCAAGTCCTGGATGAGAGCTAACTTTCTTCAGTTGAACGTCAACAAGATGTCTACACACCTCAGGTGCTGACAGCAACACCATCTATGGATTCACACTCCACTTCATTGAGCCAGTCTGGAATCTTGGCATCTTGTTGAGCCTCAACTATCCTTTCTACTTTTAACAGTTCAAGATCCTGTTCCTCACCTTCAAAGCTCTCTATGGTCTTGCTCCCCCCTACCTCTCCAACCTCCTAACCCCCTACCAACCTGTTCCTCCCTCTGCTCAGCGGGCTCCGGTCTGCTTCATATCCCCCACCTTGTGTGCCCCACCAGTGGCTGGCGGCCTTCTGCCACTGCTCACAACCTCTACAACTTCATCCCACTTTGTGCTTTGAACCACTATATTGCATGAAAGGAGCTTTATAAATGAAAGTTGTTGCTTTGGTGAATAAGTACCATTAAGATCTGTGGGCAGGAGGTGGTTTGAAGTAGGGTTCGCAATTAAGAGGAAAATCCAAATATAATTATAATAATAATCCTTGTAATAATAATCCTTGATATAGCGCTTTTCACATCTTCTGGACATCTCAAAGCACCTCACAGAATATACTGTAAAGTGAATTGACTATAAATTTGTGGGTGAAATGCAGCAGCCAATTGCGCACAGCAGTGTCCCACAAACGATGGATTCAAGTGACCAATTTATTATTGTTTTTTTTCTTGAGGGATTATTATCAGACATGTGGAGTAAGGAAATTTGCCCAAGGTTTCGCCCTGCCGGAAATCGAAGCCAGGTCTCTCACTTGCTAATTAAATTAGAACAGAGAAATAAGGTATAGGGTGCTTCATGCATATTAAGAAAAAATAGCATGAGCATTACAGAATTATGGCTACAAGTTGGAGGGGAATATTAGATGGAGGTTAAAGGGGATTAATAATATTTTGCAATGAAGCTGGATGTAGGAGAACCATTAACAAACTATGATGCAACTGATATTAAAGTGTAAGAGACAATCGTAAAAGACACCGCAAGGTTGAGAATGGGAGAGGAAATTAAATTAATTTTAAACGTTTTTTGATTGAAGGAGGTTACACTGGTGATTTAATTAATGAGTAGGAGGCAGTGCAATCACCTCATAAATATCAGAACCACTGTTCATTATTAACTAGGCAGAGGTCTGAATGCATTCACCAATTCCCCCCTGCAAGAGATCTATCATCACAAATTAATTTCTAACTGAAAAATGATTGACAGCACAGTCCAACAACAGAATTATCCAGAATTTATAACACTTTGTGACCTTGCCAGACATAAAAAAAAGTTTGCCTTTGTTGTATTCCATTTAACAGCAATCGCAATATAGTACTTGCTTTCCAGAAAATCTGTATCCTGTGAACTAACTGCTTCACTTCTGCGGGTCCCATTTCCCGTATGTTTCTTCCAGTAGTAACTACAGTTACCATGAGACCCACAATTTGAAACAAATGTTTATTGATATTAACATCCTCACCCCAACTGCTGATAACCTCTGTGGAAACTGGTTTGAAGGTGTTTCTGTAGCAGGTTGTATAAGGTTCGCTGAATGAGCATCAGCATTAATATTTCTTTAAAATCTACACTTCTGTGAAGCCACTGATGGTGAGTTCAAAAAGAAATCCAAACAATCAACAGAAACAGGCCACCAAAAAATATATAATTTTAATCACAAGTCTGGACATGTGTCACTTCATAGGTGTCAGTTTGCACCTGATAATGACAAAAAAGACAAATAATATTCCTTATAAAGGGCTTTGGATGAAAGCAATGGATCACTCTTCTGCAACAGTTCCAAGCATAACACCCAACAGAGTGCCTGTGACACTGATAAAAGATTCTTCCATATGCACAGAAACCAACTGTATTGTGTGTGACTTAAAATGAAAAGCAAGATATCCCACATTAACTAATTTAGTTCCTGGATGAGAATACGACCAGGAAAATCAATACCAGATATTGATTGTCCCAATATGTTAGAAAACGACTTGAGGCAAACAATAGTTTATTTGACACTCTGGGTTAGAATTTTGCTTTGTGGGCATCAACTCATCATATTATAACATATTATAAGTGTATTTCCTCATTATTTTACATAGAACTTTGTGCATAAATGTGGTTTCTTGTTTCCTCATACATCCTTCAAAAACAGCACTTGGTTCTTCTAAACCAGAGAATGGAATCAGGACCTTCATAAAATCCATGTGTCAAAATAATAAACTGACTAAACATTACTTTTACCACAAAATGGCTCAATTCGAATGCATCGCTTAAGAAACCTCAGTTTCTTCCATTTTTAACCATTTGATGACCATCAATGTTTTGTCCAACAAACGCAATGTGACAGGCAAAAGGAAGGCTACCTGTGGAGTCCTGTAGCTCAGTGGTTAGAGCACTCGCTTTGCAAGTGAGAGACCTGAGTTCAATTCCAGGCAGAGGGCGAAACCTTGGGCAAGTTTCCTTACTCCACACAGAGCCTAATAATAATCCCTCCAACACCAAAAACAATAATAAAATTGGTCATTTTCAATCAACGACTGTTTGTGGGACATTGCTGTGCGCAATTGGCTGCCGCGTTCGCCCACAAATATACAGTCAATTCACTTTACAGTGTGTTCTGTGAAAGCGCTTTCGGACGTCCTCCCGACGTGAGAAGCGCTATATCAAATGCAAGGATTATTATTATTACTTTAGAGTTAACATTAAAAAGTCAGGAAAGATCAGTCCCTTACCACTCAACAAGGACTCCTTTCAGAACGTTAACCATCTTGAATTAAACAATAATGGGTTAAGACGAGCAGTAACTGTCCTCACGCAATTGTCAAGACCCAGCAATGATCACGCTGTACACATTCAAGTTTCCACAACTGAAAAACAAAATTAATTTCATAAAAGCTTTGTTTTTTAATTGTTTTATAGAAAATTCCAAGGCATTACTGTATGATATCCACTGACAATGTCTTGTATTTTATAATAATTATACATTCATATAGCATCTTTCACATCAAGAGGATGTCCTACGGCCTTTCACGAGTAAAACATGGTGACTATTTTGTAGCTGAAAACAACAGCCTATTTGCACGCAGCAAAATCCCACAGACATCCATGATCATTTTTTTTTTTGAAATTGGGTTCTTTATGGCCAGGACATCAAGAGAAACTCCCTTCTCATTTCGAACAGTGCCTCGGGATCTACATGAACAGGTAGACAGGACTCGGTTTAATATCTCATTTGAAGGACCGCATCTCCGGGCGAGGTGTTGGGCTAGACTATAGGAGCTCAAGGTCTGACGTGAGACACAACACACTGACCCCCAGAGCACTGACCCCCAGGCCCCCAGAGCACTGACCCCCAGAGCACTGACCCCCAGCCCCCCAGGGCACTGACCCCCAGGCCCCCAGGGCACTGACCCCCAGGCCCCCAGGGCACTGACCCCCAGGCCCCCAGGGCACTGACCCCAGGCCCCAGGGCACTGACCCCAGGCCCCCAGGGCACTGACCCCAGGCCCCCAGGGCACTGACCCCCAGGCCCCAGGGCACTGACCCCAGGCCCCAGGGCACTGACCCCCAGGCAGGCACTGACCCCCAGGCCCCCAGGGCACTGACCCCAGGCCCCCACCAGGGCACTGACCCCCAGGCCCCCAGGCACTGACCCCCAGGCCAGCACTGACCCCCAGGCCCCAGGGCACTGACCCCCCAGACTGACACTGACCCCCAGAGCACTGACCCCCAGAGCACTGACCCCCAGAGCACTGACCCCCAGAGCACTGACCCCCAGAGCACTGACCCCCAGCACTCCAGCCCTGACATCCAGACCTCCAGCCCTGACACCCAGACCTCCAGCCCTGACACCCAGACCTCCAGCCCTGAACCCCAACCCCCGAGCACTGACCCCCACAGCCCTCCAGCACTGACACTTAACCCGCCAGCACTGAACCCCAACCCCCGAGTACCGACCCCATCCCTCCATTCGGAGTCCTGTAGCTCAGTGGTTAGAGCACTCGCTTTGCAAGTGAGAGACCTGAGTTCAATTCCAGGCTGAGGGCGAAACCTTGGGCAAGTTTCCTTACTCCACACAGAGCCTAATAATAATCCCTCCAAAACCAAAAACAATAATAAATTGGTCATTTTCAATCTACGACTGTTTGTGGGACATTGCTGTGCGCAATTGGCTGCCGCGTTCCCCACAAATATACAGTCAATTCACTTTACAGTGTGTTCTGTGAAAGCGCTTTGGGACGTCCTCCCGACGTGAAAAGCGCTATAACAAATGCAAGGATTATTATTATTATTATTATCCCTGACACCCAGCTGCCAGCCCTGACCCCCAGCCCACCGCACCCTGATCCCCAGCCCCGAAAACCCAGCCGCCTCAGCACTGACCCCCAGCCCCCCAGCAATGACTTCCAGCCCCAAACCCCCAGCACTGACCCTCAGCACTGACCCCCAGCCCTCCAGCATTGACCCCCAGCCCTCCAGCACTGACCCCCAAACCCCCAGCACTGACCCTCAGCACTGACCCTCAGCCCTCCAGCACTGACCCCCAAACCCCCAGCACTGACCCCCAAACCCCCAGCACTGACCCCCAAACCCCCAGCACTGACCCCTAGTCCTCCAGCACTGAGCCCCAGCACTGACCCCCAGCCCTCCAACATGACCCCCAGCCCTCCAGAGCACTGACCCCCAAACCCCCAGCACTGACCCCCAGCACTGACCCTCAGCCCTCCAGCACTGACCCCCAAACCCCCAGCACTGACCCCCAAACCCCCAGCACTGACCCCCCAAACCCCAGCACTGACCCCCAGCCCTCCAGCATTGAGCCCCAGCACTGACCCCCAGCCCTCCAACATGACCCCCAGCCCCCCAGAGCACTGCCCCCCAAACCCCCAGCACTGCCCCCCCAACCCCCAGCCCTCCAACACTGCCCCCCAAACCCCCAACGCACTGCCCCCCAAACCCCAGCACTGCCCCCCAAACCCCCAACTGCCCCCCAAACCCCCAGCACTGCCCCCCAAACCCCCAGCACTGCCCCCAAACCCCCAGCACTGCCCCCCCAAACCCCCAGCACTGCCCCCCAAACCCCCAGCACTGCACCCCCAAACCCCCAGCACTGAACCCCAAACCCCCAGCACTGACCCCCCAAACCCCCAGCACTGACCCCAGCCCTCCAACACTGACCCCCCAAACCCCCAGCACTGACCCCCAGCCCTCCAACACTGACCCCCAGCCCAACACTGACCCCGCCCCCAGAGCACTGCCCCCACCCCCAGCACTGCCCCCCAAACCCCAGCACTGACCCCCAAACCCCAGCACTGACCCCCAAACCCCCAGCACTGACCCCCAAACCCCCAGCACTGACCCCCAGCCCTCCAACACTGACCCCCAGCCCCCCAGAGCACTGCCCCCAACCCCGCCAGCACTGCCCCTCCAAACCCCCAGCACTGCCCCCAAACCCCCAGCACTGACCCCCAAACCCCAGCACTGACCCCCAAACCC